AAAAGGGGTTCCAACAGGGTTCTTTGGCTGTCACCAAAGGAGAACCCTTTTTGGTTCCATGTAGAACCCACTGTGGAATGGAGCCCAAAAGGGTTCTACCTAGGCACAGAAGGGGTTCTACCTGGGGACAGCAGAATAATCCTTTTAGGTTGTAGATAGCAAAAAAAAATCTGAGCGTAGGCCTATATTGCTGTGGTGGTTCCATGCTTTTCTGTAAAAAAAAAAATTGTTTCATTGGTGGTGGGGAGTTAAGATAATCATAAATACTATGAAACATCCCCACTTTTAGCACACATTTGCAAGCAGGCAAAGTAACCTTCTATGCATGCTAAGGCATGTGTGATCACTCAACATTGGCAGGACTGACAAAAAAAGACATGCTCACATGCAAACAAAAGATAACGTCTCTAACTTGCACCGTTATGCAATTATTAAGAGACTAGATACAAATAGCTAATCCTGGCTACCAATGTTCTAGCATTAATTTATTGAGGCAAGCATATCAGAGATGTCAAGGTGGTACCCAAGCATATGCCATGTGTATATGTTACACTCACAAATAAAGTGCCTTGCAAAAGTATTCATCCCCCTTGGCATTTTTCCTATTTTATTGCATTACAACCTGTAATTTAAATTGATTTTTTTTGGATTTCATGTAATGGACATACACGAAATAGTCCAAATTGGTGAAGTGAAATGAAAAAAAATTACTTGTTTCAAAAAATTCAAATAAATTAATTACGGAAAACTGGTGGGTGCATATGTATTCACCCCCTTTGCTATGAAGCCCGTAAATAAGATCTGGTGCAACCAATTACCTTCAGAAGTCACATAATTAGTTAAATAAAGTCCACCTGTGTGCAATCTAAGTGTCACATGATCTGTCACATGATCTCAGTATATATACACCTGTTCTGAAAGGCCCCAGAGTCTGCAACACCACTAAGCAAGGGGCACCACCAAGCAAGCGGCACCATGAAGACCAAGGAGCTCTCCAGACAGGTCAGGGACAAAGTTGTGGAGAAGTACACATCAGGGTTGGGTTATAAAAAAATATCCAAAACGTTGAACATCCCACGAAGCACCATTAAATCCATTATTAAAAAATTGAAAGAATATGGCACCACAACAAACCTGCCAAGAGAGGGCCGCCCACCAAAACTCACGGACCAGGCAAGGAGGGCATTAATCAGAGAGGCAACAAAGAGACCAAAGATAACCCTGAAGGAGCTGCAGAGCTCCACAGTGGAGATTGGAGTATCTGTCCATAGGACCACTTTAAGCCGTACACTCCACAGAGCTGGGCTTTCCGGAAGAGTGGCCAGAAAAAAGCCATTGCTTAAAGAAAAAAATAAGCAAACACGTTTGGTGTTCGCCAAATAAGCAAACACGTTTGGTCAGTCTCCCTCTTCGAGTCCCCCTTCCGAGACTGACTACCTGTTGAGAACAAGTGACAGGCAGAACCTCCCACCCACACAGCACCCACCTCTTCTCTATTCCACACACCAGAATTCAGTATTGCAGTCTATGATTACCATATGAGTGTACAAAAAATCTGTGAAATTAAATTGTCATACGTACCAAAAAAAATATCAATGTTTATATATTTAAATCTTAAATATTGCCAGGTGGGTTTTCACAGTTGTTTCGCAAGGTGTTCATTATTGTAAATTGTAACGTATCCCTTGATGGTATTTGTTAGTTCAACATTATTCATTGTATCCTAGGACCTACCATAGACATATATTCAACCACAAGGGTGTACTAATGACCTATGATTTTTAAAATCATTATAGAGGACTACTGAAATAATATTATTTCAGTGTAGATAAGGGAAGGCCAGCTTAAAATGAAAACATGCCAGCCAGACAAGTCAGTGTATGAATAAAATGTATTTGCATATGAATGGAAAATAGCTGACTTTGTGATCTGTAAGGTAAGTAACATTAATGTGTGTGGGGGGGGACATCGAAACAATTATTATTTTATTTTACCACGATGCCTGTTTATTCATAAAAACAGAAGATAGTAAATATCATTAATAGCAATGGTTAGCCTATGCAAATGAATAGGAAAACAGTGGTGTAAGGCACTGCATCGCAGTGCTAGCTGTGCCACTAGGTGGTCCTCTGTAGCTCAGCTGGTAGAGCACGGCACTTGTAACGCCAAGGTAGTGGGTTCGATCCCGGGGACCACCCATACACAAAAATGTATGCACGCATGACTGTAAGTCGCTTTGGATAAAAGCGTCTGCTAAATGGCATATTATTATTATTACTAGAGATCCTGGTTCGTGTCCAGGCTCTGTCGCAGTCGGCCACGACCGGGAGACCCATGGGCGGCGCACAATTGGTCCAGTGTCATCCAAGGTAGGGGAGGGTTTGGCCGGCAGGGATGTGGGTTCGTTTCCCTCGGGGGGCCAGTATGAAGAGAAAAAAAAAGGAAAAAAAAAATACTCACTAACTGTAAGTCGCTCTGGATAAGAGCGTCTGCTAAATGACTAAAATGTAAAATGTAAATGTAATAGGACTACATTTAGCCTAATTGGGAACAAATATAACGTGGGGAAAAGTCAAATGATCCTAGTCAGGCTATTGTTTGTCAACTCCTGATTAAATATAGGTCTTCATGTGTATCAAATCTGTAGGCGATTGTGGGCTAAATCATTGACAAATATAGCTAAAATGTTCAGACTTCATCGTGATCTGTGATCAAAACAGGTTGGGGTGTTTTCGATTCCGTTTAGGCTAAGGTTATGGGTAAGAACGCAACTGCACTGAAATGAATAGCCTGATTCAATGCCATTCTCCTGAATAAAAAAGTGTATCTGTTAAGTTGTTTGGTCTATGGATAAACCCATACCGATTCTATATTTTTTGTATTTTGCTGTAGGCATAGCCTACCACTAATATTCTAAATTGCGGCGCATTTAATAAAACAACAACCATATTTTCCTGTGATAGTGACACTTGCTTTTCATTTAAAAGTTAACGTTTTCATAAGCCTATAGGTCTACCAAGAAACCATGTTGAGGCTGAGCAAGACCTTTGGTAGGCTAGTAGACTGCGGAAATAATCGTGGAGTTAATCATTGTTATAGCCTAGATCTCTTTATATAATCTGGACCGTTGTTTTTCTAAGGCTAAGCAAACAAGGGGTAGCATATACTTTTTGCTCATCTCTATAACAAGCATTAGGCCTATATCCTCACATACCCCCTCAATTCATGCCCTGCTTCTAACCATAAGACATCTCCACAGAAATGTATAGCCTAAGGATTGCATGGTGACAGTGATTGTGTCTGTTAAACCAGTAAACTGGGAACTCTGGTGAAAGAACAAGGTCAAATCATGACATAAGTGATTTTCAGGTCAGAGAAAGATGCCCGAGTTTCTGAATTGGAATTCCGAGTTGGATCACCGTTCAAAACTATTTTTCCTAGTCTGAGCTCATTTTTTTCTGAGTTCCCAGTAGTCCTGAACTCACTTAAGTCGGAAGTCAAAGATTGCCGAGTTCCGAGTTGTTTTGAATGCGCCACTAGAGACCTAGGCTACCTCTTATTTCTGAATAGGGCTACCTCCAACAAAGAAGCCCTTGCGTCCGTATTGATTTGAGAAATAGGCATATATGCACAGTAATGGTGGCTGGCTGCAAATCAACTAGCCTAATAATTGTTGTATTGAGGTGATATGACTATTGTAGCTAAATCGACACATTGAATTGATTAGATTACTCTGGCAATTATTACTTTTTTATTTTTTTACAAAATCATGTACATGTAGAAGTTTGTAAGGCGTTCATGGTGAGATCTTTAATAATAAACTAAACAGACACTTAAACTAACACATGACACGTAAGTGTCACGTGTACACGACGTGAAAGCATGATGTACACGTAGATGTCATGTTGATATTTTTAAGGTGTTCACGCAAACTGACTTATAGTCAGCAGCAGGTCACAGTGAAATATCTATATTTTTAAGAGAAATGCCATGGCGGCCGCGGTGCAACTTAGAAATAGCCCAAAAACCCGCGACATATACATTTTCACCCGCGACATCGTTTTCAAAGTAGCCCAATTTTCAGGAAAATCGCGAACATGTCAACACTGCCTGTCACGGTCTGCTGACTTGGAACAGAGATCCGTATAATAATGACCGAGATAGTAATTTCTCATAATTTGCTGACCACCAAAGAGGAAGCGGCAGGAGCGCGGAGCCGAGATCACGTGGGACCATTCTATCCAATGAGAAGGCAGGTATCGTGTGACCAATAGCCACAACTCGGATATAAAACCATTTTTCTCAAAAGTTGCCGGTATGCCACGTGTGTGTATTTATATCAGTACATTTGTAACAACCTAAACGTCACGAAATGTCTATTCGATCAAATAAGCCTCACGTAGCAAATAAGCCACTCCATTTTTTTGTTGTTGACAAATTCGACACTCTTATTGACCTCTAACAAAAACCACTTGCTTGGAGGGCGAAAAAACAAAAAAAAACACCAGTTGCTGGAGGAGACAGATTTTGGGCCGAGTTACCCCTCTCGCTTCTCCTCTTCCTCTCCCTCTCCCATTCTGCACAAAGGATGTGCATCGATCTCCAAATCATCGATTTTTCTCCGACAAGTACCTTCTTTGCATATTTGCTTCACTGAGTATTTGTTGTAAATAGACAATAACTAAATACATAACATATTTTCTGTAGTCTTTATTAAAGGAACTTAAGCGCAATAACAGCTCAACTCAAAATACATTTCATGATTGTTTAAGTCATTTAACTTGAGGCTTTCATTTGTTGTCCGATTAAACAAAATCACCTAATATGTACAAATTCATCATATTTTAAAATAGTGGTCATCCTCATAACCTAGAAATGTAACGGAGTGTACTTTTCTGGTTGTAACAGCTTTCTCATTTAGTAAATACCTTAATCATAGTTGGACACACACACACACACACACACACACACAAACACACCCCACACAGACCCCCCCCCCCCCCCCCCACACACACACTTCAGCAAGAAATTCAGAATGAACATGAACATGCTGCAACAGGGAGCTGAAGTCTATAAATAAATATCTTAATGTTATTGTTAGTCTTTATCCAAGTTTCTGTACAATGAGATCCAGTTGTGAAATGGCAACCATTGATTCTATCTCAACAAAAAAACGTACATTTGATTTTTTTTAACAGATCTCACAAATTTCACAGGTCATTTCTCTAAACAGGGTCGTTCGTATGCACTATTAACCAAACAGAAGCAAAAGGGATGAAACAGGAAGGGACTACCTGAACTAGTCCAATAAAAAACACTTGTTTTTGTGTTCTGTTACCAAACACTTTGCTACAGTGTGCACGAATGAATACGACCCTGGTACTATCGCCTTAGATCTTCTTTAACCTCATTGTCCTCATCTCATCTCAACTCACTGATGTTGATCTTCATCATGGAACCAATAATGATGCCTGTAGAATAAAACTCAACAGTCTTTGCTTCTAGTCTTTGAATTTGCATATATTCTGTACTACATGCTCAACTCAAAGAGTAAACTTCTTTTAGAGTTGCTCTCGATTTGATGGGATGTCAACAAAAGCATCGTAATGGAAGTCACTCTACCAGGGTGGCTAGGGGCCTGGGGTAAGCCACTCTACCAGGGTGGGTAAGGGGCCATGGTAAGCCACTCTACCAGAGTAACTAGGGGGCCCGGGGTAATTTGTAATATCAAAAGCAGCCTTTGCCCTATTATCCAAGAGGACTACTTTCCCTTTTTCTTATTTGCGTATCACTCCTCCACTTCCACGCAAACACAACCCTGTTTCTCTCTTCTTTCCTTCCCTCTATCTTCCTCCTCCCCGTCTCACTCCAGTTTGCTGAGAAAGTCCAGCAGCGCTTGGTGGAACTCCCGAGGTTTGTCCATGTAGCATGCATGGCGCGCCCCCTCCATCTTCAGGACTGAGTGGTGTGGGAGCTGCATGAGGTTCTTGTGGGACTGGGCCCCCAGGTTGGTGTCCAGCGCTCCAAACACAATCAGAGTAGGAGTCTGGACAGGGACATAGGAGCAAGCAAGGATCAGGATACAATACATCTGTGCAGGGCTGCAAAATTCTGGCCACTTTCCCAACATTTTCCAGAACTCCCAGTTGGATAATTCCTGGAATCAGGATGGAATAAACAAGAAATCCAGGAATCCTCCAATTGGGAAAGTTACTAGAATTTTGCAACCCTACATTAGTATTTTACTGTACATTTATGGACAGTAGTACTACTCAGATTAGAGAAAAATAAATGTTTAAGGCTGTTCTCAACATCTAAAAATGGATACTGTCATTTGTGCAAAAGCATTACAGATACCCATAGCTCCATTCTGCCACCTGGTGGTTATTTTGCATGGCTGTAGAACATTCAAAACAGGTCAGGGACATTTTTTATGTAAACAAAACCTGCAAATATCCTTAGCAGAAAAACATCACTGATTTATTACTGATAGAGGCTCTCAGTAATTTAATTTAATTGTGAATAGAGTTCAAACACACCAACTATGACTGTGTGTGAGCCCAGTCAGGGATAATCTTAAACCGATCAAGGACTTGCACTGATCTAAGACGACAAGACCTGCTGTTGTTATTAGTGCATTTCTCTGTGCCAAGAGAACCGTTTAGCTGTGCCCAATACCATTATGTCAGATTCTAACTGCTTAAGAGTGACTATATACAGTAACCCTTACAAAGTCAACAAAATGTACAGTGCCTTCAGAAAGTATTCAGACCCCTTGGTCTACACACAATACCCCATAACGTCAGTGTTTTTATTTTTTTATTAACAAATTCATTAAAAATAAAAAGTATTCAACCCCTTTGTTATGGCAAGCCTAAATAAATTCAGGAGTAAAAATTGGCTTAACAAGTCACATAATAAGTTGCATGGACTCACTGTGTGCAATAACAGTGTTTAACATGATTTTTGAATGACTCAAAAAAATTGAATATCCCTTTGAACATGGTGAAGTTATTAATTACACTTTGGATGGTACATCAATACACCCAGTCACTACAAGGATACAGGCATCCTTCCTAACTCAGTTGCCGGAGATGAAGGAAACCGCTCAGAAATTTCACCATGAGGCCAATGGTGACTTTAAAACAGTTAGAGTTTAATGGCTTTGATAGGAGAAAACTGAGGATGGATCAACAACATTGTAGTTACTCCACAATACTAACCTAATTGACAGAGGGACATACATCCTGTTTGCAACAAGGCAATAAAGTAATACTGCAAAAAATGTGGCAAAAGCAATTCACTTTTTGTCCTGAATACAAAGTGTTATGTTTGGGGCAAATCCAATACAACACATTACGGAGTTCCACTCTCCATATTTTCAAGCAGAGTGGTGGCTGCATCATGTTATAGGTATGCTTGTAATCGTTAAGGACTGGGGAGTTTTTCAGGATAGAAAATACATGGAATGGAGCTAAGCACAGGCAAAATCCTAGAGGAAAACCTGGTTCAGTCTGCTTTCCACCAGACACTGGGAGATGAATGCACCTTTCAGCAGGACAATAATCTAAAACACAAGGCCAAATCTACACTGGAGTTGCTTACCAGGAAGACAGTGGATTTTCCTGAGTGGCCAAGTTGACTTAAATCTACTTGAAAATCTATGGCAAGACCTGAAAATGGATGTCTAGCAATGATCAACAACCAATTTGACAGAGCTTGAAGATTTTTTAAAAGAATAATGGGAAAGTTTTGCACAATCCAGGTGTGGAAAGCTCTTAGAGACTTACCCAGAAAAACTCACATCTGTAATCGCTGCCAAAGGTGCTTCAACAAAGTATTGACTCAAGGGTGTGAATACTTATGTAAATTACATATATCCGTATTTAATTTTAAATAAATTAGTAAAAACTTCTAAAACATGTTTTCACTTTGTCATTATGGGTTATTGTGTGTAGATGGGTGAGAGAAAAAAATCAATTAAATCCATTTTGAATTTAGGCTGTAACACAACAAAATGTGGAATAAGTCAAAGGGTATGAATACTTTCTGAAGGCACTGTATGCCTTTAAGTAATCATTGCCATCTTTCCGATAGCATTTTCGACCTGCTTCCGCTGCTACTACTAGAAGCATCCCACTGGAAGCTGGGTCACACCCCAAAAAAGTATCTAGTTCCACGCAAAATGTCCTCCAATTCTTTGCTTTTTTAGGCTTATGTATCGGACTGAACTCCCAACCACCCAGAAACCCAGCATTAAAGCTCTCACCTGGATGCCCTGGTACTGCTGAGGGGTGTAGCTGCGGGTTCCTACTGGGGCTATGGGGATGAAGCCGTGCAGCTGGGCACTGTGTTTCATGAGGAAGGGGATGGAGTAGTGGCCGCTCATAGAGGGGCTGAGCAGCACCGCTGTCCTCACACCAAGCGCCTCCATAAACCTGCCCAGAAGGTCCACCCGATGCTGGTCTGTCTTCACAGCATCCGAGTCTGGAGAGTTCCCAAATCCTGGAGGGAGAAAAGAGAGCGAGAGAGAGAAACAACTGATAAAGCATTATACAAATATCTTCTCCATCCCATTTTGGCATTTTGTGTGGGTGTAAAATAAGCATTTGTGGAATTCAATGAGAATCCAGGAACCTAACTTGATATGTATTTAAGTGCATTCATTATAGTTGTCCCTTTCAACTCCAATTCCTTCACGCTGCAATTCCCAACAGTTGGGTCGGTGATGCTGTGCTACACAGTGAACAGCACTGTGCAGCACATTAAAACCACAGTTAAAGCTGAAATCTGCATAAGGGGAAAGAGCGCCACTTTTCGCCCCAGCACATTTGTTATTGTTTTGTTGTTGAAACAGAGGAAAAGAGCATCCAGCATCGTGGTAAAAAAAGTATAATTACATACTGTTCTATCGCACGTGCAATGACGTGCAATGATGTCTGAGGGAAAAAACTGTATTCGTTGTTTGAAGTAACTTCTTTGTTGTTGTAATATCGCAAACATGTGGCAGTTTCACCATTAAGGATTCCAGCTTTAATGGGGCTTTAACTGCATTTCAGCCAGTTAAACAACATAACATTCTCAGGCTGGAATGTTATTGTAGCTCGAACCTGGTAGGTCCACAGCCAAGGCCTGGTATCCGTTTGTGGCCAGTAAGGCCAGGGTGCCCAGTTCCTCCCAGGTTTTGGAAGAGAAAGCTTGGCCATGGAGAAGGACCACTTGCAGCCTGTATAGGAAAGACAACCAGGTGTTTAAGTCACTCTTTCTCTCAAGACTCCCTCACTACTGTAATGGCAAACCAGTGACTAACATTTGCACAGGGTAACCATAATTATTGAGTAACTACAGTGCTTATGCATCAACACATCCTTTAGGTATTTTGTTAAATCTGCGTACAAGGGCTTGTGTTCTCTGCAATCCTTACTTTAAGCAGTTTCCAGATAAGAGGTTGCTGGGCTAGGATTATGTCGTATGAGGAGAGAGTTCAGTGTGTGGATGTCTGACCGTTGTCACGCTAGTTTTTACTGCTGCTGGTGGTGACTACCCTCACCTGGGCAGTATCTGCCTACCAGATCCATCGACCGGCAAAGCTTCCCTGAAGAAGAGTGGAGGGTCCCCGGGCAGCTGCCCCGTGCGGACGGACACATTGATGGCCGGAGGCGGAGGAGGAGAGACAGCCACCAAGCCCATCCTCTGGACATCCAGGGAAGGCTCCATGCTGCCCTGACGAATGGACGGCAGTAGCAGGTACAACAGCACAGTGGCCAGCAACACCAGGCCCAGCACAACAAGACGGTTACGTAGAAAATTCATTTCAGCCAAATATGTTTGATCTGGAGAGAATGACAGAGTGGTGCTTTAGTATGAAGCAAACCAAATATCCATAGGTAGTTTCTAATATACTAAACTATCCATGGATAAGAGCGTCTGCTAAATTATGTAAATGTAAATGTAATAAAGAGGAGAGTATTTGTCTGTGTACTCCATAATTCATTGCTCTATGACACTTGTATGATTTTGATTATGTTTATGATGATTATGTTTAAAGTACTGAACATTATTATGATAACGTCAGTGGCTAGTGCTGAACTGAATTGCAGCTAAGGTAGGACACGAAATAGTTCCAATGTCAATACACCCATCCATGAGAAATTAAGCTAATTAGCTAACGTCGTTAGCTACCTACCTAGCTAGCATGCATGATATAAGCCTTCATCAGATTATCACGACAGTCATTCGTCCTGTGACACAAATGTCATAGCTAACATACAATTATATGAAAATATACCTCATGAATAGCTGGGTAATCGCAGTTGTTATTAGTCCATGACAGTTGCGAATGGATGCGTAGTGAAATCCTCTGCTATTTGCAGTGGCAGATATAAAGTGTGTTTCACATAAATAATTCCGGAAAAGACCTACTACTCTGCGTTGTTTTCGTTCCAAGACAAATCAAGGTACTTGTAAAAAATATATACAATTAATGTAACTCAGCATCAGTTATCGAAGAATCAACTACTAATTAACAATTACATCTAAAAGATCTAGTAATGAAAACGTTTTTCATATAGATCAAATCTAGCAATTAAACTGTTGTTTCTAATCGAACACATTTGTGGGTTGCAAAACAATATGGCGGGGTGAAAGCCAGGTCATGGCTAGAATGGATCGAGCTTTTGTCAAATTAACATCAGATTTGACTTTTCGTAGCAGGTTATGAGAATTTACGCAGCAGGTTAGGAGAATTAACGTAGCAGGTTAGGATAATTAGGTTAAGGTTATGACAAGAGTTACGGTTAAGGTTAGCTAAAATGCAAAAAAAATCAACTTTTGACGTTAATTTGACCAAAGCTGGATCTCTTCTAGCCTTGACTGGGTAACCACAGCAGAAAAAGAACGGAGTGACTCGATGTTGTTTTAGGTTTGTATCTGGTAAATTAGTGCATTTATTAGGCATAGCTATCGTGCTTTCTGGTTTTCTGCGGAAGTTTGGTATTTTGATGATTAGATGGTTCCTCGCCCTGAAAGTAGTCTATGGTAGAAAACCGAATCCATGGTTGGTTTTTTTTGGGGGGGGGGTTTTACAGCCAACATCCGCTAACTTTAGCCACAGCTAGCTAACTAACAATCAATGGAAGTGATAGCAACCGTGTAATGTTAAAAAAAATCCAAATAGTCTTTAAGTAGCTTCAAACCAAATAATTGTGTTAGTTTGGCCATGATAGCATTCAACTTTGAGATCACCCGAGAATTTGTATTCTGCTTTGTTTCTCAATTGAAAAGTGCACATCTTGAGCGTGCCTATCAACAATGAGAAGGGCTTCTTTATCTAACATCTTTAGATAGATGTTTGTAGAATTATGATTTTTGTGTGCTTTGGTGATACGTCTCTCAGGATAAGACGATAACATGGAGTCCATTGATTTGGAGAGGGAGGACCCTCCTAGCTCACTATCTGGATATGCCAATGGAGAGATAATGACCCTGGAGATCACAGACGTCTCTCCAGACCTGCTTGTTCTCGAGGTAAAAGACAACAACCTACCTGAAAGTAACCATGGCAGCCTGGACTTGGAGATGGATGCTGACTTTCATAATGATGATGGGCATGGTAAGAAAATAACAAGGGTTGTGGGTTAGGCTAACTTGCGATTAACTGGGTTGTGAGGTCAAAATAATTTAAATGTTGTACTTGTTGCCTCTGTCTTTTTTTAAAGGTTTTGCGAATGTGGAACTCCAGTTCTTTCCATGTGATGCCTGCGAAGCCTCCTTCACTAGCGAACCAGAGCTGGAGCAGCACTTCATAAGCTCTCATTCAATATGTGATGTAGCGAGTGAGAGAGGAAGACCGAAAGCCAAGTCAATGGAAACAGAAGGTGTCTCACCCCAGCACACCTGCATGACTTGTGGGAAGGTGTTCAAATACCTAACTTCATTTCGAAAACATGAGGAAACTCATATCAAAGCCCTGTACACCTGCAAGACTTGTGGGAAGGAGTTTAAATACCTAACTTCATTCACAAAGCACCAGACCACTCACGTTGTACCAAGACCGAGAGGAAATGGAAAGTCAATCATAGCAGTAGGCCTAAGTGTCAATCAGAAAGTGAAAGGCCTTCACACCTGTAGGCACTGTGGTAAGGAGTTCAAATACCTAACTTCTTTCATAAAACATGAGAAGACTCACAGGATCATGTTAACCAAAAAAAGCAGAAGAAAACAGAGGAACCCTTCAAGTTCCGAGATTATTATATGTCTTGAAGGCAATAGGAAAGATGCCACAGAAACTCGTGTAAGGGCCATCAAGAAAAACAGGAAGAACAGCGAAGATACTGAGGATCAGGATGCATGTATTCTAATATCTTCTGATGATGAACTAGCCACCACTGCAGAGCAGCAAACGCCTGACTCTAAACGTTCTCCTCCGTTTCCTTCTGACTCTAAACGTTCTCCTCCGTTTCCTTGTCTGGACTGTGGGAGGGTTTTTAAGTTTTTCAAATCTTACAAAAAACACCAGAAAAGACATGCTTGGGCACAGGGCAAAAGTGAAATAGTGCCTCTTAAACAGGAGCACGGAGCGGAAGTGAAAGAACAGATTAGATGTCCGGTTTGTGGTAGAGCATTCAACAAGCTAAAAGCTTGCACCAAACACGAGAAAATGTATCATCGGGAAAATAACTTGCATAAAAACACATTTGCTTTAACGTGCTGTGAATGTGACCGCCATTTTGAAAAGGCAGATATTTTCCAAAAGCATAAGTGCTTCCACCTGCGTAAGCATGTAAAGGCGTTCATAGAGGCAGGTAGGGTGAGCCAACGGGGGGATATTTTCTATTGTCAACTCTGTGTCCTAAAGCTCGCCAGTGGACTGGAGTTTGAGAATCATGCCAGGGACGTACACCCAGACCAATACCGCAAGACCCTAAAAGCAGTAGGCAGTGCCAGGACATGTATCATTAAAGACACCTTGAAAGTCTTGCCGACACAAAGGGATGACAATCAGTCAACAAATCAGGAGGCAACTGAAATAGGAGAGACAGAGGAAGATGGATCGAGACAATTTATTTGCAAGGATTGTGGGGAATGTTTCATATATCATGTTTCATTTAATTTTTGTGGAAAATGTTTAAAGGATCGCAAAGACTCTAGGAGACATCGGGAGAGCAATGTAAAAGCCTCCAAGCTGTACCACTGTGAAGAATGTGGCCAAGGCTTTGGCCGAAAGGATCACTTAAAGCGCCACAGCTATTCTCATTCTGGCAGTTCCTTTATCTGTTTTGATTGTGGCATTGGATTCAGGGATCCAGGAGAGTTGCGGAAGCATGAAAAGACTCATCGGGTGAGAAACCACATCTGCCAACTGTGTGAGAAGCAATTTGAACATCCAAAGGAACTAATGTTGCATCATGAAGTTGATCATCCAGGACCAGACGGTTATACATGCCACCAGTGTGGCAAGACATTTAATACAGTGAAAAAGCTGGGAAAACACAGAATGATCCATTCGGACGAAACTCCCCATGTTTGTTCATATTGCGGTGCGAAATTCAAGAGGCGAGGGCATTTGAGACGGCACAAGAACCTGCACACCAACGAGAAACCTCGCCTTAGTCGTTGTTGTGGGGATACATTTGGGCAACAGGGGGACCTAAACACCCACCTCGGTAAAATGCACACAATGTTGAGAAATTATCTTTGTAAGGCTTGTGGGACAACTTTCAAGGACCGTAACTCTCTCAGGAGACATAGGTATCACACTCACACTAAGGCTGGCAAGGTGTTCCAATGTGAGGAATGTGGCCTAAGCTTCAGCCGGGCGGATCATCTGAAGCGCCACCAGTACACACATTCTACTGAAAGGCCCTTCTCATGCTCAATGTGTTACAAAGTATTCCACAGGGCAGACAACCTCAAGAAGCATGAACGAAATCACAGAAACAAGTGGTTGGAATACCTCAACACCCGCCACCATGATAACACACCCAAGCAGGAGAGCCATGTTTCTGAGAGCTCCAAGTGGAAACTGGGCTGGTCTGAAGCATCTGCCCTACTAAAGCTCATCCAGAGCCACTCCAAGCAGCAACATCATACCTGCTATGTTTGTAAAAATACTTATAGAGGACTTTACTATCTGAAGAGGCACCGTCTACTAAACTGTGTTGGACAAAGGAGTAAAATTATGGATTCATTCCGATATGGAACTGTTCAATAACTCCCTTTTGGGTTTGATCATCTGAGAGATTTAGAAGTGAAATTTAATTTAATTTTGTAAAACTTGTTGGTGTGTCTTTGTATATAGTGAGCTGTGGCTTGGTATCTTGTATTGTCTGGTTATTTAAATGTTTTTATAGACCCTCATAGCCATCACACCAGAGCCAGTGTTGCCAATATTAGACAGTTGCGCTATAGTAGTATTCCACTAGACGCAGACATCAGTTAAACATCTATTTTAGATTTTTGTCAACTAACGTGAATTCAACATGAAATCAACAAAACATTTCACCATGAAATTCCTGTGCGTTGATTACTTTTTGAAAATACGATACGTTTTCCACGTAGATTCAACGTCATCACATTGTTTCCACACAAAAAATCTATGTTGATTCAACCAGTTTTTGCCCAGTGGGATGGCTGGAAAAAAGCTATTTCCTTAAAACTGGTGCAGAAGAATGGAATGGTGTACCAAACCATATAAAATCCATCCCTACACTAGGGAGTTTTAAGATGGGAAAATAAATGGTTTATGGGCAAAATGCTTTAAAACTGCACAGGCTAAAAGAAAGTATAATTGTATCAATGAACATTACTTGGTCATCTATTTTATTCCTTTTGCTGTTTCCTCCCTATTGATGAGATGTATTTGAGATGTTATAATTAAGCAATAAAGCCCGACGGGGTGTGGTATATGGCCAATATACCACGGCTAAGGGCTGTTCTTAGGCGCAACGCAGCGTGCCTGGATACAGCCCTTAGCCCTGGTATATTGGCCATATACCACAAACTCCTGATGTGCCTTAATGATATTATAAACTGGTTACCAACGTAATTAGAACAGTAAACAAGTAATTATGCGTCATACCCGTGGTATATTTAAGCAATAAGGCCCGAGGGGGTGTGGTATATGGCCAATATACCACAGCTAAGGGCTGTTCTCACGCACGACGCAACGCGGAGTGCCTGGATACAGCCCTTAGTGGTGGTATATTGGCCATATACCACACCCCCTCGGGCCTTATTGCTGTTATAAACTGGTTACCAACGTAATTAGAGCAGTATAAATAAATGTTTTGTCATACCCATGGTATACGGTCTGATATACCACGGCTGTCAGCCAATCAGCATTCAGGGCTCAAACCACCCAGTTTATAATGTCTGTTACCATGGCTAAGGGCTGTATCCAGGCACTCTGCGTTGCGCTGTACATATGAACAGCCCTTAGCCCCCCTCTGGCCTTATTGCTTATATATACACCACGGCTTTCAGCATATCAACATCCAGGACCCAAACTACCCGTTTTATAATCTTGTGTATATTTTGTTTTCATGTATTTTCAAGGGTACCACAATGGAAATACGTTTTCAAACTTGTGGTTGTATTGTGTTTAAAAAAGTCAAATTGTATCATGCATTTTAACAATGAGAATTATAAAATCAAACGATAAATGTTGTTATCTTGTTTCCTGTATCGAATAACCACTGAAGAATGTGTATAGGACCAGGCATATATCTCCAAATATCCTTCAACATTTTGTTATTGTAGCAATTAGGAAGCTTGCATGCATATAGTATATTCTTACCTCTTTTGTAACATTTTGGAAATGAACAATGAAACAGATGTCGATGACCAATAAAACAAAGAGATGGTGTAATAAAAAAAACACTATATCCTTTTTGTTCCAAAGTGTCCACATGGAGTGGATCACAGAGCATCATTGTGGCCCAGACTTGTATAAGGAAAGATTAGAGGATGGTATTCATCCCTCACCATCCACACCTGGCGTTTCACAATGGCTTGGTTTTTTTCTCTTACATCTAACTCGTATTTGTTAAAAACGGCTTCTCTTTCTAAACAATTCATACCATACAGTTTACTCTCACATACAAGAAGGCAACTTTCACCGAAAAAGGGCAGAAGTAGGGATTTACATTTTCCTATCAATCTAAAAATGTTATAAAGGTCCTGTGAATTGGCTAAGATGTTATAGGGCTTTATTAACATGTTTGTTCATTATTGTTTTATTTACCTACCAACTACAGTAACAGCAGTCTTGCATTCACAGTCTATTGATTTATGGAATTCACATCTTGTCCACACATTGCCTTTAATAGTCCAATTGTACACACATCAATAGTATTACACGTGCCAAACGATTGGGATGCTGTTGAATGAGTGAACAGCAGTACCCTTGCTCCTGGGGGGTCGGAACTGGAAGATCGGGGGAGCTCGAAGTCTGGTTTTAGTTATAAAACAAGGCTTTCTCTGTACTCCCAGCCCAATAATATTGATTTTGGCACCATGAGATTACCCCCTTTATAAATGGAAGAGATCCCCAAAAATGGAGAGGGGAAAATGAGGAAAAGTTAAATGTTGGCAGGACAGAGGGGTAGGTGACTCAGGAGCACAAGGAACAGTTACCAAGGTGCGAAGGCCTTCATGTGAAAACCTTACCAGACACGTTATAGCCTGCTCCCCGGGCGCCTATGAGGCGATGACGTCGATTAAGGCAGCCCTTCGCACCTCTCTGATTCAGAAAGGTTGGGGTTAAATGCGGAAGACACATTTCGGTTGAATGCGTTCAGTTGTGCAACTGACTAGGTATCCCCTTTTCCCTTATTTTTCTAATGTCATTAAATCCAACTAGAACTAAATGTTGTGTCACTGTACTGATCATGAATAGTTAAAACAAACTTTTCCAAAATGTGTGTCAAACGTCTTACATGGTTTGCAACACGTGGTATGTGATTGTGAACTCTGACCCACCATGATGTTAATAACGACAGGACAACAGCACAACTCCAAGATACAAATTCATTGAGAGCCTTCTCATATTTCAAGTTTAATGTAATAAAAAGAAACTACTAATTACAATTACATCCAATGAACATGTAAGAGAGTAAATGAGAAGCATGTTTGGGACATAAATAAGAGCAGTGAAAATGACAGACCCACACTGAGGTCCGACTGTGGTCCCCTGAAGAAGCCCACGAGAGGACAAAGCCATTTTCTAAGGAATTTGGTTTCAGGCAACAGAAGGAAGAATAGAGTAAAGACAAAATGAGCAAAAGTGCTTTCAGCTTTGGTTTACAATCCTCACAGACAGTCAGAAAACATCTACACAGAGAAATAGTAGAGGCACTAGAATAAGGAACATGACCACAGACACGCTAGGCCAAACACACGTTGGACAGGCACCTCACACTGGCATACCGTCTTCTGTGCAGATGACTCGTGTGTTTACAAAATGTCGAAGAACATGTTGTGGGTTACAAACATTTCTTACATATTCCTAGACGAGTCGTTTCTTGTTAATGTGACTGAGGTGCTTCAAGTTTGCAAAAGCAGTCCGCGTGTGACACAGACAGCTATGTAGATGAAATGAGTTCCTTGCCACAATGCTAAGCCTTACTGAAGCTCGTGAATATTCAAATGAAGCAGTCTTTTCCAAATATTCCAGTTATTTTCCACAGCAACATTAGAGGCATAAAAAAAATAAGACCGTAGAAAAAGAGACCATTACAAAAAGATGCTGGGGAAAAAAAACACATTTTTCCTTGCCGTATCTGCAGTTCGGCCAGATCAGAACTGGGTGAGGGTGTAGCCGTCTAGCCGAGAGGTAGGACTATCAAAGCACAGGTCTCTTTGGACAGAAGCTTCACAGTAGCAGTCTCTTTGTAGAAAAGTAGCATTCTTGTGTGATGCGTTAGGTTCTCTGTTGTTGAAAATTCTCAATTCCCTCATGAGTAAGTTTCAACATCAGTAAAAAGAGAGAGGAACGGGCCTCCCGAGTGGCGCAGGGTTCTAAGGCACTGCATCGCAGTGCTAGAGGCGTCACTACAGACCCGGGTTCGATCCCGGGCTGTATCACAATTGGCCCAGCGTCGTCCGGGTTAGGTTAGGGGAGGGTCTTAGTTCTAATTCTGGCTGTTAGCTCCAGATGTCTTCCAGCTCGGTGAAGGGAGGGATAGATCACTTCAGTATAGACCTTTATTTCTGCCACACCTGAAGCGCACCCACTCACTAAAAACAGAAAGTCAAAATAGAAGGCTTATTGTTTTCCCCACTTCAGATGCTGTCCCTTTAGCTTGTGTGGGTAACTGAAGGGTATCCTTCATCCTGTTGAGAGGCAGGCACTCCCATGTCCTCTCCTCCATGGATCAGTCCCACAGAGCAGCTAGTGCCCATCCCTGACCAGGAAGCCCCCTGAGCCCCAGTAGAGGCCAGGACTAAAACCAGGACCACGGTGTGGTTGTTGTGGCTTCCCCCATATTGCACGTTGTCAGCTCCTGCGCCTCCCAGCCTCAGTGGAGCACAGTGAGAAGCCCCAGAGGGAGCAGCAGAGTCAGTACAGACCGGACTCTCCAGACAGGGGCAGCACCACTCTTCCCTAGCTCTCTCTGGGCACAGCCCTCGCCCTTGTACCCACTGTAGCACTGGCACTGGAAGTGTTGCCGGTACTCAGCCAGCTCCCCCTGGCCTAGTTGCCCCGTCACCTTCAGCCCCCCCCCCTGGCTGCTGATAATGTGGGTGAGGGGGCTGAGGTGCAGGTAAGCATCAGTGTCTGAGTGTTTGCGGAGGCAGCGGCCATGTAAGCCGCACAACTTCTGACTGCACAGTTCTGCTGCTGTGGAGACGTTGAGTAGGTACCGGCCCAGCGGACCCCGGAGGTACTCACTCAGACTGGAGCAGCTGGCCTGGAGAGAGAGAGACACAAACATACAGAGGCGCAGACTCAGAATGGAATGGAAAGGAGAAACAAAGTGGGGAATTGGAGGTCAAGTGTGATACTGGGCAAACAGAGACACCAACACATGTTAACATTTAATGTGGATAGACAGGAAATAGTAATTACATAGTAGCTACAGAGGGGAACACCAGACTGATGACAAACTAGGCATAGTCTATGAATGATCAAATAGGGGATGTGTCCCAAATGGCAGCCTATTCTCTACAGGGCCCTGGTCAAAAGTAGTGCACTATGTAGGGAATATGGTGCCATTTAGGAAACACCCCAATTCGAACATTCATAGATTATGCATAGTTTGAGTCATGTAGGGAATCTTCATGGAGAACACTCACATTGCTGCAGCCGTATGTATGTTACAGAGGGGAACACCAGACAGAGGACTCAAACTAGGCTATGCATAATCTATGAATGATTAAATAGCTTGAGTGATGAGAACACTCACGTTGCTGCTGGCGTAGGTATGGTCTCCCCAGACGATGACCCCAGATGCTCCCAGGGCTACACTCTCCCCAATGGTGGACACCAAGTCTGTCTGCACACACACAATCTCACACACACACACACACACACACACACACACAGAGAGAAACAAGTTCAGTATGGCAGTCAGCAGCCCATTATGAACATACTGGCCATGTTTGAGATCGACTTCATTGCAGTCGGCGACGACCCGTCAAATCATAATGAGTAGTCATCATGTTTCAAGGTGATTTGTAGTTCAGTCAGTCTGCAGTGGCTGACTACAATGACATTGCATGTAATCGATCCGAATCACACGCACTGCCCTGCCCTCTATGAACAGGAACACACACACATCATTTAATCATTTATTTAACACTGACCAGCTGAGCTGACCCACACCCTTTACAGTTCATGTAGATGATGAGGTCACATTATATGGAAAAGATGATGATGGTGATTCAGAATGGAATGTCAGAGGAACTGACAGATATCTCTTTACTCCTTGGTTTAGACACAGACACCAGATGTGTCACTCTCCCACGCACATCCTTTCTCTCCAACACATCCTTATGGAGGCTTCAGACACACAAAGTAAGAAATGAAGCATGGTACAACATATAGGCTAACCATGATGTCTCGTTCATTCAGAATAATCTTACACACACATTCTGTCTCTCCCTCTCCCACCCAGTGTGTCTGAGGGAAGAGTGGTCCAGTGGGAAAGTAAACACTGATGCCCTGGCTGCCTGACAGCACCTCATTCATCCACACACACAACCAACCTCCCTGCACACACACACACACACACATTAGTATCAACCTCTCCAACCGCACCCCCTCAGCACACGCACACAACCAACCTCTCATTTCATCTATCCTGTCTCAATTGTCTCTTGACTCACTACTCGGTGAATTAGTCTAACTCCCCTCTTCTATCCCTTGGTGAAACAGCTGCAGGAAAGTTAATGAAAGCTGATGACAGAAATGGAAACCAGCAAACAAACGTCACTCTCCAGATGAGCAATGGAGTTTTTCCACAGGGTTTTCAATAGAGTGGTTAAACAGTACATCCACATGTACACACACACACCAATGCATGCATGCACACACACACAAACAATGGAAATTCACTTGAACTTGGGGACAGTCTGTCTGCCTTCCTGCATTTGTCCTAATCAGAGCAAAACTGGACAGTAAGGAGCCAAGGGAATTATTTTGACTAGGTTAATGGCTCTACTATGGCCTAATCAATTCATTCATGACTCTGGTGTGGGTAAGAATCAGTTGCTGCTTGAGATAAAGTATTTTATGCACAATGTGTGTTTTCTCTCCCGCTTAGTTATTGGAAAGTTGGCCATGGGTAATGATATTTGGTGTAGAAACCGCAGAGAGACATATTTAGGTTTCAGGGAAAACACAGGCAGCCCTGTGTTGCTGGACATGCGAAGCTCGGTCATGTATGGGTGTGTATGTGCGCATGCCAATGTTCTGTATTTAGCCTTGACATATTAGCATGGGTTTCTTTAACACTACGATCCAGACAACAAAGCATTCAAATCATTATGGGCCGGTTTCAGCATTTTGGCAATGAGACCCTTTATCTACTCCCCCAGAGTCTGTTGAACTCATGGATACCATTTGTATGTCTCTGTGTCCAGTATGAAGAAGGTTAGAGGTCGTTTCGTGAGCCAATGCTAACTAGTGTTAGCGCAATGACTGGAAGTCTATGGGTATCTACTAGCATGAGTAATTAGCAACCTTTTTCAAACTGCACGCAGAGACATAAAAATGGTATCCATGAGTTCATCAGACTCTAGGGAAGTAGATAAAGGGTCTCATTGCCAAAATGCTGAAGTATCCCTTTAATTTGTGTCCAGGAAACCGGCCCATAATGATTTGAATGCTTTGTTGTCTGGATCGTAGTGTTAAAGAAACCCATGCTAATATGTCAAGGCTAAATACAGAACATTGGCATGCGCACACACACACCCATACATGACCGAGCTTCGCATGTCCAGCAACACAGAGCTGCCTGTGTTTTCCCTGAAACCTAAATATGTCTCTCTGCGGTTTCTACACCAAATATCATTACCCATGGCCAACTTTCCAATAACTAAGCGGGAGAGAACACACCCATTGTGCACAAAATACTGTATCTCAAGCAGCAACTGATTCTTGATTATTGCCAAAATCCCGAAGTATCCCTTTAAACTTAGTCCTGAACTAAATAACATGGTCAATAGAGAATCTCCATTGAGAACGCTTTTTAGTCCAGGACTAGGCTTCATCTGTGTCTGTGAAACCACCAGACCTATATTTCTAGGCCCTGGTTAGAGTAACACTTGCCTTGTAAGACCAGAGGGGACTGACATACTCTAGTATATCACTCAGACTGCACTCTTGGTTAACATGTTGAAACGTGATTCTAAATACATCAGGATTAATTCAGTCTCACACACACTTTCTCGACCAAAAACAGTTGTGGTAAGAGGCAGCTGAGAATTTCAAAGCTACTGTGTAACAGAGATATCAGGTCTCTGAACAGCACAAGTTATGGTCACAATGAGTAGGCTAATCATATCCATAGGGACAGAATCAGGCCTATAACATGGGCCCTCTCACCTCAGTCAGCGGAGTCAGCTCGTTGGAATACGTAGGCCGGGTATAGACGAAGACAGGCCGTGCCAGCCCGTCGCCCGTCGATGCCAGACGCATCCCCTCCTTCACCCGGTTGCGGACAAACTGCCGCCCAAACGTGGTGGAGCGCAGCACCGTGCTCATGTAGACAGATGGGAACAGGGCCGTGCTCTCAGTCCACAGCCAGGTCAGCTGGTCATTGCGGCCCACCTCCACGTCAGGGCATCGGCCCGTGTAGTTCTCCATGCCGCTCCGATAGTCATGGTTGTAGCAGTCTGGAAACAGGTAGAACCCCCACAGCTGGTTGGGCCGCAGGCTCTTGGCCAGCCGCAAGGTCTCCAGCATGAACTTCTGGGCCGACAGCTCAAACTCCTGCTGGGCCACTTTCCCCACGCGCTCCAGGGGCCACGCCGGGTTTTTGTTGGCCACCAGTTGCCGGGATCGGTTCCGGTATACGTCCTTGATGTCCCAGTTGCGGATCCACAGCGGACGCCACTCCTCCCAGTCGATGACGGCGAGGCCTTTGGCGTTTGGTTCACTTATGTACTTGTGAACACCTTCGGGCATCTTCTCGTGGTGCTGCGTGAGGCTGGCGGCCTGTGGGAGTCCACCGTTCACCGTGGTGCCATCACGCTCGTAATACGGGTACAGCCCTAACCGGTCCTTATAGAAGATGGTGAGGTTTTGTCTGACAAAGCCCTCGTTGGGCGACGCCACAATCTGGAACTGCTCCAGCGGGAAATGCACACCGTGACGGGGGCGGCAGTCCTCTGTCGGGGCATTCCAGGCGAGGAGCAAAGGCTTCTGGGAGAACAGGGGCCATCTAGTGGGCTTCAGCTCTTTAGCTCCGAGGACATTCCAGGGAGTGAGCAGAGCCAGGAGCAGCAGTATCAGCCAGAGCAACTGGCCAATCAGGGCCAGGAGAGAGTGAGGCGCTACCCCCATGGCCACCTTCTCTGCCCTGGAAGAGAGCCACAATGTCAATGTAGGTCTTTAAAAATCACAGCCTAGGAAATTAGTTTCTCCAATTCCTCAGTTTCTTTGTACAGACTATATATGCTGAATGAAATGGCATGTTTACTTAATATACATGGTCTCCAGGCGCCCTCACAAACTATTTCTAACTGTGTTATGTAATAATACGCCTTGAGCAAGAGTGTGTGTGTTTTCAACTGCAAATCAGCATTAATGTCCTTTTATAACACTGATTGGCACACATATGGTAGGAGATTGCCAACCATTATGACATGGCTAGCTTGTAGGATATCTATGAAATGTAAGAGAGTATCTTGGTACTACTCTTCATAGTAACATTGTTGCAAGGTCATTTAGGCCTACAGTAAATAACACAAACAAAAGACAGACACAAAACTGGCTGCCAATGCATGGGGAGATAATATATTATTTCTGTCCATGTCATTCTAGACAAAAAGATACTGATGACTGCATTTTACCCTGTTTTTGGCGTTTCTGCTGTCCTCGAAACTAATAATACGCTCAAAAATACTCACCAGTTTAACACAATGTGAATGATTATCATTACTCGCTAATTCGTAAATAAGTCATTATATGCATACCAAATTCACCACAAACTAGTACGAACACGCGTTGTAGTTGTACACGCGCACAAAGTTATCACGAGCTAGTTTCACAGTCCTTGCATTTCCTCGTTACATTGTAGCCAAACTCAATAGAACGGAAAAGTGAATGATACAGTTGCGAACTGTGCAATAATGTTACACTACTTGCTACTGTAGCAACACAAGTTTCACTAATTGACCAAGGGAATCTTACCGTAGCAGACGACTAGATCAGGACAGCGGTTTCAAACAAAAAACGAAATAGAAGACTCTGCCGACATCCTGGTATACATATCCCCTCATGATGGAAATATTCCACCAACCTTCTTTCTAATAACATATTATAATCAATCAATTTTTCGTGAAAAATCCCATCTTGCCAACAACGCATCGCGCCCAGTTCTAAGTAGAGAAACGATGCGATGTGCTAAGAGTTCGGCACTGCTCGATCCATTCTACGGGAAAGGGGGGATACGTTCAGAAATTGACGTCAATGTTGAGGCCACTTCGTCGTGATAAGGAGTAATACATATATTTCATTGGACTAATTAACGTCAATATATATATTGTTGTATGTTAAAGACATACTAATGTATTTGTAGCGTTTTTGGTTTGATGTTTGCTTACGATCACCCCTTTTAAATGTCTTCAAATTTAGCTGAGGGGTAGGATATCACTGGCACTGCTTGAGTTGAACAGCTGAAAGACTAGTTAGTCTATAAATACTACGTGTTATAGGAGTGTGGATTTTCACTTTAAACGAGCAAATGAACGTTATTGGAAGTAGATTACTTTTAGACTGTGTGTTTGTTATAATTCAGTCATCTTAATGTAGTCCTTACTGATACTTTTCAGGAATTGAAAAGCTATGTGACCATAATCTTTCAAATCTTTCAGGAAACTGAAATAAAGCTTACAGCTGTCTAACTACATCCACAAATCCACAGCTCACCCGCTAGGAAGCAGGATGTCCGCTGAGGACATAGCTACTGTTCCTGTGAAAGTTGGGAGCGACCACTGACTCCATGCGGGGTCAAACTTATGAAGGGGAAAGCGTCTCTCATGACTGCTGACCACGCAGGATAAGACAGCAGGAATTTATCGCTCTCTTTCTCACTCTGTTTGCTTGTTCGCAGATGTAATTTAAGTACAGGGAACACAGAAGACCATACAATTTTAAGTCACCTGGGATACCTACATTTACGTCATTTAGCAGACGCTCTTATCCAGAGCGACTTACAGTTAGTGCATACATTATTCTTTTTTTTTTTTTTTCATACTGGACCCCCGTGGGAATCGAACCCACAACCCTGGCGTTGCAAACGCCTACCTCCCTGCCGGCCATTCCCTCCCCTACCCTGGACGACGCTGGGCCAATTGTGCGCAGCCCCATTGGTCTCCCGGTTGCGGCCGGCTACAGCAGAGCCTGGATTCGAACCAGGATCTCTAGTGGCACAGGTAGCACTGCGATGCAGTGCCTTAGACCACTGCGCCACTCGGGAGTAACCTAAAAGAGTTACCTAAAAGTAACGTATCATGTAAACGGGGTCTGCCTGCTTTACATCAGTGCCAGGTGCATCTGTCTGTAGTCTGGTCACCACTGAATGTCCATGGTTTAAAGCCTTGCCCTCTCCTCCTCTCTAAGACCTGTGGAGCAGGCAGTAATCAGGAGTTGCTACTAACTAACACACACCTGGAGGTAACATACAGTAGTAATGAAGCCACCGTGCTTCTACCTCTTCATTGCTTAATTGTCTTTGGGGTTTTAGGCTGGGTTTCTGTATAACCACTTTGTGACAACTGCAGATGTAAAAGGGGCTTTATAAATACATTTGATTGAATGATTGACCACAGTAGAATGCATTTAGCGCAATGCAATCAGTGCCTTAGTATGCCACCCACACACAGCTAGGCAACTACAGGCACAGATGTGTGGTGCTTTGAAGTCTGGCCTGGGGTCCACTGTTGTGAAATCCATGGCCTGCCGCCAATCCAGACAGGAACAAAGCATTCAGCAAACCAGAGAGGATTTGACTGAGTGTTTTTGAGGGGCGGGGCAGAATGACAAAGATGTTGTGGGAATGTGTTTTGTAGTTTAAAGTAGCTACAGCTATCCAGGGAAGAAACTCTCTAGAGGGGAAGTTTAGGGATGGATTTGTTTTACGCTACACTCCCTAACTGATAGCATGCTAACAAAACCCAACTTTTAGACAATAATCTCCCATGCATAGACTACACACACACTAAACAGCTATGAAAATGCTGAAAATAAATGTTAGAGGAATTTGGAATATTATCAAATTAAAATTACTTAACACACTGAGGCCTATGTGTGATATGTTTAGACATTTTACAAAAGGCATCAATGTGATGTGCCTCCTGTCATAGCAGACTATGACAAACTGTGTCTGAAATGCAGCTGGTAATCAACCCTGGGTAATTGATTCAGGAGTAGAGCACATTAATTTTAGATGATGGATACATGCATAGTAAGAAATGGAGTAAAATAAATAAATAGGAATGCAGACAAATGTGTGATAATCAGTTGTTGAATGAATCGGTCTCTAAAGTTTTTCCCACTTACCCAACAGAGGCTAGAGTCCTTTTCCTTTCAAATCCACCGAAGAGGACTGGATGTGTAGTACAGACCAGTTTCTTTCCCCCCTATAGTGTTGGCTAAAGTGTCCTGGATCCTCCTGCATTGACAATCCTTTGAGTGTGCCAGTAGTTAAATGCAGAGGTCCAGCCTCACATCTTATTTCAACCTCTGACAGACCCCACCTCTGTCCTGCCCACGCAACCATGCCAAATAGACACCAGGTTCATGAACTCAATACAATATAACTCACCACTCTCACCAAGGTTAGGGTCAGTTAGGCTTAGGGCTCAAACAAACCAGAAGGTACTTCCTTCCCTCTCATGCTCACAAGAGTTAATTCTGCCCTATCCCTTCATTTAATGGTAAACTGCCAGGTTGTTGGATCAGGTATTAAACTAGGTATACATTCTGAGGCATAAAGATTACTTATTTTACAAGACCAATTATTAGAAGACAATCCCCAAAGGCCCAAACCCTACAAAAATCCTGTGTGTGTGTGTGTGTTAAGGCACATGGTAGGGTTTAGTGTTGAAGCCAGGGGCTTCCTTTGTTTTTGTCACTGATCATCTGACTGCAGTACGACCTCAAGCGTCTCCCATTGTCCAGCTATTGTCCAGCTCAGGGTATACAGTTCAGTCTGACTCTGTACTGGGAGGAAGGGTATGCCTGGGGTCACATACACATACACACACATACACGATAACGCTTGGAGCTAGCGTGAGAAGTCTCCGGCAACCCATAGTTTTCAGTCTAATCAGCACTTTAAAGGCTGTGGAAAGTACATTAAAATGATCATGAATGTGCATTCTGTTCTTTGCATTGGATATTTTGGGTGACTGTTGACACAAAAGACCTCTGTGGTAGGAACATTGCCACTTTGTGCTGCATTGTGTTGAGCCTTATATAATAGTCACTTTCTCGTTGTGTGATAGACCCTGTCCTCAATGTGTCCCTGTATAGGCAGAAACAAAAGCTGCTTTTATACGCTGGGCATAAGCAACAGTTCCTAGGTCATAGATCAAAGCCGATAACAGTCACTAAACTAAGAAGCTAGGCTTGTGAATAATCATCAGTGCCAGTTAGTGGGGTTGGTGCTGAAGTGAGATGAATAAGGGTAAAAATAGGGTAATAATCCCAGTATTAACTATGATCATCAAGTTCTGATCTTCAACAGGTTACTCAGTCTGAAATATATGTAGGGTTTAGCAGTACCTTTGTACTAGTCTCGTGCTATCAGACATCACACCATATTCTAGTTTGTTTCTATGGATAAAAACTGGCAGCTTCATTAAATAGTACCCGCAAAACACCAGTCTCAACGTCAACAGTGAAGAGGCGACTCCGGGATGCTGACTTTCTAGGCAGAGTTGCAAAGAAAAAGCCATATCTCAGACTGGCCAATAAAAAAAAAAGATTAAGATGGGCAGTCTGAGATATGGCTTTTTCTTTGCAACTCTGCCTAGAAGGTCAGCATCCCGGAGTCGCCTCTTCACTGTTGACGTTGAGACTGGTGTTTTGCGGGTACTATTTAATGAAGCTGCCAGTTGAGAACCTGTGAGGTGTCTGTTTCTCAAACTAGACACTCTAATGTATTTGTCCTCTTGTGCACCGGGGCCTCCCACTCCTCTTTCTATTCTCATTAGAGCCAGTTTGCGCTGTTGTGTGAAGGGAGTAGTACACAGCGTTGTACGAGATCTTCAGTTTCTTGGCAATTTCTCACATGGAATAGCCTTCATTTCTCAGAACAAGAATAGACTGACGAGTTTCAGAAGAAAGTTATTTGTTTCTGGCCATTTTGAGCCTGTAATCAAACCCACAATTGCTGATGCTTCAGATACTCAACTAGTCTCAAGAAGGCCAGTTTTATTACTTCTTTAATCAGCACAACAGTTTTCAGCTGTGCTAACATAATTGCAAAATGGTTTTCTAATGATCAATTAGCCTTTTAAAATGATAAACTTGGATAAAAACACAACGTGCCATTGGAACACAGGACTGATGGTTGCTGATAATGGGCCTCTGTACGCCTATGTAGATATTCCATTAAAAATCAGCCGTTTCCAGCCACAATAGCCATTTACAACATTAACAATGTCTATACTGTATTTCTGATCAATTTGATGTTATTTTAATGGACAAAAAAATTGCTTTTCTTTCGAAAACAAGGACATTTCTAAGTGACCCCAAACTTTTGAACGGTAATGTAACTCGAGACGAGACAGGGCCAGTTCAAAGACTCCTGTCTGACTGTCCTGCAGGGAGAATGTCACCTTTGACCCCACAGGTCTGTTAGGACATAAGAGATGGCCAGGAATACTGGAAAATGGCTTCTAGTCTGTCTTTGGCTTTCGTTTGCTTTCCTATCCTTAGCTTTTCTGAAGTGTTTACGTTTGTTTACAGTTTGGTTGGCTCCAGTCCCACCCACAAACATGTTTCATGGTAATTCACTAATTGCAACATTATGCCAAATTCTTTGAAATTTCAATTACAAAAGGAGCACTATGCAAAACATTCTGAAGGGAGTGCCTCGCTATATGACAGCCAGGGACAGAAAAAATTATGATTCCCGGAAGTGGGATGCTAGAAAGACATCTTCTTCTATTAATACTTGTTCTTTCCCTGAACTGAAAGAAAAATGTCCTCCAGTGGGAATGGACATTGAGTTTCCTCATAAATACTCTGAGACTGCCACAGTAGGCATATATTATGTGAAATAATAACAATATGCTTGTATAAAAGCCAACATGAAGAAATAGGACACTCATGATCCCTTTTCGTTTAACCCAAAGATAATTTGGGATTTCTTGAAAGCCCCACAGAAAGATTATGAAGTTCAGAACACAACCTACCTGTGCATAGCCCTTCACCAAACCTCTGGAATATTATTCTAGTTTATTCTATCTTTGTGGAAAAGTGCAGCGAAACAACAGTTCACTGTTGTTTAATCTCCCTCCTGTGACGCAGTACACAGCGACTCACCGCAGAGTTTTTTGTACGCTGAAAAGACAAGAACAAAACCTTGTATAAAAGTAATAAAGTGAAGTGGATCATGACCCAGCATTCTTTTATCCTCTAAGCAGACAATAACACAGACCTCTTTGCAGGACAAACACACACACTCAACATACACTTTCAGATGGGCAAAGAACAGGGTTATAAAAGACACCTGGGTCATTCCATGTCATTTCAGTAAGCCATGACATCCACCATCTCAATAAAATAATGTTGCAGGAATGCTAATCTTAACTGTTTCTAACAGAAACATTTTCAGAACTATCTGAAATGGTGGGTGTAGAAAACCTATTTATTGTGCTTTTTGGAGGTGGAACGACCCACCTTCCTCATGAGTAATAAATAGGGAAAAGGTATGAGAGTGAAAGGTAGCCCCACGAACACAAACACACCCACCAATATACCCGCTCAAACAACCCTGGTGAGAGTTGCCCTCTGCTGTTTCCTGTGCAGTACACTCTTAGAAAAAAAGGTGCTATCTAGAACCTAAAAGGGTTCTTCGGCTGTCCCCATAGGAGAACCCTTTGAAGAACCCTTTTTGGTTCCATGTAAAACCTTTTCCACAGAGGGTTCTACATGGAACCCAAAAGGGTTCTACCTGGAACCAAAAATGGTTGTCCTATGGAGACAGCTGAAGAACCCTTTTGGAACCCTTTTTTTTAAAGAGTGTAGTTGGGGTCGTTTCCTCCACCATGTGTAGACGTCAGTGACATCTTCCCCAGGTTTCAATTTCCCCTCTTAGCATGTCCAGACCCATAGAGGACGGGGGACAGGAAGATGCCTTCCAAAACAACAGGAACATTGGTGGACTGTGGCTGCAACGACTGCGTGACACAGACGACCGCACGTCAGCACAGTACCCGCCAGTGTGACACCAGGGCCAAGGACATGCCACATGCTGTTGCTCAACATAGTGGTATTGCCCTGGGTGCAATCTACAGCTGCCAACTGTACCAAGGTCAAGGGCACACACAGACTCACACTTGTGTAAACACAGAGCTTCACAGCCTTCAATAGTTTCACAATGTGAGATGCAAAACAATGTCTCTCAAGCCTGTCAACAAGATCTAATGTTAACCTCTTGTCGTGAAATAATGTTTTAAGTAGTGCCTTTAGTCATTTTATCTACAATCAACATCTACAATTCACTTTTCATAGACACAATTTATTGGATGACAATTACAACTTTTCAAGTAGTGCACCCCAGACTACACATGCTCAGATCAGTGGTAGAGAACGGCAGCAGAAGCAGCCTCTGTGGCGTCTATCCACTGCTCTGAAGTCGAATGAAGTCACAGTGTAAGTTCTGTGGGTAATCTGCTAGCAATCAGACAAACACAATTTACAACAGAACGGCATGCTATGTGCAACACACACACACACCCTCCAACCTAGAATAGTGACAGAGTGGAAGGACCACTTGAGAAGTTATTTATAATATGTAGAAACACACCCTCACATGATTGATGAACTCCATCCTCTCCTCCCAGACACTGTACCACCCTGGTTGTCAAGAATGAGTTAATGGGCTTGTTCGATATTGCAGCCAGCCTTGCAGGCGACTGCTGACTGACTGATCTACAAATAACCTTGCATCATAAATAACTACTCAATATTATTTGCAGATCAGTCAGTCACAATTGACTGAAAATGCATCACATCGGCTGCAATGTCAAACAAGCCCAATCACTTTCCTAACAGTGTACAAGGTTTTTTATAATATGGCTTGACACTGCAGGAGTCATCTGTGCCCAGAACTCAAGCACAGTCTAGATTTTACCACTGTGTATACCTCTTCCATGGAGCTCAGAGTTAACTAAGGATACAAGAAGCAATTTATCAGACAAAAGTCCATAACACAGACAGACATGATGGGCCCATATGGTATAGATTATAAGATTAGAAACTCCCACCCCTTACCCAATTAAAACCCATCTTACTGTTTCCAGGGAGCTCAGAGTCTGTCCTCAGAAGGAAATGAGATACTACAGGGGACCCGTGTGTGGGAGAGTAGCCAATGGGGGCTCTGAAATTAAATTAATGTCCCCCTAAGAGGCAGGCTAGAGAGGTGTGTGTCTGTGGACATGGTGATTCAATACTGGTCCTCTGTAGCTCAATTGGTAGAGCATGGCGCTTGTAACGCCAGGGTAGTGGGTTCGATCCCCGGGACCACCCATACGTAAAAATGTATGCACACATGACTGTAAGTCGCTTTGGATAAAAGCGTCTGCTAAATGGCATATTATTATTATTATTATAACACGATCTGGCCCAATGTTGATCTTTTCCACTTTCAGGGAGAGGTCTGGAAGTTACACCCGTTAGATAGGGCAGGCTTCCTCCACTTCAATACGACTGGCTGATAATGGCTGATAATGCAATCATCTGTACAGCGTCTGAAAATGTCCCTTGGAGCAATGCTCTCATCGGTTGGTCAGTACAATGGTGTTGTATTGGGCAGAGATATTATTTTTTTGGGTGGGCGGGGGGGAATCGCCTTTCTATTGGGGTCGCTAGGGGAAACGCTTGAGCCAATCACTAGTACTGGAGGCTAAAGGGCAAAGATCCTGCAGAATCAAATGACAAATACTCCCTCGTGGCTGAATCAGGCACTACTACTGTTACGAAACCAATAACTAGCCTATGGATATTGTTGTCCTTGCTTTGTCTAGGGGTCCTAGGCCTAGTTACATTGTATGTAACCTGAGTGAATGTGTGCATTTATATACTGAACAAAAATATAAACGCAACATGCAACAATTTCAAAGATTTTACTGAGTTACAGTTCATATAAGGAAATCAGTCAATTGAAATAAATTCATTAGGCCCTAATCTATGGATTTCACATGACTGGGTAGGGGTGCAGCCATGGGTGGGCCCTGCACAAGGTGCACCTGTGTAATGATCATGCTGTTGAATCAGCTTCTTTATATGCCAGACCTGTCAGGTGGATGGATTATCTTGGCTAAGGAGAAATGCTCACTTACAGGGATGTAAACAAATGTGTGAGAGAAATAAGATTTTTGTGCATATGGAACATTTCTGGGATTTTTTATTTCAGCTCATGAAACATGGGACCAACACTTTCCATGTTGCGTTTATATTTTTGTTCATTGTATGAGAAATCAGCATTTGAGGACCGTGTTGGATGCACATGTGCCCAGGGAGACAGCAACCTTGCCTTAGGTCCAGCTCTGACTTTCCTCCTTTGGGTCGGCGAGCCCAAGCGGATTATTATGTTCAGATGGTGATGAAAACAAATTAATAAAAAAACGACAAAACAGGCATGCCTAAACTAAAGATTCAAAATCAAAACGAAAGGCCTCGTGGCCACCAAACGAACCCAGCAGCATCACAGCTCTCAAGCTGGGACACTGACTGATGACCACCTTAATTGGCAGCACCTGATGAGCTTATCAACCAGGCTCAACATCTGGACAAGGTTGCTGCTGCCCCCTGGGGGAATGGCAGTGAGCTGTAGTGTGCCGTCTAAACTACCTAACCTATTCCATAACACTATCTACAAACGCAGATGTTGGGAGAAGAGAGGACAGAAATTATTGTTGAAAGAGGGAGACATCAGTTTGTGTAATGGTGCATAGAAGAAATAAAGGGACCAAGAGCCGACTGGATACATTTTGAGTTGTAATTTAAAAAACAATGCCATTGTAACAGTTATAATAAATTAACAGTGAAATGTATCGTGCCAAAGCAGCGACGGAACAGAGGACTTTCCCAGGGGGACTAGAGTTCTTGCTTCACTGTACATGCGTGGCTCTGAGGCCTGGGCCCGTACTAAAAAAGCACTTCAGTAGGATTGCCGATCTAGGATCCCCCCATTAATGTGATTCACTATGATGATCTCAAAGGTTAAAACTGATCCTAGATCAGCGCATACTCAGACGCTTCATAACTACAAGCCCTGGTCTTCACACCATGATCACCACAGCCAGTCAAACATCACATTAAGATCAGCTTAGATTACATTGGCCACCGATTGTCTAACTCCATGGGGAAATGACAGAAGCAGAGCCAGCGTCATGCATGGTGGAAATTATATCAAGCCATGACGGGGCGTTTGTTTTTACTTGTACATGTAAAATGTGCATTAAATGTTCCTATATCTCTGACCTCAGGATATGGCCCTAATAGGTGAAGCCCTATCATTACTCTGGATGCTCTGAAGACTGAACAGGTATTGGAAAATCTCACCCCTTAATACCCATTCGCCTCGCAGCTCTGTATAGATGGTAAATTAACTCTATAGGCCGGGGTTTACAGATATAGGACTGCATGCCTATTCTGAGACACTACTCTACTTAACAGCTCATGGTTCAACTCAAATTGTCCTACTACATTCTCCTTACAAAGTACAATGGATCATCCTACCAGAGCACACACTGCTGCTGCGAGACCAGCAGACAAGCGGTTGTCACATTTCATTCCATATCCACTAACACTCACACACTGTATATAATGAATAGGTTGAGGGTAACGGGAGCATCCAACTTATCTGAGGTGTTTCACAGATCGACAGTCTCCGTAAGTGGCCACTTACTACTGTGTGTAACGTGACTGCACACGGGCCACACTTTACAGAGTCCACATGCAGGGGCTCAACACCATGTGTTTAGACAGCCTGTCTATCATCACAGGTCAGGGTTCCGGCCAAACATCATCACGGGGAGACCATGGTGGATTAGAGGAGGGTAGGTGGAGGGCTTCAGGGTAAAGTATAGGTGGAGAGGAAAACAGGGGGACGGAGTTGACACCGTGGCTAGTCTGAGTCTGGTCTCAAAACGTGGCCCCAGGCTTCATCAAACCTCACACAGAACGACAGGGAAATCCACATGGATGCAGGGGTGCTCCAGCTTTATGGTTCCCTATAGGGGAACCGAAAGAGACGGAATGATGAACACAAATAAAACTAAAGCATCATGATTATTCTTTAGTTACCGAAACATTCAGATATGTGATCAGGATATTGCCATATCGGATATACTGGTCTGGGGGCAGGACAATTTAAATCATGTATACTAGAGGACTAGAGGATGACATCAAAATACCAAATTGCTGTTTAATCAGGGGGGTGTATTCATTAGTGCACACTATAGCAAACTATTTTGCAACAAAAACAAGAGTTTCTATTAGACAAATTCAGATAGGAACTTCCCCGTTTCGTCCTGTTTGCTTCCTAGTGAATACACCCCTGAATTTTGTATTCCAACGGTTTGACAGAGGGGGCTGTTACCTGAGGTATGAGGTTTTTCTGGATCTTCTTCAGTTTGACCCTCTTGCGGCCATTCTTCGTCACAACCGTCTCCTCGTAGAACTCGTGGGCCAGGTCTCCATCCTCGTCAAAGTACAGGGAGCTGAAGGCAGATAAGACATAAGGGTTACTGCTGGGTGTGGTCTAGTCTGATTAATCAGGCTGTAATACACAATTAATTGGTATATACAGCCTGGAACTAATGCCTGTTGAATAAAATGTAATTTAAACGTACTTTACCAATTGTCTGTGCGGTTTGTCCTTCAGCTGCTCTACATGTTTGACAATATCCACAGGAAAGTATTGTTTATCCCAACTTTTTAGAGAGCCGGTTGTTTCAGTTCAGTACCAAGGAAAGTTTGATTTATATATTCGATATTCTGTTCTCTCATCAATAGCTATTGAACCAGGCATTCTATGACAATGAAAATGGTATATTCTGAATCAGGGGAGGATGGAGAACAAATCGACACCAATGTGTGCAAAAAAATACAAAAAAAACACGTGAATTGTTCTCCATCCTCCCGATTCAGAATATAAAATGTTCATTGTCATGGCATGCTTGGTTCAATAGCTATTGATGAGAGAAAACCGAATATCCAATATAAAACAAACTTTACTTTGGTGCTGAACAGAACCATACACCTACTGGCTCTCTAAACAGTCGGGTAAACAATCCTTTCCTGTAGATTTTGTCAAATTTCTAGAGGCTGAAGGTCAAACCACACAGAAAACCGGTAGACTAAGTTTAAATGTAATTTTAATATAATAATAACAAATGCCATTTAGCAGACGCTTTTATCCAAAGCGACTTACAGTCATGCGTGCATACATTTTTTTTTTGTGTGTATGGGTGGTCCCGGGGATCGAACCCACTACCCTGGCGTTACAAGCGCCATGCTCTACCAGCTGAGCTACAGAGGACAAATTTCATTCAACATTGTCTTGTAAGGAACATTTAAACGATTTTGCAAGCATTCGTTTTAGGCTGTATATACCAATTAATTGTGTATTACAGCCTGATTAAATCAGACTAGGTGTGGTCCAGAGATATAAGAGCATGACAAATGTCTACCCTCTACAGCTGTGGCATCGGTAAACCCCTCCCCTTGCGCACTGCCACACAGAGCTAGAAAGGGATGTCAAATATAAGCTCTCTGTGCCATGTGTTGATCTGTGCACTCCCGGAGATTATTATGCCTACTGACATCGTAAGGGGATGTTTCTAGAAAGATACACAATAGTGTACCCTTTATATTGTAAGTGTACAATATTTGCTTCAGATCAAAGGGGCATAAGGCATTGGGAAATCCAAGCCTTGCTTAATCCTGAGAAGCAGACAGTAGCATGTGCATTATGTTATGATGACATACAGTGCATTCGGAAAGTATTCAGACCCCTTCCCTTATTCCACATTGTTTGAGATTTTGCAAATGTATTAAAAATAAAACAGAAATACCTTATTTACATAAGTAGTCAGACCTTTTGCTATGAGACTCAAAATTGAGCTCCGGTGCATCCTGTTTCCATTGATCTTTTTTAAATTTTAGTCATTTAGCAGACGCTCTTATCCAGAGCGACTTACAGTTAATGAGTGCATACATTTTCATACTGGCCCCCCGTGGGAAACGAACCCACAACCCTGGCGTTGCAAGCGCCATGCTCTACCAACTGAGCTACAACTTGATTGGAGTCCACCTGTGGTAAATTCAATTGATTGGACATGATTTGGAAAGGCACACACCTGTCTATATAAGGTCAATTGACAGTTGACAGTGCATGTCAGAGCAAAAACCAAGCCATGAGGTCGAAGGAATTGTCCGTAGAGCTCTGAGACAGGATTGTGTCAAGGCACAGATATGGGGAAGGGTACCAAAAAATGTCTGCATCTTTGAAGGTCCCCAAGAACACAGTGGCCTCCTTCATTCTTAAATGGAAGAGGTTTGGAACCATCAATACTTTTCCTAGAGCTGGCCGCCCGGCCAAACTGAGCAATCGGGGGAGAAGGGCCTTGGTCAGGGAGGTGACCAAGAACCCGATGGTCACTCTGACAGAGCTCCAGATACAGGTGTGCCAAGCTTGTAGTGTCATACCCAAGAACACGCGAGGCTGTAATCGCTGCAAAGGTGCTTCAACAAAGTACTGAGTAAAGGGTCTGAATACTTATGTAAATGTGATATTTCCAGGATGTTTTTTAAAATAAATTTGCTACAATTTCTAAAAACCAGTTTTTGCTTTGTCATTATGGGGTATTGTGTGTAGATTGATGAGGGGGAAAAAACAATTTTAGCAATTTTAGAATAAGTCTAACGTAACAATGTGGAAAAAGTCAAGGTCTGAATACTTTCAGAATGCACTGTAGCTACTTGTGATGCTATATTTACCTCCGTCTGGTAAACACGAAGGGCGTCGCATTTCGGAAACTTCGGAGCCTCGCCAGCGACTGTTCATCGACTCCCTCTTTGGTTGGATCACCATCAACACTGCCTGAACCAGCAAAAGGCCAATAACCTTTGGTTTTGGAGCCACTACCTCCCATCTTCAACTGTAGGACATTATTTTCTTGGCCGGACTGCACCCAGGAGAGATTTAGCTAGTTGGTTAACGATGAAGGTGTTGACAATTCTCGCAACAGGGACGTTGTTTATCAAGTAGAAGACCGTAGCTAGCTAGAATCTAAAGGAATTACAGAGAAAGGAAGTTACTAGAAGCTAGATATTGATGAATGGTGACAAATGTTTCCCTGGAAGCTGCTGATTTTGCTAGAGATCAAATTACCTGCAATCTTAGCTATGTTGATATTATTTTTCTAACTACTTAGCTAGCTATCTGTGACTATTTAGCATGGGTTAGCAGTCTTTAATCTAGTATTCTATACTTAAGCAATAAGGCCAGAGGGGGTGGTATATGGCCAATATACCACGGCTAAGGGCTGTTCTGAATCACGCCGTAACACTGAGTGCCTGGATACAGCCCTTAGCCGTGGTTTATTGGCCATATACCAGACACCCAAGGTGCCTTATTGTTATTATAAACTGGTTACCAACATAATTAGAACAGTAAAAATAAACGTCATACCCGTGGTATACGGTCTGTTATACAACAGGTGGTTCTAATCCTGAATAGTCATTGGTTAAAACCGCTTTCCAGCCGGTGTCTATTCCACAAATGACCACCAGCTAAATCTATGATGTTAAAATGCCTATTTACTCTGTTCCATCTGACTGCGCAATCCACTGTCTCACCAACCCAGCTAGGCAATTCATAAACTTGATCTCCACTATAAAAAGCATCTAGACATTATCTCACATTATACAAAAGAGCAGAGATTTGTATAAACCTTGCTGTCTGTCTCTCCGACATCTGCAACATTGTTTCAATATTCAAATTCGATCTCCAGCTGTCCCATAGTAATGAACATGTCAGGATTCGGGACGAGACACAGGCAGGCAGCGTTTCTCAGCCAGTCAAAATCATGAATCAGCTGGCATCATTTTTATGGATATATACAAAGAAATGTCAATAGAAAAAAGCTAAAACGAAGTGCAGCTATTTTGCAGTCTTTCCAGCATCAGTTTGAAGTGATTGTGTTAGCTATGTTGTTGGTTAGCTACTATGAACAACAGTGTCCTGACGTGAGAGCACATTTTCTATGCCAGGCGAAATCGCACCTCATTAGCTCATTGTTATGGATGTATCCAAATAAATGTCACTAAAAACAGCTTAAACAATTGCAATTACTGTTGTTATTCTGGCTGCACTGTTTGACGTGACTGTAAGTTAGCCATAGTTGGCTAGCTAGCAAGCAAGAACGTTGACAGCCAGTATGGCAATGGAACATTTAGAACGAACGCATCCATAGATACAGAACAAAAAGACTGAAGGACTGGGACGCGTCTCTAGCAACCGAACCGATAGAACAAACGACCAGCCGGCTTGGGTAGCAACCCTAGATTTGTGTCGGGACTATATCTTGTGGAAGTATGAATAAACAAATCAAAATAAAAACAATTATGAAAATATGTCTATCATTATTTGAATATGTTGGTAACCTGTTGTATAAAGGTTATAATGCCCTCGAAGCTGGTATTTGGAGGATATATTGGAACGGTTTGCTGGCCCTCGACTTCGTCTTGGCCCTAACGACACCCGTGCCAAAATATCCTCCAAACACCGACTTCTCGGTCGGGCATTATCAATTAACTATAAACTGGGTGGTTTGAGCCCTGAATTCTGATTGGCTGAAAGCCATGGTATATCAGACCGTATACCACGGGTGTGACAAAACATTTAGTTTTACAGCTCTAATTACGTCGATAACCATTTTATAATAGCAATAAGGCTCCTCGGGGGTTTGTGATATATGGCCAATATACCACGGCTAAGGGCTGTGTCTAGGCATTCTGCTTTGAGTCATGCATAAGAACAGCCCTTAGCCATGGTATATTGGCCATATACCACACCTCCTCGGGTCTTATTGCTTAAATATACCACGGCAGTCAGCCAATCAGCACTCGAACCACCCAGTTTATTAAAAAAAAAACTAGCAAGGTAGGATTTGAGGCTGGCGTTAGTTTCCCAAACCAATGTAGCTTAGCTAGCTGCTAACACCAACGACGTCCTGTCATCATCCGTAGCTAGCTAGCCGACTACTCACTTTTATAACTTTCCTGTTAAAAAGCAGCATGTCATATCTGAAACAGCTTTAAGTATTTATTGAGCTTATGGCAGAACATTCCAGCGTGTCTGAGGCTGTGATATGCTAGTTGTAGCTAAGGCCCTTCAGAATATCAGATAGCTAGCTACAAAACGCCATACTTGCTGTCAATACGTGCTGTCACATTTCAATTTGATTTGTTACATGCTTGAAAGCGCATTCACTATCACCATACCCAGAGTAATTTCAGCTTGATGTCGATCAATCGAATGAAATCAAGGATGTGCCAACTTCCTTTGACGACGAATGCCTTCAAAACACAAACAGCTCTCTCACGCTGATAAATCTAGCCTCAGCCTCTCCCTCACTTCCGTTAAATCGAGGGCATGTACTTGCGTCACTTCCCGTCTATTTATTTACTTTCCTTGTTGGGAAGGAAAGGAGATGAGGAAAGAGAGTGCAAAATAGTCTACTCTAAAGTGGATGATGTAAGGCATAATAACAACACTGATAACAAAATAAAGATTAAATGACTAATTTGTTATCTTTTTATTATTCGTGGAAATATGAACACATTGCAAAATTGATTCATTTCCTTAGATATGTAATTCCCATAATAAAACATGTATGACACTGGCTAGCTAAAAGTTTAAAGGATTTATCTGAGTATTTATGACAGATGTCTTCCCAGAAAGCTGGGCCATGTGCAGTAGGAAGACGATGTTTTCGAAACGGGGAGAGACCTAAACTGTCCCTATAAGAACACAGAATTTTGTTTTCCATTGAAAAACATTTTGCTATAGTATGCCCTACTCAACACAACCCTGATCGAAAACAGTTGGCAAGTTTCATAACACGTCCCTAAACTAAGATAGAAATCTAGAGAAAGCCCACAACAGATTGACATGTCAGACGCATTCAATGATCCCTTTATTAACGACAAGGGGAATTATGAGAGTAACAACAGCTCAATACAGTTCAATCTTCAGTTATCGCACCCTCGCCCAACATCTGAGCAGCAGCAAACATTTTCCCAGTGAAAAACTCCAGTTCTCAGGTTAAGCAGTGTCCAGACCAGGACATCTCCTGCGTGTCCAGTCAATGACTTTATCATCTGTCCTCACTCCTCAGACAACTTCTTCCAGTCATCATAGTAGTACCCAATCAAGGCCACACAACACCCGTAGTAGTAGCCCACTGGTTTGCACTAAATATCCCTACCTTCTCTCCTAGCTTACACTACTATGTCCCTGGGCTTGTTCTACATTGCAGCTGACAGTGCATGCGACTGCCGACTAACTGATCTTCAAAGAACCTTGCATCATAAATAACGACTCGTTATTATTTGTAGATCAGACAGTCAGTCACAATTTACCCATGATACATTACGATTTTAATCCTCTGGAACACGGCCAAAGTCCGTCTCAAGGACATGTTCATGATTGATCTCTGACTTCCTGTCTCTCCCCCTATCTAACCCCCTTTGGCCGTAGTTGCCATCTACAGCTGCAGAGGTTGCTGTGCTGTGCTCTATCTGCTACAGCAAGGACAGCTCTAAAGACCTTTGAACTCAGAATGGCATATTGTGTACCATGACCATATTGTGTACCATGCTCCTGGTGGCTGCTGGTCAATAGTGTGCATGCCTCTCCACCATGATGCCATCACATCACATCAGCCGGGGGTGGTGACGCTGGCCATTGCCTCCTTCACCCTGTCCCTGGCCAGAGCGTAGCGCTTGATGATCTGCCGGATGTGTTCCTCTTCCTCGCGCTGAAGGATCCGCAGGAAATTGTGCAGCTCAGGAAAGCTGAATGCATCCCACTGTGGGAGAGAGAGTAACTCAATGTTCAATCTCAATGCAGTAAAGTAATTACTCTGTCAACACTTTCCAATACACTTCATTTTCAGTGTTGAGCATATGAGAGCCCTCTTTGTGTATTTTTTTGGGACATAGAAATATATTATATTTGTATGGTTTTGGAGATGACTCACGTTGACCTCCCCAGTCTCATTCTCTTTCAACACCAAACTTAGGACTATCTCATTAGGTCCGGCACACAGACGCAGGTGGAGCGGACGCTCATCATCAGACAGCTTACGGAGGTATACTAGAAAGGTAAAACAAAGAAAGAGACAGAGAGAGATACATAGCCATAATATGACATTTGAAGTCTCTATTCCTTTGAAACTTTTGTGAGTGTAATGTTTACTGTTCATTTTTGATTGTTTATTTCACTTTGGTTTATTATCTATTTAACTTGCTTTGGCAATGTAAACATATGATTCCCATGCCAATACAGCCCTTTTGAATTGAATAGAGAGAGAGAGAGAGAGAGAGAGAGAGAGAGAGAGAGAGAGAGAGAGAGAGAGAGAGAGAGAGAGAGAGAGAGAGAGAGAGAGAGAGAGAAAAGTGACCCGGACATTTTCTTACATTGTGTTTGGTATCATATTAAGTGGAATGATTTGTGCTAATGGACACTCACACTGGTTTTGATGTTCACTGCGCTCAAACAGGGCGAACTTGGCCGGGTTGTCCACCACAGTGAACTTGTTGAGCAGGGCCTCTATGACCTCTCGTGCCTGTGTCCGGGAGCTTATGTGCAGGAGTTTGGCTGTGTTTTTTGGGAGGTAGAAAGAAGTCCGGCACTTCAGCCCCCCCTCCAGCTGCCCCTCTTCCTGTGGTGAAGACACCTTCCGAGGGGGTGGGAGTGACACAGGACGAGTCAGCTTAAAAAGGACCCTGATGAAGCCAGTGTATGATCCGTCTCGGTTCTGAAAAAAGGATACAGAGTCCTTAGATGGATTGTCAATGGACATGTCAATACAGTGTGAACATAACGTGCCTGAGGAACTCATATACACAGCTGAAATAAAATATCCCAGAAATCGTCCATATGCAAAGAAAGCTTATTTCTCTCAAATTTTGTGCACAAATTTGTTTACATCCCTCTTTGTGAGCATTTCTCTTTTGCCAATATAATCCCTCCACCTGACAGGTGTGGCATATCAAGAAGCTGATTAAACAGCATGGTCATTACACAGGTGCACCTTGTACTGGGGACAATAAAAGGCCACTCTAAAATGAGCTGTTTTGTCACACAACATAATGCCCCAGATGTCTCAAGTTTTGAGGGAGCGTGCAATTGGCATGCTGACTGCAGGAATGTGCACCAGAGCTGTTGCCAGAGAATTGAATGTTCATCTCCCTACCATAAGCCGCCTCCAACATCGTTTTAGAGAATTTGGCAGTCGACTTCAGTGGGCAAATGCTCACCTTCGATGGCCACTGGCATGCTGGAGAAGTGTGCTCTTCACGGATGAATCCCGGTTTCAACTGTACCGGACAGATGGCAGACAGCGTGTATTGCATCGTGTGGGCGAGCGGTTTGCTGATATCAACTTTGTGAACAGTATCTCATGGTGGCGGTGGGGTTATGGTATGGGCAGGCATAAGGTACGGACAACGAACACAATTGCATTTTATTGATTGCAATTTGAATGCACAGAGATACCGTGATGAGATCCTGAGGCCCATTGTCATGCCATTCATCCGCCGCCATCACCTCATGTTTCAGCATGATAATGCAGGGCCCCATTTCCAAGGATCTGTAAACAATTCCTGGAAGCTAAAAATGTCCCAGTTCTTCCATGGCCTGCATTACTCACCAGACATGTCACCCATTGAGCATGTTTGGGATGCTCTGGATCAACGTGTATGACAGCGTGTTTCAGTTCCCACCAATATCCAGCAACTTTGCACAGCCATTGAAGCGGAGTGGGACAACATTCCGTAGGAGATGTGTCGCGCTGCATGAGGCAAATGGTGGTCACACCAGATACTGACTGGTTTTCTGATCCACGCCCCTACTTTAAAAAAAGGTATCTGTGACCAACAGATGCATATCTGTATTCCCAGTCATGAGAAATCCATAGAGTAGGGCCTAATGAATTTATTTCAATTGACTGATTTCCGTATATGGACTGTAACTCAGTAAAATCTTTGAAATTGTTGCATGTTGCGTTTATATTTCTGTTCAGTATATTAACTTACAGATTATCACATACATATACAGGACAGAGGATATAATGGGTCTGCAACTAATTTACAAAGTGAGGTTAACTGGCCATTCGACACAGGTGTGTGTGTGTGTGTTTGTATACATGCATTTGCATTTACATTTACATACCAGCACCATGTAGAGATTGCTGTTGATCTGAGCATTGTATTCCTTCACCTTCTGCTGGATGTCACTGACAGAAAGCACTTGTTTCCCCCAGTCAATTGGTTCAATCTGAAATAGAGGAAAGGAATGTGAGTTTCAAAACAAATCTCCTAGGACCTATTCCTATGGTCTGGCTGTAGGCTCACTGTCTAACCAACCACAAGAGGTCAGCAGAGAACTTACTTGTGTTGTTGTACAGCTTTATTATACACCTGCTCTATCAGTGATCTCCCAAATGTTTTTATTTTTTCATGAAACAAGTGATTTTTTCAAGTTTTTCCTAAATATTTTTTTGCCATGTGGTAAGTCAACGTGGACTACGTCCCTTCCGCATACAGTAGTTAGAAGAGTAGTACAAAAGTACAGTATCCTATGTCCTCTGGCATAACTTATTCCCACGATAACACAACCTCTCTTTCTGTCCAGTAAACAGCGAGTTCACTCCCTTGGGTTTAAAGCCAGGTGCATGAAGCAGATGGAAGCTGTGGCCAACCTTGCTCTCTCAACCCCCTCCCTACCAAGCCCAGCTAGTAAGCACATCAGGAATCCCTGCCTTCCACAAGAACAGAGGAGAGGAATTCACTGAGGACACACACACACACACACACATACACAGGTTAAATTTAGGCTTTGGTGTCATATCTCTGCCAGTTCCAACCAGCATATTAAGAATTTCCACACAGCAACACAAGTTCTCTTTGAACGAATTCTCCAATGTGTCATGCAAAAACAGAATCATTCCCAGCTGGGAAAAAAGCAATACACACTATTCTAGTGTGGAGCTTTGTGTGCACAAACATCTCATTTACCTGACCCAACTCTGTGTTACAGAGAGTTTCTGTGTATGAGTTACTTAATTGCATCAAATGGCAATAGCATGATAAGAAACGACATTGTTTTGAAAACCGACTACAATGCAGTCCATCAACAAAGACATTGCACAAACGTTTAGGCTACATAGGGTAGTATGTTATCTTATTAACTTGATAGACCAGACTTCTGACTTTTTTTATTTATTGCCGCGGACGCCTCACCGTTTTCCTTTTGACTTTGATAAAGAAGGATGTGCACGCGGTGCAAAACTGCTCCAGCTCCGAGTCCGAGTCATCCTGGCTACAGTTTCCGCTGCTGGTCGCGCTGCCCAAGTCATCTCAAATGATGTGGTCTTTTCCATTGCCTCTTTTAATGCCATATCTCTATGTTACAATGTTAACGTATTTGTGCGTCCCTCACTAATTGTCATCAATTCTCAAAATCATAGCCTAGGTAATTATTTTCAATTTAACAATAAGCTCCCCAATACACATTCTAATATTCTACCATTCCTACTACTACTCTACTTGTCCCGTTACATAAGTTCCTCACAGGATTTACATTTGATGACATTTGGCTACTTACCACATCCACATTAGTATCTGTCTCCACGGTGTCTTCAGAAACATCAGTTTGGTTGGTAGTGAGGAGCCTACTATCTGTGCTACAATCCAACTGGATAAACGGTCGACATTGGTAGTGACAGGTGTAACTGCAGTCTAGGGAGAGAGATAGAGAGTGTAAATATCCAAAGTAAGCTTTGGCAATATGTACATTGTTACATAGAGGGAGATGGGTCACATGTGAGGAAGAGAGACGGTTGATTGCTTCAACATTACCATTCACACATTTTGGATCAACTATTTGCCTCAAATGTGTTTATTCTACCATTCATCTTGTGCATGACATGGAGACTAAAGTGGTAACTGAATTCCCCTTCCCAGCTTTCTCATTATCATCGAGCAGCACAGCAGATATACAGTGCCTTCAGAAAGTATTCAGACCCCTTGACTTTTTCCACATTTTGTTACGTTACAGCCTTATTCTAAAATGGATTAAATAAAAAACATCCTAATCAATCTGCACACAATACCCCATAATGACAAAGCGAAAACAGGTTTTTAGAAATACTTATTTACATAAGTATTCATTTGCTATGAGACTCGAAATTGAGCTCAGGTGCATCCTGTTTCCATTGATCATCCATGAGATGTTTCTACAACTTGATTGGACTTGACTGGTCGAAGGAATTGTTCGTAGAGCTCCGAGACAGGATTGTGTCGAGGCACAGATCTGGGGAAGGGTACCAAAACATTTCTGCAGCATTGAAGGTCCCCAAGAACACAGTGGCCTCCATCATTCTTTAATGGAAGACGTTTGGAACCACCAAGACTCTTCCTAGAGCTGGCCGCCCGGCCAAAATGAACAATCAGGGGAGAACGGCCTTGGTCTGGGTGGTGACCAAGAACCCGATGGTCACTCTGACAGAGCTCTAGAGTTCCTCTGTGGGGATGGGAGAATCTTCCAGAAGGACAACCATCTCTGCAGCACTCCACTAATCAGGCCTTAATGGTAGAGTGGCCAGACGGAAGTCACTCCTCAGTAAAAGCCCGCTTGGAATTTGCCAAAAGGCACCTAAAGACTCTCAGAGTGCCAAGCTTGTAGCGTCATACTCAAGAAGACTCGAGGCTGTAATCGCTGCCAAAGGTTCTTCAACAAGGTACTGGGTAAAGGGTCTGAATACTTATGTAAATGTGATATTTCCAGGTTTTTTTAAACCTTTTTTTGCTTTGTCATTATGGGGTATTGTGTGTAGATTGACGAGGGAAAAAAAACAATTTAATACATTTTAGAATAAGGCTGTAACGTAACAAAATGTGGAAAAAGTCAAGAGGTCTGAATAGTTTCTGAATGCACTATAGGTCTTCACTGCCCTCTGCTGTTGATTCTGTCCACCACATCAACTATGAATGAGTCTCGTCCCACAGCCGCCATGAGTCTGGCAAGCAAGTCTAATGAATTAGTGGCTTTGGCTAAACAGACTTGACTGTATTCAGCCCCATACTATCTACACATATTTAACTCTCATGGGCCCAATAGAGACAAATAGTAACGGCGTCTTTTTGTTGGCACTAACTCTGCCATGGTTCATTGGACAAAGCCTATGGAGAAAATGAATGGTTTTTGTAGGGTGGTAAACACAGGCTTAGGAGATCTTACATGTTTTGTTCTATGAGATAATCTTCATCCACTAATGTCACTTTTTGTTAATTTTGAAGCATTTATGTAATATTATACAACGGGTGGGTCTAATCCTGAATACTGATTGGTTCAAAGCGTATTCCAGCCGGTGTCTATTCCACAAGGCTAAATCTATGACGTTAAAATGCCTATTTACTCTGTTCCATCTGACTGCGCAATCCACTGTCTCATCAGCCCAGCCAGGCAATTTATAAACTCTAGACATTATCTCACATTACTTTTAGACTAACATTTAGTTTTCAACAGCAGAGATTTGTATAAACCTTCCTGTTTGTCTCTCCAACATTTGCAACATTGTTTCAATATTCAAATTCGATCTCCAGCTGTCCCATAGTAATGAATGTGTCGGGAGTCGGGACGAGACAAACAGGTAGGCAGCGTTTCTCAGCCAGTCGAAATCATGAATCAGCTGGCATAGTTTTTATGGATATATACAAATAAATGTAAATTGAAAAAAGTAAAATGAAACGAAGTGCAGCTAGTTTGCAGTCTTTCCAGCTTCAGTTGGAAGTGATTGTGTTAGCTGTGTTGTTGGCTAGCTCCTATGAACAACAGTGTCCTGATGAGAAAGCACATTTTCTATGCCAGGCGAAATCGTGCCTCATTAGCTCATTGTTATGGATGTATCCAAATAAATGTCACTAGAAAACAGCTTAAACAAATGCAAATGCAGCTACTGTTGTTATTCTGGCTGCACTGTTTGACGTGACTGTAAGTTAGCCGTAGTTGGCTAGCTAGCAAGTAAGGGATAAGAACGTTGCCAGCCAGTATGGCAATGGAACATTTAGAACGAACGATTGGGTAGCAACGACTGTTGAAGAGTCCATAGAAAGAACAAAAAGACTGAACAACTGGGTCGAGTCTCTGGCAAACGAACCGATAGAACAAACGACCAGCCGGCTTGGGTAGCAAACCTAGATATGTGTCGGGACTATATCTTGTGGAAGGATGAAATAGTATGAATAAATTCATTAAAAAAACGTTTTAATTGAAAATATGTCAATCATTATTTGAATATGTTGGTAACTCGTTATTTAAAAGTGATAATGCTTCGAAGCCGGTGTTTGGAGGATATACTGGTACGGTTTGCTGGCCCTCGTCTTCGTCTTGGGCCTAACAACACCGTGCCAATATATCCTCCAAACACCGGCTTCTCTGGCATTATCACTTAAGTTAAAAACACATAAAGCACATAAAGGCTTGATAATTCATAAAGGTCATGTTAACTGACTGATATTAGCTCATAGAACAAAACATATAAGATCTCCTAAGCCTGTATTAACCTCAGACTTTATTTTCTGCATTTATTCCAAATCCCTATTCATTCCCAATGATATTTTCCCATAGGGATTGCTGAACGAACCAGAGGTAACTCATTTCCGGGTTTTAGGATTACAAACTGGCTAGCTCTATCCCAAATGGCTTACTAGACTCTCTCCACAAGGGCGTAGGGTCTAGGGGTCCATTTGGAATTGGCCATATACTTTTGATGGCTGTTGCAGTTTCCTTCTTCACTACCACTTAAAATACACAACACAGAAATACATGCAGTCCAAAGGTTATTTTAGAAGACAAGAATGTTCCCATGCTCCTGCTGTCCCCTATGCTCTAAAAACACCAAGCTTCCCAGAGCTTCCTGCTGATAGGGTCGTGCTCTGGGACAAGCTTTCACCTGATTGGATGAGAAACAAATCCAAAAAGCAGGCTGTTTGTCTTATGGAGTAGTTCATATATTTGAGAAATAATTATGTAATTATCTTTATTAAGATGCAATAAGACAGATCTGATTCCTAATCAATAAACATCCTATTGGGATGAGTGCACAGGATATGAGAGAAATGTTATTTTAAGGCTCTATCACACTATAGGAAAAAGAGATTGCTACAGAAAACATGCTAACACACTTATATATATTCCTGCATGTGTGAATGTCTGACTCTCTCAACTCTCACACAAATTGACATGCTGCACACACATACATATACACAGAGTATAAAAACATTAAGAATACCTGCTCTTTCCATGACATAGACTGACCATGTAAATCCAGGTGAAAGCTATGATCCCTTACTGATGTCACTTGTTAAATCCAAATTCAGTGTAGATGAAGGGGAGGAGACAGGTTAAAGAAAGATTTTTAAGCCTTGAGACAATTGAGACATGGATTGTGTAGATGTGCCATTCAGAGGGTGAATGGGCAAGACAAAAGATTGAAGTGCCTTTGAACTGGGTATGGTAGTAGGTGCCAGGCACACCAGTTTGTGTCAAGAACTGCAACGCTACTGGGTTTTTCACGCTCAACAGCTTCCCGTGTGTATCAAAAATGGTCCACCACCCGAAGGACACCCAGCCAACTTTGACACAACTGTGGGAAGCATTGGAGTCAACATCCCTGTGGAACGCTTTCGACACCTTGTAGAGTCCATGCCCCGACGAATTGAGGCTGTTCTGAGGGCAAAAGGGGGGGGGGGTACAAATGTTTGGTATACTCAGTGTATATACCCACATACCAACACACATACAGTGATCACATGCATGCACGCACACACGCACGCAAGTGCACACACACACACACACACTGGGTTGGTACTTACTAGCACAGCTCAGGCTCTGTTTGTAAAGGCCCCAAATGAATTCTCCACACAGGTCACACCAGGTGATCTGGGTGTAGCTGCAGGGCTGGAAGTCATGTCCCTTCCCACCCTGCCCTGTGAACCACGAGGGCCCCTCAACGCTCACACTGTCCCCCACCAGCCGGACCACCTGGCTGGACCTCTGCGAAGCCCTCACCTGCCTGGGAGTCAGGGGTGCTGCTGGGAGCGGAGGGGCTGGTTGGTCCGGTGCCAGCTCAATGCGATCATTTAGGCTGAGATCTTTCAGCTCAATCAGCTCACACTTGGAGATCCCGTTGACCCAGGCAAACAGCCGGGCAACGGCCTGTGGGGGCTCACTGCCCATGGTTAGCATGGACTATACTTACACCCGGTCCACACAGGGAACTCAGTCTCACTGGAATTAATCCATCCAAGGACCATCGCAGCATCCGTATTTAGAACCTTGATCATGTCAGATGTTGTCTATCGTGCAGAGAAAGTGTTGGCTCTGAAGCTATCTTCGGCGTGATGAGCAGTGTGCCAGAATAGGTGTCAGCTGAACAACATCTGTTCATGGAGTCCTCTTCAGGCTCCGTGACAGACCAAACAAGCTTTCTAAATCAGAGGGAATTATACATTTATACAGGAGTTCTATAATCACAATCAGACTTCATCACATCCCAGTATTCTGACTGCTGTCTATACCAGGAAGAGAAAGACAGAATATAAACATGTTTTACAGAAAGCTAGCTGCAGTCATTCCTTTCACCATGCCATTCACAGACTTCATTTTCATCCACCAAAACTAGAGAAAGATTTCAATTCTGTTCAACAGTTTAACAGGCAGTACAAGTCGTTGGTAGAATACAGCTGGCTCTGGCTACATATGAAATACAGCCTACAAATGGAAAAAAATGAAGATTAATATTTGTTGGCCAAAGCCAGGATTCATAAGATGATATATAAAATGTGGGACAAGTTGACTAGTTTATTCCTGCACGGGAGCATAGCGGAGAGCATAGTCTTTGACATGAAAGAAACATGACAACATGACAGGCCACCTGTATTCATGTGACTGTTGGGAAAGAGGCACTCAGCAGGAATTGACATGTGGGAAAAATAATCCTTGACTATATATGTATATATGTGGTCCTATGTAGCTCAGCTGGTAGAGCACGGCGCTTGTAACGCCAAGGTAGTGGGTTCGATCCCCGGGACCACCCATACACAAAAATGTATGCACGGATGACTGTAAGTCGCTTTGGATAAAAGCGTCTGCTAAATGGCATATTATTATTATTTATATAGACTGTAGACAAAAAGGCACTATTCTACTAGGGAATGCATACAATTGAGAGGTTGAATGACAATAGCCTATCCATTGCTATTCCAAGCATGTGCCGTATGCTCATTTAGGCTATATGTTCTGGAATATAATAAAGGATTTCCTTCACTCTTAATTGGAAGTGATATATCTTAGCTAAACGAGCAGCCCTGACAGAGGCCAACCCCCTAAACCCAGCAGTGCCCTAGCTGTGACCAGGGCAAGTGCAACTATATATAATATTTTTTATATTAGGAATGCAGTTGTTGGAGTTGGAACGTTCTCCCTTCAGTGCACCACGATTGTGTCCCCTATAGCTTAATGTATTGACAAGAATAAGAACAGGCGCTGCACGGTCACAACTCGCCAACTGGGTCACCACTACGCGCAGCTCAGCAACAACCATCCACATTGGTTACAAATTAGTTACACAGACTCGAACATGTTTAACAGTTTAAAAATATATATATCAATAGGCTAAAAGGAAAGCCTATAGTGTATATTGGTGTTAAATTGTAATTTACCATTGGAGATGTTATTGAGGTCATCACATCGACGTTTAGGCACTTTTCTTTCAACGTAATTTAACACTAGCCTATAGATATATATACATTCCAGAACAGCACTATTCTTGATGACGATGTTAATAAAGACCAGTTAACGACCCGTTTTAATCCGATGGCTCTCTGAAACCGGGTGAGGTACCTGGTTTTAGTGACACCGCGCGCGACCCACCATGATGCACCACAAACAGTATGTTTGTAAAAGAGGATTTTGGACGTCTGCTCACCTCTCTTTGTGTACACCCCCTCCTCGTCGTTGGTGGTTATGTATTAACCGTGGGCAAATGTTGACTGGTGTCCAAGGTTTAGGGCTATAGATTCGTTATTTTCTCTCCAAGCACACTCTCGTCGACAGATTACTGATGCCTAATCCCGTCCTGTTTCTTGTAGTTCCTCACTCATCATGCCATGAGGTTTACCCGGATAGCTTCTTCTCCATCAAACAGAGCAGAATATTTCTGCATTTAGTACTTCTAAAGGCTACAAGTTCCTGGAAGTGTTTATGTAATTGTTCACATGAAACAAGTTGCAAGTACGTCCAATTAGGGAGCTGTCCAGTGCTGAAAGTGCTGAAATCGATCAGCAGCGAGGTGTGAGAGAAAGTGAGACAGTCCCATTTTATGAGATGTGATATTAAAATACTAGACCACCTATGTAATTTTGTATATTCAAATATTAATCAGATCTGATATTCCAAGACATTATGTAATTTCCAAGTCCCCAAATGTAGCCTGGCCCTATAGACAAGTTGGCTGTCTGACTGATTAAATACGAAATGTTCAGATGTTCAATGTTTTGGAAATCACCCGAAGAGAAGCCTCAGGTTAGAAATATGGAGCTCTGTTCTCCAAAACACACAGTGGAGATGGAAGCAGAGATGTTAGACTATATTGTATGAATATTAAAGTGTATGTAATATATTTATTCTAGTATGTATACAAGGCTTTGCAGGCAATATATAGAACAACATGAACGGAGTGATAAACAGCAGGTGTAGGCTATGGGGAGCCAGACCAGAGCCTATAGTGATCTGCATGGTTGGCCTATACACTATCATGCTCCCTCCTGTTTATGATTTGCGCCCAGTGTGAGTTTATGTTCATCCTTGATTTTCTTCCTTGCTCAGAGAAGAAGTCCCTTCTTTATCAGGGGCAAGGGAGGGAAGGGACTCCAAGAGGCCCATAGTAGATAACAAACACTGGGCTGAGAGAGAGAGTCTAGCACTGGGCCATGGGTCACAATGGTGGGAGGAATCCTCTCCTTCTCTCCCATTAGAAAAAAAGTATTTTAATTGGTTTTGAATTTCTGATTTGCTATGGCTGCTGGAGACCAAAATGAATCCACTAATTTCAATTCATCAATCAGTGTTGGCTATTTTCTGACCAGTAAACCAACATTAATAAACTGGATACAAAACTAATTCACAATAAATATGTTGCATTATTAATATTGGCCCAGGTTGAAATCCTGAACCGAAACCATTTCATGAATTACAAGAAAGTGTATTCCTACCTTTTGATGTGTTGTGTTGTATAAACCGTTTTTCCCCTCATTCTTGAGAAGGCAAATAGAAGGCAAGAGGATGAAGGAAGAAAAATACACTTTTATCATGATGGCAAACAGCTTGTTTCCTTCCTGTCCATTTGTACACAGTTGAAATAGAAACTAAGAGACAAGTACTGTATAATTAAAGACAGACAGAGCGAGAGAGAGAGAGAGAGAGAGAGAGAGAGAGAGAGAGAGAGAGAGAGAGAGAGAGAGAGAGAGAGAGAGAGAGAGAGAGAGAGAGAACATGGTGTGAGCACATGTTAGTGGACAGACAGTTGGTTGCAGTGTATCTTTATGTTCTAGTGAGAATGTGGCAGACTAGTGTCTAGCCATGTTGCACAAGTCACATGCTAGTTTGGGAGGAACTGGAGCACAATGACCAGTGAATGGAGGAGCACTGAGTGTGCATTGAGTGGTGCGGTTTGGAATGGACGGTATTCCAGATGCCCGGTTTAATAACAGCAGTGAGCAACACACAGCACAATGCTACAATCATACCATCATACCATTGCTCCACAGAGAGAGCATTATATGCACACCATGATGAGGTTACAGACTGTGCAATATTCTAGATTTAGGCAATTAACTCTGGACATTCGGTCGCATTCTTGATTCCGTTTTCAGTCTCTAGGACTATACTGCTTGTTACTTGCAAGCTCTACTATAATGCCCAAAAAAATATTATCAGGAAAGGTTCATTATTTTAGTAAAGAAAAGAAAATACAATGTAGGGTTGCTGATTGATGGTTTGTGCTCCATGATGATTATTTTAAACATTCCTTCTGAATATAAAACAATGTTGGTGCCATAGAGGTTATTCATTAACGATTGGAATTCACAGTCTGTTCCACAATGACAATTTAAGTAATTAACCCCTCTTCTTGGAGTCTGGTCAAGGAAGAATTAGCGTGGAACCAATGCCTGTATCTAGAACTCACACAACTGCTCACCTGAACTACAATACCCAAAATGCACATGAGAAAGTAGGAAGGATAGTGATTCTGTTCACGTCACACCGTAGCTTGAATTTCAATATAAAGAAATGCCACACAGACTCAGTTGATGAGAATAAAACACTGCACGCAATGAATGAGCCTTTTTACCATATCTGCGTAATTTAATTATTGGCCCGGTAGTTAATCGTGTTATTTAGCTAAACTTGTCATCTATTGTGTAACGACTAACGTTAGGTCGGCTGCAGCTTTGACTGCTTAAGTTTTACTCTTGCTTGTCAATAACGGGTTGCAACAGCTTTCTCATGTAGCCTATTTCACTTTATGTAATGAATTTAGTGAGAAACTGGTGTAAGACTTTGTAATTAACTTTCTCTACTATGGGTTTCGATTAATCTACAAAAAATGTTTACTATTAAAAATCGAGGCCTATCTGTGGGTTCAAATTGGGTTGCACTGACATTGGATGCGCACGCACAGTTCTACCTGTCCAACTTGTGAGCAAAGGAAAGGCTGGAAACCATGTCGAAACGCTAAGAATCAGAGCCTCGAATTTACAGTTATGGGAAAGTCGCATGTGGGATACTGACTCACGTGCTGTGTGTTGTCTTCACAGTGTTTATCACGGTACTGGCCAAGCCTGGAACAAGTGAGTAACCCAACCTTGGTGCCAGCAGAGCACCCTGGTCCCAATCAACGCTGTTACATAGCTACTGGGTTCCTTCCACCTTAACCCACTATAAATATTTTCAATTGAGATGAAATAACCCAATAGGTTTGTTCTCTTGGCACCCTTTCCTGATGTCACTGGCTGTAAGTTGACACATCTGTGTGTACATAATGTAGTTTGTAAATTAATCTCACTCAAATGTCACAGAAGTGTGACATACATTTTTCCTCAACAATCCTCCTTGCTGTTCTCTTCCCATCTCCTTTTGATTCCCCTCTTTCCTTTCCTCTCCTCCCCTCTAAGTTCTCCCTCTTCTCTCCACACTGCTCTCCCATCCGGAAGTTTCCCCACAAGACCAAGGCGTGTGTCCACTGGATCCTGCAGTGCCTCTGTGTCAGCTGTGCCACCTTGGGCCTGGCATCTTTCTCCTACAACAAGTACCTGAACGGCAAACCCCACTTCACCTTGTGGCACGGCCTGGTGGACCTGGGGATGGTGTGTGTTGTTGGGGTGCAGTCTCTGGCAGCTCTGCCGCTTCTCTACCACTCTCTGGCTAAGGACTGGTCCCTGGCTAGGCTGAAGCGCTACCACGCAGCGTCTAGCCTCATCACCTACCTGCTTGGCAGTGCCAGTCTGCTCCTGGGCACCTGCTTTGTGTGGTTTACAGGCGCTGTGGGAAGATACACCTGGTGGCACCCTACTCTGCTGTCAGCACCCTGGTCATCATGAGCCAGGTGTCCAATACCTACATGACTAAGAAACGATTGGTGTCCTGACCAGCATGTTATAAAATGCCCCAAAACACTCCAAACCAACTCATATTACATCAGAATCTCATTCTGGATAATGCCTTTGCACTCAATTTTAGATTTTTTCCCCACTGTGCCATAAATCCATGTTTGAATGATGCAGTTCACAACAACAAAAATATGCAAATATGCATTTATGTTCTAAAATTGAGTGCAGAGACATGATCCAGAATAATATTCTGATGTAATATGAGGTAGTTTGGAGTGTTTTGGAGTGTTTTATAACCAGTGGTGTGTATTCATGGATGCCAGGGGAAGCCAGTCTCTCTGTGTTTCATAATTTTCTTCAGTTTGCAAGAGGCTGAATGTATCTCACCGGAGAAAGCATCTGAGCGAGTGAAACAGCGCCCCTCTGTCTCTGTATGTGTAGCCCATCTATCTGATGTTGTCTGGTCAAAAATAGTATGACATTGTTGCTGCCCATAGCATTGAATGCAAGGGAAGCCAGTGAACATTTGGCCTCCCTTGATAAAAAAAAAAGTATAAAATAAGCCAATCAGCGTTGAGCTAAACTGAGTGAGCTCAGCTGTGAATGCTCCTGGCGCAAAAAAAAAGTGTAAAGGGAAGCCAGTTTGGATTTGGCTTCACACCAATCACATCACATCAAAATACCAAACGTCATTGACAGAAAACTTTAATTGTTGCATCTCATTGGGTTGTTGCCCTCCGGTGGCTAGCAAGCTAAAATCATCCCTTTCCTAAATTAGCCATGGATGGAGATAGGGATTTGGACTTGTGGTTTTACTTAATTCTCCGTACTGGCCAATGATTATAACGGCGATTCTGATCTAACCATAAATGTATACATTGTGCCCCTGTCCTAAGAGGATGGAAGTTCAATATGTTGCTAGTTGGCTCATTGTTGCCCATGAAAGGAAGTTAGACTAGCAAGCAAGCATGCTAGCCAGGTGGCCTAGGACAACAAAAACTAAAAATGCTCTTCGGTTTTGTGATGCAAAAAAGGTGGTTCAATTTATTCTGCCACTGTCTTCTTATTGTCTCGGCCTTAGGCCTATATATATCACAGTGGCAAGGCAAATGAACTAACAGGTTATAGAGAAAACAACGCAATTATTACAAAACATAGGTTGTAATATGGCATTTTCTTTCTGGCTTTGCTTCCCCAGTGATTTTACCCACGCACCGCTACTGTTTATAACATGCTTAGACACATTTTCATAATGCATTGTAGTCCATGGCAAGTGATGACTCAGCTAAATGTGACAACCAATTTTCTCTGTAACGAAACAAAATATTAAAAAACGGTTTGGGGGGGGATCAACTACAAGCACAGAAAGAGTAAAAATAAGGCCACCAGTAAAAATGGGTGAACTTCCCCTTTAAAGCTTTAATAGAAGCTTTACTGTGGAACTCTCTTTGGAGGACCAACATGCATTCTGCCTAATGCCCAAAAGTATCGGTGCCTCACATTGGTGCAATTATGATTTTGTCACATCTACTGCTGAACTAGTTTTAATGTCAAAGTGGAAGAGCATTTCATAGTTTGGTCATTGTTTCAATTTGGAGTGTGTTAACTTTACCTTGAGCAACGAAGTGGTATGGAATCACCAATAAGTATAGAATTGGATAGCACATGTCAGCATGGCCTAGTAGAAAAGTGTTGTAATGCAGAGAATTACACAGTAGTGTAGTTTAGTAGTGTATACTTACTAACTTCATATGTGGAACATAAGGCGTCCATGAGAGAGCGGCACTGCTGCCGATCATCTGCCTTTTTGGGGATGTTTTTTTCATGACAGGCCTCAGTCCTTCATCTCCTTCACAGTTCTTTTGGGTGGCCATACTGCCTTTTTCCATCTGCTGTCCAGCGGAGGGATGTCTTTGGGAGTATTTAGTAATGTATAGTTCAGTAGTATTTTGTATCTGAGAGCCAAGGAGAAAAAGAAAGCCAGTTTTGTGTCTAAAACCCAGGAAGTGCTGATATTGGTTGTTGATAATGATGTTAATACTATTTTACAACAATTATGGTGTCGTGTAACCATGCAAACAACTCCTGGAGGCCAAAAGGCATCATGGGTCATTTCTTAAGCTGGTTACTGATGCTGCTGCTTTGTTTTCTTTGCATTGCCTTTAGGCTTAAATGGACCAATGAACATTTCTTGCGATTCATTTATTTTATCCAAAGTTGACACTTGTGTTGTGCCCCCAAAATGGCAGGTCTCGAAACCAGAGGACCAGATATCTGCTAATATTGTACGTAAGATGTCATAATTACTGATGTGGTAGACTGACTGCAATGTAGTGTCAAAAAGCTGTGCAGTATTTGCTTCCATCCATTCTGTAACTCCCGCAGCAGTCTTACTATAAGGACATACGCATAGTTTTGCATCATAACCAAATCAATTATCCATCACAGATTCCCAGCTGCAGGAGTGCAATTGAAGGTTGATACATTTAGCATATTGGTCTGTGTCTCCATGTGAATATACAGTATGTTCAAAAAACATCTGCGCAAAGAGCATCACGTCAGCGTAATACACAACCAAAATAATGTAATAACGCAAGATAAGTGTTTTATTCACTGTTAAAATAACATTAACAAAGTAACACAGTCGTCATTTTATGCTCGCCTCTATGCTGGATACATGTGGTGACTGACCTCCCGATCTCACAGTCAGTCTGCGACACTGGTCTGCTCTTTCACAGACACTGGTGAAAAGATCAACGTTGATAAAAACAGAATAAAAAACGAGAGCATAATGTACAAAAAAAATAAAAATACGACAGATGAATTCATTTCGATCATTATAAATAAATAATTTTGGTAAATTCATACATTGAAATAAAAGGACAAACTAGTAGAGGCGAGCTAACATCAAGATGTTATAAAAGAACATTGCTACTAAAAAAACATACGGATCACGTTCTCCTCATGATGACACTTAAAAAAAATAAGAAGCACAGTAAAACAATTCTGATTGGGAGGGAGGATGGGGCTTCTTCCTCCAAGGAAATAATTGTCTATTAAAAGGACTGGGATGATTGGCTGAATCATTTGATGGACACAAGACCAGGCCAATTAGAAAAGGTTAAGGAGGTTGCGAGGTGAGGTGGAGGAAAACATCCAACATACATGATCGACTAGAAACAGGTTGTAAGGATAATGACAGGTAAGTATGCAGTAGTGGGTGGGTAGAGTTGAGGTTGTGAGGGATGTGTGGTGGAATCCCCCATTCTTTTATAGCTCTATAGGTGGAATAGGGTGTAGAGACTAAACTGAAACTCCACACAAAATTGGGTGATATATATCAGACATTTCTCTTGGCTCCTGTAGCCCAACTTGAGTTCCATGTCCAATTCCAGTGGAGAAAAATAACCTGGAGGCCCGATTCATTCCACTCACATTATGATTTTGAGATGACATCACAGAAAGAAAAACGTATCGACCAACCACAGAACAGCACAGACCAGTACAGACAGACCCAAAGCACTGTAGAGCTACAGAGATACACTACTGAGAGAAGCTACTTACACTGACTGTCTGTCTGCCTTGCGGTCAGGGATACACCTAGCTATCTCAGACAGGCTACTCCTGTGTGCTGCTTGCTTCTCATTGGGTAAGGCCATCTATACATCCACCCCCACACAACGGGCTGGCTTAACAATGCCACACAAATGGCCACAGTCCTTGGTGGGTTACCGTAGTCATTGTTAACTACTGTAGCTAAATGGTTGTGTGTTTGTCGCTTTCTGAAGGTATACACCCAGTCATGCTACAGAGTAAACCTATGGCTCCAAAGGATTCTGTCAGGGCTTGTATTCATAAAAGCGTCTCAGAGAAGGAGTGCTGATCTAGGGCCAGTTTTGCCTTTTAGATCATAATGAATAACATTAGATGGACAGGGGGACCTGATCCTAGATCAGCACTCCTACTCTGAGACACTTGATAAATATGGGCCCAGATCTATAAACTGTTTGTGAATGTATATGATCCATATCCCTATTAGTATAGTGCAAGTGTAATAGTGTTTTGTATATCTCTGGTCCAGGGTGTTACGTGCGGCTTGCGGAGTGTCGGCAAGCTGCACGTAACGCCCTGGACCAGAGCTAGTGGAGCCTGTCCCTTGAGTTGGACACCAACTAGCCTGGATGCTCAGTAGTTCTGTCTGAAGTCGTTCCGAAGAGGAAAGGGTGTACTAAAGGTGTAAATGGTAAGATTCAAGAAGAAGACCCCTTAGTGTCGTTTAAGGCTAAACGAACGAATGAGAACACATTGTCCGAACCCACCCAGGTCAGCCCCCCTTGTTATCAAAAGGCTGACATGGATGTACATTCATTTGACCTTTAAGGTCTCTCTTTGAAATAAAAGTAACTCAAATGGCCGCCTCGGCAATCGAGCTAAGGGCGTCACCGTCGTTATGACAACTTGATCATAAGAACACACCGTCTCTCCGTCCAACCCTTTCCTTTGAACTTTGAACTCAACCCTGGCCCAGTCTGAACACTCTGTATAAACAACTAATGATTATAACCACCATTTACAAAATATCAACAAGATCAGTTTAGAATACTATTAGAATCAAAACATCCAGGTCACATATACTGTATTGTCTTGTCATCCTTTCCAACAGGGACGCTACAATATCTAGCAAACAGCTAACGACTCTAAAAGCACTTTTTTTTTTTTTTTTTTTTTTATGCAAACGGTCCAACAGATGATTATATAGTTCCATCTGATGTGAGCTCAGATCAGATAGTATCCTGACTGGCCTCAGAGATCGTCATGGGGGTCTAATAAGGGGATGGCTGGGCCATGCTAGAAGATATAGCCGGAGAGGGAGTGCTTGGAAGCCCCATGTTCATCTCAACTGGTCCCACTCAACAAAACGTCCATCCATTCCCATCCATGGTCTCCGGTGCTCAGCCTCACCAAACTCAGAGGCTCGGGCAAATCTTCAGTCTCTTCTTCAGTAAGATATTCAGCATAAGGATTTGTTACTCTGTCTTGGTAAGCACATTGAGGTACAACTCATTCTCTCTCATTCATACGCTCATGGGAGAGTGTGTGTGTGTGTGTGTGTAGGGGGGCTATGAAGGTTAGCCATGTTAGAGTGGGGGTGAGGGGTTGTCAGGGTCTAAGAATGCTCAATGGCTCATTGTCCTGTCACCTCAATGACATCATCGTCCGAGCTGCTGCCACCGTTCTCCGTGGCTAGGTGGTGGGAGTCGGGCTGGCTCAGCGCTGCACCCAGGAGGCTGGAGGGGGAAGAGGGGAAGTGGGAGAGGAAGCTGGAGCTTCCTCCAGTGCTGCCTGGGCCTCCTCCCAGGCTGTTGGAGTACATGCTGGGCTCAGGCAACAGGGACTGACTGTAGTTCAGAGGGAAGCCTGGGGAAAGCAGACCAGCCACACTGGGGTTCATCAGGTAGGGGGGAAGGGTGGAGGAGGAGGATGTGGAGGCCGAGGACATGGGCATGGGCATGGTGGCAATGGTGGAGGAGAAAGAGGTGGAGGACAAGGAGGAGGTGGAGGATGAGGGGAGGTGTCCGTTGTTTCCTGTGGCTGAGGAGGCATGGCTGAGGAGGTCCGCCCCTGCCGAGGGGAACATGGTCTGCAGGTCTCCCAGAGTCTGTCCTGCTGACTGGAGGAAGGGGGACGAGGAGCTGCCTCCCATCAGCATTGGGTGGCTCATGTGTCCCCCCAGCAGGGCCTGGTTCAGGGGGGGGAAGCTGAGCCCTCCACTGCCCAGGGAGAGGCCCGGGAACCCGGTTGCAGATGAGCTGCGTTTGCCCCCCGCCTGCTTGTGTCCACCCGCTGCTGCGGCCATCTTGCGTTTGGAGCATCGTAGAGCCTCGCTGATACTCATTCCGATGTCCTCTCTGAGCTGCCGACTGAGGTCCGACTCTGTGCTCTGACTGTACTGCTGCGTTCTGCTCCCCCCCTCTCCGTCCCCTGTAGCCATGTCCGATGGTGACGGCAGCTCGTTGCCCATGGCGACGGTATCCACGGTGACGGCGTAGCGGCTGAGTTCTCTGAGGATCTCGGGGCTCTCGGGGGTGGAGGGCCGCGAGGCGCTGTCGGGGGTCAGCCGCTGGCGCTCCATGGGAGACAAACAGCCGTTACCGATGGCGTGGAGCAGGGAAGCCTGGGAACCTGAGGAATAGAGGAGGGTCAAAAGAGAGTCATTATTCCCTTAACGCAGCATGTTGATGTCTCACCACTGGTGTCCCCCAGGGCTCGGTACTAGGTCCTCTCTGGTCATTTTTTCTCTCTACTACATACCTCAGTCTACTACCCAGCGCATTTGACATTTTAGTCATTTAGCAGACGCTCATATCCAGAGCAACTTACAGGAGCAATTAGGGTTAAGTACCTTCACCTAGTCAGCTCGGGGATTAGAACCAGCAACCTTTCAGTTACTGGCCCAACCTCTTAACCGCTAGGCTACCACCCAGCCCTATCTATGTAGTCTGAACACCAAGTCACTTTGTTCTGTCATATCCTGTTACATGGATTCCTCATCATGTAATGTAAAGTACTTTGTGTATGTAGAGCACCTCTGTTAGTAGCAGATCCCCCCTGCACTGCTCTGCTGAGCTTCCCTGAGCGGATGGCAAAAATCCTCCCATCATTGGTCCTGATGTAGGTACCTGTGAGGAAGACCGCAGTTAGTGTCTGATATCAAATCAAACTTTATTTGTCATATGTACAGGATACAGAGAAGTGTACACAGTACAATGAAATGCTTACTTGCAAGCTCTCCTCTCATGACATTAGCTAATAAAACTATTCAGTAAAAAATAAGGTAAAGTAAGAAACATAAAAATAAGCATGCAGGGAAGCACCAGTCAGTTTTGATGCTTAGGTTAAAGTACCAAGCCCTATCTAAATGAGATAACAACCTGGGAATTCAGGTGTCCATGTGGATATTGTAAACCGCTCTCCAAGCTGAGCACAGTATTTTGATTAGAGTATGTAGAGAATTAATTTAACTACACATGCAGGTAGATATGAGGTACAGCTTCTACAGTATACAGTATGTTCTTATTACCTTTTGACCCTTTGATCACATGGATGCTCTCTCCTGCACCGATACGTGCCTGGACATCCGTGGTGCTGTTGGCTCCAGGGATCACTATATCTGAAGGGGCAAACAGAAGGAGTCAAAAAGGTCCAAACAATACCACGGCAGTATCCCAAATAGCACCCTATTCTCTATGGGCCCTGGTCAAAAGTAGTGCACTCTATAGGGAATAAGGTGCCATTTGGGACGTAGCCCAATATCACCTGTCTATCCTAATGCAGCCCCAAAGCATTTCACCTGACCCAAGACCAGGAGTTATTCCTAAAACTCCTAACCCGTTGTGTTTAGTTGGCCCCAAACAGAAGAAACCGCTCCGAAACTGGGAAGTTCTATCTGACCTTGTCTATTAAATACTCATTTTCATTGTACGCGGCAAAAAAATTGGACACGATGTGCCCAAATGAACAGGACCCTGCCAAGCGTTTCAGTGTCTATCAGCACCAATTCAATTCAAAAGTGATTATCCCTGCAGGATATCTATTGTACCAGTGGTAGTGACGATCCTCTGAACATAGACACCCGCCTTCTGCAGGTAGTTGACCGGGAAGCTGACCCCGGAGCTGGAGCCGGCCATGCCCATGCCCGCCATGCGAGGCATCATGGGGATGGGGGTGGACTGGATGGGCCGGACGCTGGCCATGGGCTTCTCATCACCCCGAGCTATGGGACGCCTGGAGGATTCAAAAACACATGAGGATCATATCAATACACAGTCTGATTTGGGACAGTTTTCTAGACTGATGATTGCTGCAGATGGCATGGTTGAGTTTGGAGGCTAGAAGGATCATTTGTATGGATAGGCTTTTGTTTAGGCCTGCTTAACAGGCTTACACAGCGCTGTTGGAGGATTGGTTAGGGATGCTGTATGATTAGTGGTAGGAATAGTGCATTCATTGGACCACTCACCAGTTGCGCTGGTTGAAGGCTGGGATGTTGGTGAGGGTCTGGTCGCTTGTTGGGTAGTAGTGGGCATAGGAGGGGCGAGAGTAGGGCACGGAGGCACGCTTCTCATCCTCATAGCTCTTCTTAGCAGCTCTCTTCTCTGCTTTAGTGAGCTTGGACTCTTTCCGGTCCACCAGCAGAGACTCATGATGGAAGGGTTCCTGGTGGGGTACATATCAACAGGGATGTTAGTGTGAGTGGTGTGTGTACCATATTAATACAGTGATCCATGACATGACGGTGTGTATATACATTTTATTAGGTACACCAATCCAGTACTGGGTCGGACCTTCAGAACAGCCCGAATTCTTTGGGGAATGGAAACGTTGCTCAATTGGTATCAAGGGACCTAACGGGTGCCAGGAAAACATTTCCCACACCATTACACCACCAGCCTGTACCGTTGACACCAGGCAGGATGGGTCCATGGACTAATGCTGCTTACGCCAAATCCTGACTCTGCCATCAGCATTACGCAATAGGAACCGGGATTCGTCGGACCAGGGGTTGTTTTTCCACTCCTCAATTGTCCAGTGTTGGTGATCGCGTGCCCACTTGAGCCGCATCTTCTTGTTTTTAGCTGATAGGAGTGGAACCCAGTGTGGTCGTCTGCTGCAATAGCTCATCTGTGACAAGGACCGACGAGTTGTGTGTTCCGAGATGCCGTTCTGCACACCACTGTTGTTCTGCGCTGTTATTGACCTATTTGTGGCCCGCCTCTTAGCTTGAACGATTCTTGCCATTCTCCTTCGACCGCTCTCATCAACGAGCTGTTTTCGCCTACAGGACTGCCGCTGACTGGATGTTTTTGGTTTCTTCGCCGCATTCTCTGTAAACCCTAGACACTGTCGTGTGTGAAAAGCCCAGGAGGATACTGGAACCGGCGCAACTGGCACCGATGATCATACCACACTCAAAGTCGCTTTGGTCACTAGTTTTTCCCATTATAACGTTCAATCGAACAGTAACTGAATGCCAAGATGCCCGTCTGCCTGCTCTATATAGCAAGCCATGGCCACGTGACTCAGGAGCGAACCATTTTCGTGACCGGGGTGGTGAACCTAATAAACTGGGCACTGAGTGTCTACGCGTGTGAGAGTGTGTATCTGTGCATGAGTGAGTGTGTGAGTGTACCTTAGTGATGAGGTGGGGGTAGAGCTGACAGGCCTGGCTGATGACCGTCTCCATCTCTTCGTGAGGCTGCAGAGGGGCTTTGGCCGGGTCAGGCTCCTCCTCCGCAAAGTGCAGCAGAGACTCCACCTCCTTGCGGGTGAACGTCAGTACCGGGTTCAGGTCATCCACCACGCGGTCTGGACACAACCAATCACAGTGTGTTACTGACCACTGAGATTCCCCTGTACTACGCCGCCATTCGCATTTCAACTTCAATTTCATGCCATGACATATTCAATATATTAAACCACACACACTCTTACCAGACATGCCCTGTCACACACAGGAGCAGCAGCACCATCACACACACACACCCCCCTCCACTCTCTCTCTCTCTCCCTTCCTAACCTCCCTCCCTCTCCCCCTCTCTCTTACCAGACATGCCCTGCTTGGAGACCTGTCGGTCGTAGATCTTTTTCTCCAGGGTGAAGTCACAGACCAGGCGGTAGATGTGGCAGCGCTTCTTCTGTCCGTAGCGGTACACCCGACACACCGCCTGGGCGTCGTGACACGGGTTCCATGACGCATCAAACACCACCACCCGGTTGGCCCCGATTAGGTTCACCCCCAAGCAGCCCGCCCTGCAAGTCACACAACACAGGCTTATTAAGAACATGCACAAGTGTGTTTGTGTAAGTGAATGGCTAATCAAGTGTATGTAAAAGGGAGGGGCAATATATCCAATTATGTGTGTGAATAAATATGTGTGAGCTAGTGTGTCTAATTGAGTGCATTTGGCTGCGTTTACACAGGTTGCTCAATTATGATATTCTGCCCAATTATAGGCAAAAGAGCTGATCTGATTGTTCAACAGACCAATTAGTGAAAACAAAAGATTCAGAATTGGGCTGCCTGTGTAAACGCAGCTTTTGTTGTGTATTTGAGTGAAGAATATAAGCATAGAAATATAATTACTAGAAAGGGAAGAGCCCATCACACCACATCAATTTCACTTATATTTTTATGTGTATCAGTGTGTCTGTACAGTATATTACCTCGTTGACAGGAGGAAGACCCATGTGGAGGTGTTCTCTGGGTCATTGAACTGGTTGATGAGTTTCTCTCTCTCCGAGGCAGACGTACTCCCATCCAACCCTGGGGGTAGACAGACACATTCACTACATCAGCATCATGGGGCGACTCCAGCAAATATGCTATGTCCCAAATGGCACCCTATTCCCTATGTAGTGCACTACTTTTGAACAGGGCCCATATAGGGCTCTGGCCAAAAGTAGTGCACTATTTAGGGAATAGGGTGCCATTTGGGACACAATACATACTGTATCTAGTGTAGTGTGGTGGCCATTCCAGTAGGGGGCAGTATGATCTAGAAAATTAACCCAGAGATCGATGTCTGAGAAAAAGCATGGCTCTTTCTTAATTCATCTTTCATCAATTCCTCGTATTGTCTCTTCTTGCCTCCACTTCAAAACCCATTGGAGAAGAAAGTCTGATGGAGACCCTGGACCTTTCCTTACAAGACAGTTGAGGAGGCGAGGAGATAGGATGTGAGGAATCACAGAAAGACTGATGTGAGTGTAGATAGTTCAGTTAGCAGTTTGAAGCCAAAATATTCCACCGGATGCTGTGAAAACAAGCTAACTAGTCTAATAGTTAGTCTGGAACAACAGAGTACATTAGTGGGATCTGGGTTCAAATCACAGCTGAGCTGTCACAAGTGAAGAGTCAAAGGGTTGCCATGGGAATAATGATGATGGCATGGTCTGGGTAGTAGTGGTTGCCATGGGAACAGGGTTGTGCCGTGTGACTCACTGTAGTAGTTGATGTTGCGGACCCAGGTCTGGTTCTGGCCTTGGTTGTCGGGGGAGACTCGGCCTGCTGGCATCGGCCGTCTGGACAGGAAGCCTTCAATGACTGTCAGAGTGGACAAGCTCTGACTGATGGACACACGTCAAACAAACAAACACACACACACACACACACACACATTAAAAACACATTCAAGTCAGTTAGTTACAACCACATTGATACTTCGAGGTGAAAAGCAAAAATACTAATTTCCAGTCTCTCTAAGAAAAAAGACAATAAAGTCTAAGTATATGAGTCTGGTCGTAGGAAGTGTCTGGAGTGTCTGAATGAAGTGTTCCACGTCAGACATAGGAATAGGTCCAACCTGAAGACCAATATCTTGTCTCCTCTGCTCACACTCTCGTCGATCAGGTGGAAGAGCAGCAGCATCTTGGCAGAGTTCTCCAGAACACCAGTCTGGTAGTTGCTCATGATGTCCTTGGCCTGGAGAGACAGAGATCCATGGAACAGGACAGGAGGTGGGTGAATGAAGTTCATTATTTCACACCAACGAGGAGGTCTTAAGTTTTACTAGAGATGTGCAGATTTCCCTTTTAAGACGATTCGATACATGAGATACGATTCAGGAACAATACGTTTTAGTTTGAAAACATACAGTGCGATTTGGTTTGATTAGAGGAACGAATCGATGTGAGTCGGTTCGATGCACTAGCATTTGTTGCATAAACGCATTCATTTTCCATTCTAAATTAAAATCTGCTGCTGATGGAGCTCATGAGCTGGGCCTCTGAGCTGGATCTGTCTGAGCTGGATCTGTCTGAGCTGGATCTGTCTGAGCTGGCTTCTGTGTGTGTGTGTAAATGATGTATATGGTGGATGTGGGCACCTGAGCTGAGCCATAAGGGAAACTGGCCATCTACCACCCCACTATCAGTTGGGGGGGCAATATTTGCTTTTTGTCCCCCCACTTTTGATCTGAAATCACCATCACCCACTAATTCATTTATCAATATTTATCTGTAAAAATGAACTATGACATAGCCAATAAATAAATAGAACAACTTTGGATTGCACCCCCGTCTAATAATCAAATGGTTAGTGAGATTCTCTTCTGCTGCGTCGACCGGGCAGTAGCTTAGGCTACTTTTTTCAGGTAAAACACAATTTTCAACAGCACATTTCATAAAAATAACCTAGCAAATTACACTGGTTGTCACTCAACTAATAAAGCCTAATATTGCGCAAGCCATTTTACAAACATTTGAATGCTGTCCTGTGACACGTAGATGTGTCAGATCAGGGTCTACCTCTTGTTGGTGGGTGCGCAAAGCTGTGCACAGCATGCAGTTTGACTAGGCTACTCATATAGCCTGGGGTTGATCGGCATGCAGTTTGACTAGGCTACTCATATAGCCTGGGGTTGATCGGCATGCAGTTTGACTAGGCTACTCATATAGTCTGGGGTTGATCGGCATGCAGTTTGACTAGGCTACTCATATAGTCTGGGGTTGATCGGCATGCAGTTTGACTAGGCTACTCATATAGCCTGGGGTTGATCGGCATGCAGTTTGACTAGGCTACTCATATAGCCTGGGGTTGATCGGCATGCAGTTTGACTAGGCTACTCATATAGCCTGGGGTTGATCGGCATGCAGTTTGACTAGGCTACTCATATAGTCTGGGGTTGATCGGCATGCAGTTTGACTAGGCTACTCATATAGTCTGGGGTTGATCGGCATGCAAAATGACTTGGAGATCTATGGCTGTCAACATAATGGCATGGTTAGTTAGACACCGAAGGGGAGGACGCAGTTGTCACAAAATATGAGGTATTTTCTGAAGGTAGAAAGAAAGTAATTTGAGCAACCCCCAAAAAATTGTGAACCAGCAATTCGTGACTTTTGAATCGCTTTTCTGACCGATGCATGCTACATTTGGATCGGTTTGGGGTACCGCGGACCGATGCGCTCATATCTTAAACAGTTAAACTGGTGAGCCTATGCGTATCGGTGAATCATTACATCCCTAGGTTTCACAATACAACTTTAGAATCTTTACAGTGGAAAATCATGCAATAATGAGCACAGCATTCGGTCTGGTTTAACAAGGCTTCTATTCATTAGTGCACACCGTAGCAAAACGATTTTCAAACGAACATGAAAACAAGCGTTTCTTATTGGACAAACTCAGGTAGGTGAGACTCTAGGTTTCTACCCGTTTTGGCCCATTTTCTTCCTAATGCATAGGACCCAGGCTAACATAGGAGAAGTATCTAACATGTTCTCAGCCAGCCTGTGGGTAGAGAGAGAGTGGCGTTACGTACCCATTCGTAGGTGATGACTTGATTGGCTCTCTCCTGGATGGGGTTGAGCGGGGGCAGGCCGACGTTGATCCGACTGTTGGCCGAGTCGGCCGCTTTGGCCTTTAGGCTGGCGCCGGGGCAGCGGGGGTTGGCGGCCGCCGTGATGTCATCCAGGTCCAGGTCCTGCTCGTTGGCTAGGTTCTCCTTCTGAAGGGTCTCGTACAGCACGTCAGGGTGGTTCCAGATCTACACACACACACACACACGCACACGCACACATCAATGGACTGACTTCAATAGTGTTACTGATTCCAGGTTTTAAGATGTGGTCCTCTGTAGCTCAGCTGGTAGAGCACGGCGCTTGTAACGCCAAGGTTGTGGGTTCGATCCCCGGGACCACCCATACACAAATAAATGTATGCACGCATGACTGTAAGTCGCTTTGGATAAAAGCGTCTGCTAAATGGCATATTATTATTATTATTAAGATGAGGGTGTATATCCTGGCTAGGCTGACTAACCCACAGCAGTACCCTATGGTCACTATGGTCTATGGCAGAGGTAATCAACTCTTACCCTATGAGGTCCAGAGCCTGCTGGTTTTCTGTTCTACTTGATAATGAATTGCACCCACCTGGTGTCCCAGGTCTAAATCAGTCCCTAATTAGAGGGGAACAATTAAAAAATGCAGTGGAACTGGCTTCGAGGTCCAGAGTTGAGTTTGAGGGGTCTGTGGTATGCCTGCCTGCCTGCCTGTCTGTCTGTCTGTCTGTAACCCCACAGCACCAGTACAGCGATCTCAGCCTCACCTTGCAGCAGACGCAGAAGGCCTTGAGTGGGTTGAGGCCCAGCCAGCCGCTGTTGCCTGCCTCTCTGAAGCGGTTCATAAACTCGGCGTAGAGGGCCCTCTGCAGGGGCGACAGGCGCACCATGATCACATGCTCTTCCTTGGAGGGGAGCTGGTCCCTCAGTACGTCGTGGCCTCGCCTGGGACAGACACGGATGAACCACAACAGATTATTATCAGACTGCATATTCCTCACCAATCCTTTACAGATCTATAGGAGAGAGTAGGGCTAAGAGTTAGGGTTTGATTTGGGATAAGAAACCATATTTGATAGAGAGGATAGAGAGATGGAGAAACATAGAGAGGGAAAGAGAGAGCGAGAGAGTGCCTGAGAGAGAGACAGAAAGAGCGATATAAAAAGCAAAGGGTGAGCGAGGGAGGTGAATCATTTTAAACCAGACAGTCTGCACTCTTCTCTGCGCTCACCTCTGGACGAAGCCCTCCAGCAGACTATGGAGGACGTGACTTCGATATCTCATCACCCTGGCATCCTGCGGCGTGCTGTCCACACACTGCCCGTTCAGAATGGGCCTCTCGAACATGTTACTGAACTCCTGCCTGGTGCCCAGGAAATCAGGCCTGACAAAGTCCACCATGCACCAGTACTCTATCAGGTTGTTCTGGAGGGGGTAGCCTGTTAGGACCACACGTCGCCTGGAGCGGATGTTCTTCAGGGCCTGCGAGGTGCTGGCGTGGCAGTTCTTGATGCGGTGACCCTCATCACAGATCACCACGTCTGGACCGGGCCTGGCCAGCGCCTTCTCAATACCTAGGTGGGTGTAGGTGTGTTTGTGGGAGTAGAGAAGAGAGCGAGAGTAAAACACAGGTTGGGAGAATGTGTGTGTGAAAAAAGAGTAAAACACAGGTTACATGAATGATGATGAATAGATAAAATAATAATGTTCTCTGATCTACTATTAGTAGTAGAATGTCATTGATGTGCAGGCAATTCATCAGCCTTGGCATTTTAATATTGTAATTTATGCAGCTTTTTTACAAGGCATTATTCATCCAGCGTCTAGTGAACTCCTGTCAGCCTACAGTATTGTATCATTATATTGGTGTGCTGTTTCTCATTATCAATGGATCAGGGCCATATTCATAAAGCGTCTCAGAGTCAGTGCTGATTTAGGATCAGTTTTGGCTTTTAGATCACAATTAATAGTATTAGATGGACAGGTAGGACCTGTTCCTAGATCAGCACTCCTAATCTGTAACTACTACTACTACTCCGGCCCCAGATCACAATGGGCCCGGCAGCGAACTCTAACCCCTGACCTTTCATGAGCTCCTGCTGCCTCTCCTCTTCGTCCAGGTCGATGATGACAGGTCCCTGGGGCTTCTTGGACTTCCTCTTCCTGCCCGTCACAAAGCTCTTCTTCAGGGACAGCAGGCGGTACATCTCATACCCCATCAGGAGGACGCCTCCGTCCCTGGACCAGTCCTCCACTACCTTAGCCCGGGCCACCGTGGTTCTGTAGGGCACACACGTCAGCAATGTTACGCACACATGCTCGCACACACAGGCACACGTCAGTGCTGTCTTTATGTACCTCATGGTTATACAGTACACACACGACAGTACACACACACACACGGCAGTACACACACACACACACACACACAGCAGTAAACAACTGACACACACACGATAGTATACAATTGACACACACTGCAGTGTGTTAGTCAGCTCTACTATATAATGTCACGTACTTGTGCTCGTCATTGAGGATGTGGACTCTGAAGGTGCGTCCTGTGACGACGGCAGGGTCACTATCAGGGGGAAGGGCCTCTTGGGTGGGAAGCCACAGGTTAAACTCCGCCAGCCAGTTCTGGAGGGTGTTCACCTGGGGGGAGAAAGCGAGAGAGAGAGAGAAAGAGAGATAAAGACACAGCTGTGCTCACAGACAGACACACAGACAGACACACACAGATAGACAAACAGACAGACAGACACACACAGATAGACAGACACACATACACAGACAGACACACACACACACAGATAGACAAACAGACAGACACACACACAGGGGAGACGCACATAGAGCAATGGGAGAATAGAGAGCGGGAGAGAGGGAGAAAGCAAGAGAAGAGAGACAGAGAGAGACACACCCATCATCTCCTTAACGGTCTACTCACAGGGACGATGGCCAGTACGGTGTGGGCCCCGGTGTGTCTGAGCAGGATGTCTATAAAGGAAATGACTTGCAGTGTCTTGCCCAGACCCATGCTGTGAGCCAGGATACAGCCAAACCCGCTGCTGCCCTTATAGCGCTCCAGAGACTCCACCAGGTTATCATAGAGGAACCGGATCCCACCAACCTGGGAGGGAGGGAGGGAGAAAGAAGGGGGAGGTAAGAGATGGAGCGAGAGGAGGGGGGGGGGGGGTGAGGGATGGAGGAAGAGAGAGAATGAACTCAATTACATAACGTATGCAGTCAAGGCACTTTTACCCGGTCTGCCTTTGTGACGCCTTCTCCCATGTTGCAGCAGTGTGTGTGTGAGTTAGCGTACCTGGTGAGGTTTGACGGCGCGGGCCAGCTGTGGGGCGAGGTACAGGTCTTCCTCCTCTGCGGGGTGGTTGATATTAACTAGGACCCTCCCCTGGGCGTCTGGTTGGTTGAGCGAGTCGTTGATGTGCGCGCCGCTGCTCTCCGCCGTGCCCCCCGCACCTTCGTCCTCGTCCTCATTGGCTGACTCGCTGCTGATCTGCAGTGCATCGTCGTCCCCGGAGCTCAGCTCGATCACGTCTGGGTCAGGGAGGAATTTGATTGATTAGATGTATTTATTTATTATTCGGTTAAATAATGACAGTTAAAAACATCCAAATAACACACTTATTTCCAATGTGGTCCTGGAGAGATTGCGGGCATCATTGGTTCCAAGCAGGGGAATTGATATTCATAGTTCATGCCATTAAGCATTTGTAACCTGACAGCTAAAACAACGTTATGACTGACACATGGATTATGAAGTAATTATGAGGTCCGTGCTGCCTCTAGATAGCATGCTGTGTTCATTATAAGTACGAACCAATAACTGGGTATATATTCCTGTTAGTCCAACCAAGGAACATTATAACTTTAAGGTTCTACCTATAATGTTCTTTACACTTGTGGATAACTGAGAGGATTGGACAGGTCTAAGAAATATGTCAATAGCGCCACCTTACCTTCTGATAGGCTATGGGGAAGTTACATCATATTGCTTACACCAATCAAATAGTCTCAGATCTCCACGTGCATAGGGTCTCGGGGTTCAATTTGGGACACAGCCAGAGAGTTGTGGTTGTTCCCTTCGTTTTAGCAGTCCTCCTACGGTCTTACCGTCTCTGATAGCGGGTCTGATAGCGGGTCTGATAGCGAGTCTGATAATGGGGATAGCTGGTGGCTTGACGTCCTCCTGCTTCTCCTCCTCCTCACTGCTGTCACTGCTGTCCAGGCAGATGACATCCTGCCTGGCTAGGAAAGCAGCCTCTAACGACCCCTGACCTTGACACTCCTCCTCCCCAGGCCTCAACACCGATTCTATTGGAGGAGAGGGGGACATGTACAAAGAACAATAAGAGAGAGAGAGGAGAGAGAAGGGAAAGAGAGAGAGAGAGAGACAGGCAGGCAGGCAGGCAGAGCAGGAAACGGGTAAGGGAAAGATGGAAAGAGAAGGGATGGGCACTGTACATGGGAAAGTATTACATTTTTGGGAGGGCTGTGTCTAAAATGTAATAAAAGTATCTATTTGACAGACGGGTTGGTTGTTTCGCAAGAAGCCCCATAGTTGCGCACATTTGGGTTAAAACAGACGGGGTTGGCTTAGATCATATGTGAACTATATTTCGTCTCCAATGTTTATTGAAAACCTAAATACATTTGCACAATGAGCACTTGTCTCAAATATATCGTTACAGTTGTTGGTTAGCTAGCTAGCGAATTTTTGCTGTATTAGCATAGACGTGACACGAGTCAAAACACGGTAGAAACTAGCTGAAAAATGCCACCTACGATTCCCCACATGGCAGCTTCTTGTCATTGTTGCTAGCTATCTGGACATCCAGAACCATTTTTTTACATTTACATTTTAGAACCTCAACCACACACAGACTTCTGCCCCATCTACATTTTTCTAAAACAGTTTAATGACAGTTTTTATGAGTGCGCCCCATAAAAAAGAGGCGCTGGCGCTACAGTCAGAGGCTCCATGTGTCGCAAGTGAAGTGGGAGATTTCTAATCAATGCAAAATAAGTTAAGTTGGCTAAATGAGAAGGAGTAGGCTACAGTGATCAACCAACAGGTAGGCTGTTTCATATGAATGGAGTTGTTGTAGACAAGGATGCCTCAAAATAGCCTCAATTAGCCTTGCTACTTTAGCTAGCTAGTTGGCTACTGTAGCTAGCTAGCTTCTTTACAACGATTTGATGCAGCCAAGACAGGCACTACCAGATGGTATAACCTATGGCAGCAACAAGTTTGTCTAACTAGCACAATTCGGTTTGGCTACTTCTCCCTCTCTCACTCAGTCAGTGCCACACACATAGACTGCCACACACCGGCCCCATCTCCTCTCCCACCCCTCCGCTGAAACGAGCAGAGCACCGGCTCTCACATCTCCATTGAAGGCCCCCCCCAAAAAAATAAAAACACATGTATTTCGACTATCTGGATATCCAAACAAATAACATGATATTATTCGAATAGTGAAATCATTTCAAATGCCCATCACTAAAATAGAGAGATAGTGGGGTGTGACAGACATGTCCAGAGGGTGGGTTGGGGTAGAACTCTCACCTGGGGGAGGACACTCTATGACAGGTGGTGCTGTATGGTCCTTCCTCTGCTGCTCCAGACGCCTCAGCCTCTCTAACTCCTCCTGCTGGGCTGCCTTGGTCACTGCCTCCATCTGGTGCTCCTTTAGCAGCTTCCTGTTCGGAGGAGAGGAGGACAGGGGGATGGATTAGAGGAGAGGAGGACAGGGGGATGGGTTCGAGGAGAGGAGGACAGGGGGATGGGTTCGAGGAGAGGAGGACAGGGGGATGGGTTCGAGGAGAGGAGGATGGGTTCGAGGAGAGGAGGACAGGGGGATGGGTTCGAGGAGAGGAGGACAGGGGGATGGGTTAGAGGAGAGGAAGACAGGGGGATGGGTTAGAGGAGAGGAAGACAGGGGGATGGGTTCGAGGAGAGGAGGATGGGTTCGAGGAGAGGAGGACAGGGGGATGGGTTCGAGGAGGAGGAGGACAGGGGGATGGGTTAGAGGAGAGGAGGACAGGGGGGATGGGTTCGAGGAGAGGAGGACAGGGGGATGGGTTCGAGGAGGAGGAGGACAGGGGGATGGGTTCGAGGAGGAGGAGGACAGGGGATGGGTTCGAGGAGAGGGGGATGGGTTCGAGGAGAGGGGGAAGGGTTCGAGGAGAGGAGGACAGGGGGATGGGTTCGAGGAGAGGAGGACAGGGGGATGGTTTGAGGAGAGGAGGACAGGGGGATGGGTTCGAGGAGAGGAGGACAGGGGATGGTGTTAGAGGAGAGGAGGACAGGGGGATGGGTTAGAGGAGAGGAAGACAGGGGGATGGGTTCGAGGAGAGGAGGATGGGTCGAGGAGAGGAGGACAGGGGGATGGGTTCGGGAGGAGGAGGACAGGGGGATGGGTTTAGAGGAGAGGAGGACAGGGGGATGGGTTCGAGGAGGAGGAGGACAGGGGATGGGTTCGAGGAGGAGGAGGACAGGGGGATGGGGTCGAGGAGGAGGAGGACAGGGGGATGGGTTCGAGGAGAGGGGGATGGGTTCGAGGAGAGGGGGATGGGTTTGAGGAGAGGAGGACAGGGGGATGGGTTCGAGGAGAGGAGGACAGGGGGATGGGTTCGAGGAGAGGAGGACAGGGGGATGGGTTCGAGGAGAGGAGGACAGGGGGATGGGTTCGAGGAGAGGAGGACAGGGGGATGGGTTCGAGGAGAGGAGGACAGGGGGATGGGTTTGAGGAGAGGAGGACAGGGGGTTGGGTTTGAGGAGAGGAGGACAGGGGGTTGGGTTAGAGGAGAGGAGGACAGGGGGTTGGGTTAGAGGAGAGGGTGTATTATACATTAAAACCACCCTATCAAACAAATACCTGATGTTCTTCCTCATGTGTGCTGGCTTAGAGGACTTAGCAGGCTTCGGGTCCTTAGACTTGGAGGCTCTCGGTTTCTTCTTTTTGCCCGCAGAGGGCTTGTCCTGGCTGGGGCTCTCAGGACGGGACGAAGGGGCCTGGGACTTTGAAGCCTTGGAGGCCTTTGGTTTCTTCTTTTTGCCCGTAGAGGGCTTGTCCTGGCTGGGGCTCTCAGGACCGGATGAAGGGGCCTGGGACTTTGAAGCCCTCGATTTCTTCTTTTTGCCCGCAGAGGGCTTGTCTTGACTGGGGCTCTCAGGGCGGGACGGGGGCTGGGAGCCATGGTCAGACGGGGGCTGGGAGCGAGACGCAGGTCTTGAGTTGGGCCGGGAAGAAGGCCTGGAGGTGGGCTGAGACGGGGGCCCAGAGGGAGGCTCTTCTGAGGGTGAGGTAGCTGAGGGGGAGTCCCTCCCTCCCTGGGTCTCCATCTCTGTACTGCCATGGCCACTCTCTGGCTGCTCTGTTGGACAGAGCAGAGAATTACATAAATCAGTCAACTAATTATTAAATCAGTGTATGGGAAACCGGCCAATAAGGTTAGAGAAATAGACAAACCCTTTTGGGAAAGCATTGCTTCTTGGGAACTTTCTCCAATCTCTCTTGGACACTATTGAAAGGTGTACTGAAGCATTGGTTTATCCGTTTCTGGGGTACTTTCAATGGAGAATCTCAATTGAACAAGATTCTTATTCCAGGATCTGGGAAAACATCCTTAAATCCTAACTCTTGTATTCTTTATTGAGCCAAATAATAATAATCTTCTCTATGGTTCATTCATGGCTGTTACTGTCTGACCCCAGTAAGACATGTTACAGACAGTGACTACGTCCCAAATGGCACCCAATTCCCTCAATAGTGCACTACTTTTCACAAGAGCCCTATGGGCCCTGGTCATTTGGGACACATCCAGTGTCTTCATTACTCTCCCATCCTTCTAGGCAGCCAGGCTGTAAGTGTGAGTGAGGCCTTGCCTGGTGTTCCTTACCCCTGGAAGCCTCTCACATTCTTGGCATTTAACACATAGTTTGGAGGCGTTGTTCAGAGCAGATGCAGGCAGTTTCATTCGAGCAGCATTCATCAAAACCTGCATTCTCCTACCTGTTGTTCTGTCTGCTCTAACATGTTGTTGACACTAGTCTGTCTGTAACAATGTAGGACATGGTGACATGGCAGCTCCGCAGACTCTCTCCAAGTGCCTGGCTCACTACCTGACTGCTGTGCGTCCTAAATGGCACCCTATTCCCTCTGCAGTGCACTACTTTTGCCCAGGTACCATAGGCACTATGTAGGGAATAGGATGCCATTGGGGACACAACCTCGGTGTAACTGATTGGTTGACTACATAAGTTCACATTTTAAATAGATGTTTTGCGTCAGACTTGACAAACAAGAAGAAAACTAGTTTCATCACATTTCTTAGCAGCTGCCTGCTGTACAACCATTTAAAAACTGAAACTCAGCGATATGATGAACTGAGAATATTGAGCGCGATGCACTCGCACAGAGTATCTGCCCATGTGGATGGGTACAGTTCACTCTGCTGCAACGTGGTAGCTGCAGCACAACAACAGTGGACTTTATGCATCACCTACTCTACCTTTAACAGATAGTCTTTAAAGTGAATTAGAATTACTTCTTGAATGTTGTCTTCTGTTCTGACTGAAATACCAGCATTAATTGTGAGTAGTAAACTAAAGGCAACTTCTATGGAGGTGACACCTCCCCCCCACTCACCGACTGCATCATCTTCATCATCCCCATCGTTGTCACCCTCATCGTCATCCTCAATCTCCTCCTCTTCCTCTTCCAGATCCTCCTCTTCGCTGTTAATGCTGGGGTCCAGGTCACTTCCTGAGATCGCTTCTTCAGACATGGCGTCCCGCAGAGCTCAGAGAGCATTACCTACACATCCTCACTGGGGGTACCTGCAATCAAATAGAGTACACACCGCTTTAGCCATTATGTCAAACAACAAAGCAGTGACCCCATTTAAAGAGATAGTTCACCTAGGCTAAATCAGGGTAAGGAAACAAACATGTAATTTTGGCAAACACTATTGTTTATTGTTGTGAAGTGGGCTGTCTTGTTGTATGTGGAAAAACAACAAAAAGCATGATAACATAAATCACATCAGCAAGTAGATTATTATCAATCAAATGGATTCATTTTTTCACTCTCACCATCTATGACAGAGAAGTGCTTGCAATAGAACAATACAGTAAATCATAAAGTGTCATTGCTCTGTGGTTGCTTTACCCTGCTCTCTTCCAAAACTTGCATTCTCAAAGTGTCAGAGAGAAAAAATAGGAAAAGGATCTGGTGTGTGTGAGCGAGCTGGCCAATTACATAAGAGCTAAGTTACATAACTGCCCATTGCCACTCAGGCTGTGCCTTCCCTTGAACAGGCTAACCCAATAGACACACAGAGCATGGTCCCTCTCCCTCTTTCTCTCACCTCACTCACATACAAAGGCCTACATACAAGCTCAGGGCGGGCTGTACACTGTTCCTTCAGATGGTTCTAAAAACGACTGTGTCAGGTCTCCCACCCACACACGCAATGGTAGATAGACATTCTCGCTCAAGCACTTTAAGCATACCATTCTCCTATTAATGACAGATGCAGTGTGCTACAAAGCTAGAAATTAGATATTTTATGTAATGTCTCTTATTATGTGTGGAGCAGCAAGCTTGGCAAGGCTCATACTAGGTCATAAGAGTTGATGGGGAAACTACAGTGCATTCAGAAAGAATTCACAACCCTTGACTTTTTCCACATTTTGTTATGTTACAGCCTGAATTTAAAATAGATTACATTTAGATTTTGTGTCACTGGCCTACACACAATACCCCATAATGTCAAAGTGGAATTATGTTTTTCAACATTTTTACAAATGAAAAGCTGAAATGTCTTGACTCAATAAGTTAGTGTTTCCCAAACTCAGTCCTCAGGACCCCAAGGGGTGCATATTTTGGTTTTTGACCTAGCACTACACAGCTGATTCAAATAATCAACTAATCTTCAATCTTAGATTAAAAATGTGCTTAACAAGTCACATAATAAGTTGCATGGACTCACTGTGTGCTATAATAGTTTTTAACATGATTTTTGAATGACTACCTCATCTCTGTACCCCACACATACAATTATTTGTAAGGTCCCTCAGTCAAGCAGTGAATTTCAAACAGATTCAACCACAAAACCAGGGAGGTTTTCCAATGCCTCACAAAGAAGGGCACCTATTGGTAGATGGGTAAAAATAAAATAAAAATTAGACAATGAATATCCCTTAGAGCATGGTGAGGTTATTAATTACACTTTGGATGGTATATCAATACACCCAGTCACTACAAAGATACAGGCGTCCTTCCTAACTCAGTTGCCGGAGAGGAAGGAAACCGCTCTGGGATTTAACTGAGGCCAATGTTGACTTTATTAAAACAGTTACAGTTTAATGGCTATGATAGGGGAAAACTGAGGATGGGATACACAACATTGTAGTTACTCCACAATACTAAGCTAAATGACAGAGTGAAAAGAAAGCTTGTACAGAATAAAAATATTCCAAAACATCCATCCTTTTTGTAATAAGGCACTAAAATAAAACTGCTATAAATTTGGTAAAGAAATTAACTTTTTGTCCTGAATACAAAGCGTTATGTTTGGGGCAAATCCAACACAACACTGAGTACCACTCTTCATATTTTCAAGCCTGGTGGTGACTGCATCATGTTATGGGTATGCTTGTCATCAGCAAGGACTAAGGAGGTTTTTTTTGTTGATAAAAAGAAACAGAATAGAGCTAAGCACAGGCAAAATCCTAGAGGAAAACCTGGTTCAGTCTACTTTCCAACAGACTGGGAGATAAATTCACCTTTCAGCAGGGCAATAACCTAAAACACAAGGCCAAATATACAATGGCTTACCGTTACAGCTTACCGTTACTTAGTTACAGTTGTGACTTAAATCGGCTTTAAAATCTATGGCAAGACTTTAAAATGGCTGTCTAGCAATTATCAGCAAACAACTTGACAGAGATTTAAGAATTTTTTAAATAACAATGTGTAAATGTTGTACAATCCAGGTGTGCAAAGCTCTTAGAGAATTACCCAGAAAGACTCACAGCTGTAATTGCTGCCAAAGGTGATACTAACATGTATTGAGTCAGGGGTGTGAATAGTTACAGTGGGGAGAACAAGTAGTTGATACACTGCCGATTTTGCAGGTTTTCCTACTTACAAAGCATGTAGAGGTCTGTAATTTTTTATCATAGGTACACTTCAACTGTGATCCAGAAAATCCAGAAAATCACATTGTATGATTTTTAAGTAATTAATTAGCATTTTATTGCATGACATAAGTATTTGATACATCAGAAAAGCAGAACTTAATATTTGGTACAGAAACCTTTGTTTGCAATTACAGAGATCATACGTTTCCTGTAGGTCTTGACCAGGTTTGCAGGTAAATAGGTAATGAGTGGAGAACAGGAGGGCTTCTTAAAGAAAAACTAACAGGTCTGTGAGAGCCGGAATTCTTACTGGTTGGTAGGTGATCAAATACTTATGTCATGCAATAAAATGCAAATGAATTACTTAAAAATCATACAATGTGATTTTTCTGGATTTTTGTTTTAGATTCCGTCTCTCACAGTTGAAGTGTACCTATGATAAAAATGACAGACCTCTACGTGCTTTGTAAGTAGGAAAACCTGCAAAATTGGCAGTGTATCAAATACTTGTTCTCCCCACTGTATATAAATTAGATATTTCTGTATTTCATTTTCAATACATCTGCAAACATTTCTAGAAACATGTTTTCACTGTCATTACAGGGTATTGTGTGTAGATGGGTGAGAAATGTTTTTTATTTAATCAATTTTGATTTCAGGCTGTAACACCAAAAAGTGGAATAAGTCAAGGGGTATGAATACTTTCTGAAGGCACTGTATCTGTGACGATTACCCATCCAAATAAATCCAATATGCACAAAACCATTTTTTTTTTAACCATTTCCCTCTCATACTAGTGCTGTCATACACTTAATTTAAAGGTGTTACATACACAATAATTGACGTGGTTGTTTGGTCTGCCACTTATTGAGTTTACATAACCAATTATATAACCTGTGTAATGAATAGGTTACGTTAATCAATTACAACGTCATTCATATTTTGATCAACTAAATAAGCCCCCATAAAAAGGAGGCTTGTATAATGCAGAGATTATACTTTACTTAAATATGTATTTTATTTAAGGTATTAGAACCACAATGTTGAAGTAAAGACCCCTGTCAACTAATATCAACATTTAGTTTGGGATAAATTATTTGCCTTCCGTAGGTTTAAGAAACATTGCTTTTTGCCTTGTAATTCTATTACTAAAAACACACGTATCTAAGATATTTCCTCATTTCTCTCCCTCATGAGGGAAGATAATCAAAGTTCCGAGAAGTAACAAGTAAAGGTAGACCTACCAAATAGTTAGTGTTTTACTGATATCAAGTTTGTTTAGGAATTATTAAATGATTAAAACTCTAATTTCTGAAAAATCAGTAACGGAAATACTGCATTGAATTCGCTACAATAGGAAATTACATTTACATTTTAGTCATTTAGCAGACGCTCTTATCCAGAGCGACTTACAGTTAGTGAGTACATACATTTTCATACTGGCCCCCCATGGGAATCGAACCCACAACCCTGGCGTTGCAAGCACCATGCTCTACCAACTAAGCTACACGGGACTACATAGTAGTCACAAACCACAGTTTGCCACAGTCCTCCCACTGGCATACTGTTATGTTCAGCTCATACGTTTATTTTTCTTCTCTTTCTGTCATCTGGTGGTCAAACCAAGACTGTGAAAACAGTCTGGACAACCCCACCCTCTTACTATCTCTGCCGCTCTCTCTCCACTTAATGTCACCTTACTGACACCTACCCTCTTTCCATTTACTGTAACAAGCATCCTGAAAAGTAGTTGAAATCTGGTCAGTCCGCCCTGGCCGGACCAAATCTGAACCAATCATAGACGTCTATGTTTCACAAGTTTGGACAGCACAGTACAGAAGTTGTATGGTTTGTTAAACTTTAAAATCAATGGTTTTTGTTTGGCATACATTTTAAAGTGAAAAATCTGAGTCAAAGCGTAATTCAGTTACCATGGAATTGCCTATATCTATCTCGCTAGCTGTGTTATTCAGGTTTTCTATGTAGGCTACAAGGGACTGTATCCATAAAGCATCTCAGAGTAGGAGTGCTGACCTAGGATCAGGTTCCCACTGCTCTTTCATTATAATATATAAGGCAAAACTGATCCTTGATCAGCTTTGTGGATACAGGCCCAGAGCTGATTGAGAGAACACTAGAGGTGAAAACCTAGTGTAAAAAAAAAAGGTCAAAACTGACAGAGGAAGCGGCAGCATTGAACAGTCAGAATCACAGATCGCTGCCTGCCTCTCTCAAACCCTATGAATATCAACATTCAGTTCCTTCGTGATCAGTATCCATGGCGAACCCAGACAGATTCAGCCGATACACACAGAGTATTGAAAGGTTCTCAATAATACATGCATGTCCAGCATAAAATATGTATACACTCCTGCACAGCTGCTTACAAAAATATTAACTGTATGACTACTACACTGAGCAGCATGTGGATAATACCTCTTCTCCTCCTGCATACCAAACTATGATTCCAAGGCAACTCAATATCAACACGTATATTTTTGCATTCTGTTGACATTGCAATGTGTCAAATGTTAAATCCTAGCACACAGAGATGGTGTTGCACCTTGACAAGATAATTGTATGTTATTTGAATTTTGATTTAAGAAAACATAACTTCAACTCCCTCTCTCGCTCACACACTACTATTGAGCAATAGTGCACTGTGTTACATAAACATGCTAAATAAATGCAAAATATTATATCCAACTCTAGCTTCTGTAGGTAGCTATGACGAACAACCATAAACAGGTAGCCGATATCTGGCTTACTTGTTGTTTTCTGTGCCCGCCGTCCTAAAGTTAAATATGTTATTAACGTTATTAGCTAGCGAACATCAACATTATAGAAAATGTACAATCTACTAATATTAACAAGCTAACTAGCTAGCTGGATACTGAGATTTTGGGCTTTTGAACGCTAATCTGGGTTGAAACATTGCTAAAAATAGCTAGTTAGCTAACGTTAGCAAAAGCTAACGTTAGCTAGCTACCTAGCCCATTCAAAAGACAGGATTATTCTTAGGCTGGGTAAACTAGCTACCGCGATAACTATAAACAGATGACTTACTAGCTTTTGTTTTGCCACAACTAGTTAGCTAGCTAACGTTGAACGATTTCTATAAATATGAACAAACAAGTCGTACCAAATACAGCCAACAAGCAGCTAATTCGTGCGTGATTGAGCAGCTAGCTTGTTGTTAGTGAGCTAGCATCATGTTAGCATACAAATCGCTGTTTTCAGCCAACGTCTATTGTCCAGAGGATGGCTAATCTAGAAAACCCCTTATGTCACTGAAACACAAGTTAAATTCGAACCAAAAAGCTGCCAAACTATATACTTACATTTTGCATTCCCTTAGGAAATAGTGATGATATGTTTATGATTAATCAATTCTTTATAAACAGTGTAGCTAGCTACCAATTTTTTTTTTCTTATCCCCCCTCACAGTTTCTTCAAGGGTAACAGTATCAATGTTCCCCTGCACGTATGGAAAAACAACTCGTTCCGGAGTCACACTCGAATTGCCCAAAACGGTTTAAAAGCTGCCCAAAACTGCTATCAGGCAAGGCCCAAAATTCCTATTTGATTTTAGTTTGTGCGGCACTCAGCAACACGAAATAATTGAGTTAATGATTATAGCATAGTAATTAGAGCATTTTTGTAATTTGTCTATAAATGCACATCACGAGAAAGTATGTTATGGCGCCATCTGCTGGAGTAGTCTTGAATGGATGTCGTCACTAGTTACCACAGCTGCAAAGTCATAATTATGGTTTAACCACAGTTTCATACTGTACTGTTTTTGGCAAAACCCCGTCTATTTCTGAAATGTATCTGATTTTAAACCTAACCACATTGCTAACCTTATACCTGACCCTAACCTTAAATGAAAACTAAAAAGCACATTTTTGTTTTCATGAATTTTTACAATAGAGCCAATTTTGATTTTGTGGCTGTATTAGTGGGAATCCTCTTGAACGCGACTCCATCGAAGTCGCATCTAAATTACGTAAATTTAAAGCGTCTGAGCTGTCATTCTTTTGTGTTTAATTCTCAACTAGCTACGACGTTTTAGAAATGCATTTTTCTTCGTTCCGTTAGCTAATTGGATAAAATGTATGTAGTGATTCTATGAATATGGACTGGCGGGAATAGCCTTAATGTCGATTGACTGTGTGTACATAAAAAAATGAACAAAGGGTGGCTGGAACTCGAGAGTGACCCGGGTAAGAAGCTAACGCTAGCTAACGTTAACCAATTCGTTGTCAAATATAATCTAATCTGTAATCTGAATGTTTGATAATCTCTATTTTTACTGTCAGTAAACACATCAATACGTTTAATAATGGCAACTGACGTTATAGTCGTATGTCAATGCCACAGCTAACGTTAAAAGCTACATTGATTGTTCCTTAGCCAGTTGCACCAGGAGGAATAATAATATGTGTTTGTATGGTCGATGCAATAGTGTTAAACGCTCCATTAACGTGTGGGTTGCTATGGTGTTTGCAGGGCTGTTCACGCTCTTGGTGGAGGATTTTGGTGAGTTGATTTGACAGGTTGGTTGTTAAAGTAACATGTACTAGATAAGTTTGAACAGCACATACTTTGAGCATCCCTTTGTGTGTTTTGCATGTGTGTTTATAATGTAGGTGTGAAGGGGGTCCAGGTAGAGGAGATATACGACCTACAAAGCAAGTGTCCAAGGTATGGAGTAATGCTAATCAGGCTACTGCCACTATCCCAAATGGCACCCTATTCTCTAGCCCAAGATGTATTCTTAAGGAGCCTAACGTTATACCCTTACTTCTTAAGGTCCAGGGACCAGAGGTAGGCTGGCTCTGGCAGCCAAAACAGCCAAATACTCCATCTAAACATGAGTTGATACACAATTGTGGTACAGTTCTAGAAACATAAAGCCATCTACTTTCATATCACATGAAAACGATTTCACAAATGCAAAATACACACTTACCGTTTTAACCGGCATTATCACAGTTGCAGCCAACAGTATTTTTCTGTGAGAACATATTTCTGGCGGCCTTCTTCCATTACACACAGGTGTAGATAGCTAACTAGCACAGGTGTTCCCTCTGTCTTCTGTAAACACGCGCTGTAACATGGATATATGGCTGTGTGGGAACACCAACCCTGTAAAGGTGTGTATCAATTTATAGTTTTGTTTTTTGAAAGTTATTTCTCACTAATATGAAAGATACACTATATATACAAAAGTATGTGGACTCCCCTTCAAATTAGTGGATTCGGTTATTTCAGGTGTATAAAATAAAGTACACAGCCATGCAATCTCCATAGACAAACATTGGCAGTAGAATGGCCTAACTGAAGAGCTCAGTGACTTTCAACGTGGCACCGTCGTGGATGCCACCTTTCCAACAAGTCAGTTCGTCAAATTTCTGCCCTGCTAGAGCTGCCTTGGTCAACTCTAAGTGCTCTTATTGTGAAGTGGAAACATCTAGGAGCAACAACGACTCAGCCGCGAAGTGGTAGGCCACAAAAGCTCACAGAACGGGACCACCGAGTGCTGAAGCGCGTAATAAACGTCTGTCCTCTGTTGCAACACTCACTACCGAGTTCCAAACTGCCTCTGGAAGCAACGTCAGCACAATAACTGTTTGTCGGGAGCATCATGAAATGAGTTTCCATGGCCGAGCAGCCACACACAAGCCTAAGATCACCATGGGCAATGCCAAGCCTCGGCTGGAGTGGTGTAAAGCTCGCCACCATTGGACTCTGGAGCAGTGGAAATGCATTCTCTGGAGTGATGAATCATGCTTCACCATCTGGCAGTCTGACGGACGAATCTGGTTTTGGTGGATGCCAGGAGAATGCTACCTGCCCCACTGCATAGTGCCAACTGTAAAATTTGGTGGAGGAGGCATAATGGTCTGGGGCTGTTTTTCATGGTTCGGGCAAGGCCCCTTAGTTCCAGTGAAGGGAAATCTTAACGCTACAGCATACAGTGAGGGAAAAAAGTATTTGATCTCCTGCTGATTTTGTACATTTGCCCACTGACAAAGACATGATCAGTCTATCATTTTAATGGTAGGTTTATTTGAACTGTGAGAGACAGAATAACAACAACAAAATCCAGAAAAACTCATGTCAAAAATGCTATAAATTGATTTGCATTTAAATGAGGGAAATACGTATTTGACCCCTCTGCAAAACATGATTTAGTACTTGGTGGCAAAACCCTTGTTGGCAATCACAGAGGTCAGACGTTTCTCGTAGTTGGCCACCAGGTTTGCACACATCTCAGGAGGGATTTTGTTCCACTCCTCTTTGCAAATCTTCTCCAAGTCATTAAGGTTTCGAGGCTGACGTTTGGCAACTCGAACCTTCAGCTCCCTCCACAGATTTTCTATGGGATTAAGGTCTGGAGACTGGCAAGGCCACTCCAGGACCTTAATGTGCTTCTTTTTGAGCCACTCCTTTGTTGCCTCGGCCGTGTGTTTTGGGTCATTGTTAATGCTGGAATACCCATCCACGACCCATTTTCAATGCCCTGGCTGAGGGAAGGAGGTTCTCACCCAAGATTTGACGGTACATGGCCCCGTCCATCGTCCCTTTGATGCGGTGAAGTTGTCCTGTCCCCTTAGCAGAAAAACACCCCCAAAGCATAATGTTTCCACCTCCATGTTTGACAGTGGGGATGGTGTTCTTGGGGTCATAGGCAGCATTCCTCCTCCTCCAAACACGGCGATTTGAGTTGATGCCAAAGAGCTTGATTTTGGTCTCATCTGACCACAACACTTTCACCCAGTTCTCCTCTGAATCATTCGGATGTTCATTGGCAAACTTCAGACGGCCCTGTATATGTGCTTTCTTGAGCAGGGGGACCTTGCGGGCGCTGCAGAATTTCAGTCCTTCACGGCGTAGTGTGTTACCAATTGTTTTCTTGTAGCCCATTCCAGCCTTGTGTAGGTCTACAATCTTGTCCCTGACATCCATGGAGAGCTCTTTGGTCTTGGCCATGGTGGAGAGTTTGGAATCTGATTGATTGCTTCTGTGGACAGGTGTCTTTTATACAGGTAACAAGCTGAGATTAGGAGCACTCCCTTCAAGAGTGTGCTCCTAATCTCAGCTCGTTACCTGTATAAAAGACACCTGGGAGCCAGAAATCTTTTGATTTCTCATAAAAATGCAAATCAATTTATAACATTTTTGACATGCGTTTTTCTGGATTTTTTTGTTGTTATTCTGTCTCTCACTGTTCCAATAAACCTACTATTAAAATTATAAACTGATCATTTCTTTGTCAGTGGGCAAACGTACAAAATCAGCAGGGGATCAAATACTTTTTCCCCTCACTGTACAATGACATTCTAGATGATTCTGTGCTTTCAACTTTGTGGCAACAGTTTGGGGAAGGCCCTTTCCTGTTTCAGCATGACAATGCCCCCGTTCACAAAGCGAGGTCCATACAGAAATTGTTTGTCGAGATCGGTGTGGAAGAACTTGATTGGCCTGCACAGAGCCCTGACCTCAACCCCATCGAACACCTTTGGGATTAATTGAAACGCAGACTGCGAGCCAGGCCTAATCGCCCAACATCAGTTGTCCAATGACTCTTATGCTGTGTTTAGACATGGGACGCAAAAACCATCATACCAGTCAGCATAGCGGGGCAAGAAAGACGGTGACTGCAAAAGCAAGCCAGCACTACGGCGCACAGATATAACAATGAGACAGATATTTCACTGGATGTATAAATGTGAAGCATCCGCTTGGCTTTTCCACTCACTACCAAATATGGTAGTGGGAGGAAGCCAAGTGTCCGGCAATGGGAGAAGCTGGAACAAGATGGATTTTGGCCGACATTCTGCAAATTTTCTCATCAATGAAACATTTGATCTCAATACAGTTTTCTGTTCCCAAAACTAGAATCTGTTACGAACAGAATGGACAACATTTTGTAGACTTTACCCTTTGCTAAAGTCTTTACAAAATTACATTGTTTAGAAGGAGTGCAAAGGCGAATTTAGTTGTTACACACGCGCACTTCACAGAGTAGGCATTCCCTAACGGAATTATGTAAATATATCGCCAATAGGATCTCGCAAGCTCGTGCTTGGCTCTGCCCTCTGACTCATTTGTTCCCATTTGAAATGACTGGCTGTGGTCTATCTTGGTTTAGTTATAAAAATCTTTGACGATGGTATACGTTGCTATGGGGATTTCAGTAAACAAACATCCGGTAGAAAATGTAATGGAACTGAGAGTCATGATCAAGGGCTACTTATTCCCTACATATTGCACTACTTTTGACCAGAGCCCTATGTCACACTGTGTGACAACCTCTTTGAAATCCTTACTAATGTAAATTAAGCCCACTGTGTATGGAGACCCAAATCTATGGACCACTGTCTGATTGTTGACTAACTCCTGTCATCCCCCCTAGCCCCGTGTATGGCTTCATCTTCCTGTTCAAGTGGATCGAGGAGCGAAGGTCTAGGAGGAAAGTCTCCACCTTGGTGGATGAGACCTCTGTCATCGATGATGACATTGTTAATGACATGTTCTTTGCCCACCAGGTGAGTCTGTTTAATCCTCAACTACACTGTAGGGTTCAGAGCAGTCAGTTTGCACTAATACTGATTTGCATGCATTGCGGCTATATTGTTGTCAGGATGTGGTGCATTCCGTCATTTCCTACTGTGGGATGGTGTCATAGAAAGGCATTGTTTTTATTTTCTTTCTGCTATTGAGTTCCTTTACACTGTTATTATTTCTGTGCACAGCTGATCCCAAACTCCTGTGCCACCCATGCACTTCTGAGCGTGCTCCTGAACTGTAGTGGGGTTGAGTTGGGCACTACCCTTAGTCGCATGAAGACCTTCACTAAAGGCTTTGGCCCAGAGGTGAGGCGTACACACACACCACACACCTCTCTCCAATTTTTTCTGTGGTGTCATTATTATTCACATTTTACATTATGGTATTTTATGTTCTTTTAGAGTAAAGGCTACGCCATTGGAAATGCCCCAGAGCTGGCTAAAGCACACAACAGCCATGCCAGGTAGGATGCACTGTTGCATCTGTCCCTTCCTAGTGTGTATGCCTCTTCATTCTGGGTCTACCACTAGGTTTTATTCACTAGGCACATAAGAAAAGACTGAAACAGGGAATGACCTACCTGAACTTGTCCAATAAGAAACGATTGTGTTCATTTTTCATTGCAAAATGTTTTGCTACCTGTGCACCAATGAATACAATAACCCTGATGTATACAAACGTGGCTCTGCCACCCATGGTTGATTGGTCTTGCATGGAAAGGGCCGCAGGTGACGTTCAGCTCTGTCCGATTCCCACACCTCTTCCTTCTCTTGTTTCCATGGAGACCGGAGCCCAGGCACCTGCCGGAGAAGCAGAACGGGATTAGCGCTGTGCGGACCATGGAAGCATTCCACTTTGTCAGCTACGTTCCCATCAAAGACCGCTTGTTTGAGCTAGACGGCCTCAAGGCGTACCCCATTGACCACGGTAAGACTGCACACTGTGATAGACTTAGAGAAGCAGCATTGTACCGCTAACTCACGTTAAGACTGAGAACCAGTGTGGTACCGCTAACTCACGTTGAGACTTAAAGAACGGTTTGGCAATATAACCCTTCAAATCAACTTTTATTGGTCACATACACATATTTAGCAGATGTTATTGCAGGTGTAGCGAAATGCTTGTGTTCCTAGCTCCAACAGTGTAGTAGTATCTAACAATTCACAATAATACACACAAAGTAAAGTAATGGAATTAAGAAATATATACAGTGCCTTGACTTTTTCCACATTTTGTTACATTACAGGCGTATTCTAAAATGGATCAAATCAATAAAAATCCTCAGCAATTTACACACAAAACCCCATAATGACAAAGCGAAAACAGTTTTTTTGAAATTTTAGCAAATGTATTAAAAATAAAAAACATACCTTATTGACATAAGTATTCAGACCCTTTGCTATGCGACTCGAAATTGAGTTCAGGTGCATCCTGTTTCCATTGATCATCCTTGAGATGTTTCTACAACTTGATTGGAGTCCAGCTATGGTAAATTCAATTGATTGGACATGATTTGGAAAGGCATACACCTGTCTATATAAGGTCCCACAGTTGACAGTGCATGTCAAAGCAAAAACCAAGCCATGAGGTCGAAGGAATTGTCCGTAGCGCCCCCCGAGACAGGATTGTGTCGAGGCACAGATCTGGGGAAGGGTACCAAAAAATGTCTGCAGCATTGAAGGTTCCCAAGAACACAGTTGCCTCCATCATTCTTAAATGGAAGAAGTTTGGAACCACCAAGACTCTTCCTAGAGCTGGCTGCCTGCCAAACTGAGCAATCGGAGTAGAAGGGCCTTGGTCAGGGAGGTGACCAAGAACCCGATGGTCACTCTGACAGAGCTCTAGAGTTCCTCTGTGGAGATGGTTGTCCTTCTGGAAGTTTCTCCCATCTCTGCAGCACTACACCAATCAGGCCTTTATGGTAGATTGGCCAGACGGAAGCAACTCTTCACTAAAAGGCACGTGACAGTCCGCTTGGAGTTTGCCAAAAGGCACCTTAACACTCTCAGACCATGAGATGAAACCAAGATTGAACTCTTTGGCCTGAATTCCAAGCGTCACGTCTGGAGGAAACCTGGCACCATCACTAAGGCGAAGCATGGTGGTGGCAGCATCATGCTGTGGGTATGTTTTTCAGCGGCAGGGACTGGGAGACTAGTCAGGTTTGAGGCATAGATGAATGGATCAAAGTACAGAGAGTTCCTTGATGAAAACCTGCTCAGGACCTCAGACTGGGGCGAAGGTTCACCTTCCAACAGGACAATGACCCTAAGCACACAGCCAAGACAACGCAGGAGTGGCTTCAGGACAAGTCTCTGAATGTCCTTGAGTGGCCCAGCCAGAGCCCGGACTTGAACCCGAGCGAACATCTCTGGAGAGACCTGAAAATAGCTGTGCAGCAATGCTCCCCATCCAACCTGCAGAGAAGAATGGGAGAAACTCCCCAAATACAGGTGTGCCTAGCTTGTAGCGTCATGACCAAGAAGACTAGATGCTGTAATCGCTGCCAAAGGTGCTTCAACAAAGTACTGAGTAAAGGGTCTGAATACTTACAGTGGGGGAAAAAAAGTATTTAGTCAGCCACCAATTGTGCAAGTTCTCCCACTTAAAAAGATGAGAGTACACGTCGACTATGACAGACAAAATGAGATTTTTCTTTCCAGAAAATCACATTGTAGGATTTTTAATGAATTTATTTGCAAATTATGGTGGAAAATAAGTATTTGGTCAATAAAAAAAGTTTCTCAATACTTTGTTATATACCCTTTGTTGGCAATGACACAGGTCAAACATTTTCTGTAAGTCTTCAGAAGGTTTTCACACACTGTTGCTGGTATTTTGGCCCATTCCTCCATGCAGATCTCCTCTAGAGCAGTGATGTTTTGGGTCTGTCGCTGGGCAACACAGACTTTCAACTCCCTCCAAAGATTTTCTATGGGGTTGAGATCTGGAGACTGGCTAGGCCACTCCAGGACCTTGAAATGCTTCTTACGAAGCCACTCCTTCGTTGCCCGGGCGGTGTGTTTGGGATCATTGTCATGCTGAAAGACCCAGCCACATTTCATCTTCAATGCCCTTGCTGATGGAAGGAGGTTTTCACTCAAAATCTCACGATACATGGCCCCATTCATTATTTCCTTTACACGGATCAGTCGTCCTGGTCCCTTTGCAGAAAAACAGCCCCAAAGCATGAAGTTTCCACCACCATGCTTCACAGTAGGTATGGTGTTCTTTGGATGCAACTCAGCATTCTTTGTCCTCCAAACACGACGAGTTGAGTTTTTACCAAAAAGTTATATTTTGGTTTCATCTGACCATATGACATTTTCCCAATCCTCTTCTGGATCATCCAAATGCACTCTAGCAAACTTCAGACGGGCCTGGACATGTACTGGCTTAAGCAGGGGGACACGTCTGGCACTGCAGGATTTGAGTCCCTGGCGGCGTAGTGTGTTACTGATGGTAGGCTTTGTTACTTTGGTCCCAGCTCTCTGCAGGTCATTCACTAGGTCCCCTCGTGTGGTTCTCGGATTTTTGCTCACCGTTCTTGTGATCATTTTGACCCCACGGGGTGAGATCTTGCGTGGAGCCCCAGATCGAGGGAGATTATCAGTGGTCTTGTATGTCTTCCATTTCCTAATAATTGCTCCCACAGTTGATTTCTTCAAACCAAGCTGCTTACCTATTGCAGATTCAGTCTTCCCAGCCTGGTGCAGGTCTACAATTTTGTTTCTGGTGTCCTTTGACAGCTCTTTGGTCTTGGCCATAGTGGAGTTTGGAGTGTGACTGTTTGAGGTTGTGGACAGGTGTCTTTTATACTGATAACAAGTTCAAACAGGTGCCATTAATACAGGTAACGAGTGGAGGACAGAGGAGCCTCTTAAAGAAGTTGTTACAGGTCTGTGAGAGCCAGAAATCTTGCTTGTTTGTAGGTGACCAAATATTTATTTTCCACCATAATTTGCAAATAAATTCATAAAAAATCCTACAATGTGATTTTCTGGATTTTTTTATTCTCAATTTGTCTGTCATAGTTGACGTGTACCTATGATGAAAATTACAGGCCTCTCTCATCTTTTTAAGTGGGAGAACTTGCACAATTGGTGGCTGACTAAATACTTTTTTTCCCCACTGTATGTAAATGTGATATGTACGTTTATTTTCTTTTTTTTTACATTTGTTTGAAAAAAAAAAAAAAGACCTGTTTTTGCTTTGTCATTATGTGGTATTGTGTGTAGATTGAGGGGGGGGGAAACAATTTAATCAATTTTAGAATAAGGCTGTAACGTAACAATGTGGAAAAAGTCAAGTGGTCTGAATACTTTCCGAAGGCACTGTAAATATTAGGACAATCAATGTCGGCGTGACATTGACTAAAATACAGTATAGTAGAATACAGTATATGAAATGAGTAAAGCAGTATGTAAACATTATTAAAGTGACTAGTGTTCCATTATTAAAGAGACCAGTGATTCCAAGTCAAATCAAATCACATTTTATTTGTCACATGCGCCGAATACAGTGAAATGCTTGCTTACAAGCCCTTGACCAACAATGCAGTTTTAAGAAAGAATACCAATAAAAATCACAAAAAAATACAATATAAATTAATAAGAAATAAAAGTAACAAATAATTAAAGAGCTGCAGTAAAAATAACAATAGCGAGGCAATTTGCAGTGGGTACCGGTACTGAGTCAATGTGCGGGGGCACCGGTTAGTCGAGGTAATTGAGGTAATATGTACACTACCGTTCAAAAGTTTGGGGTCACTTAGAAATGTCCTTGTTTTCCATGAAAACATACATGAAATGAGTTTGAATAGGAAATATAGCAAAATGAATAGGAAATGTAGTCATTGACAAGGTTAAAAATAATGATATTTAATAGAAATAATAATTGTGTCCTTCAAACTTTGCTTTCGTCAAATAATCCTCAATTTGCAGCAATTACAATTTGCAGACCTTTGGCATTCTAGTTGTCAATTTGTTGAGGTAATCTGAAGAGATTTCACCCCATGCTTCCAGAAGCACCTTCCACAAGTTGGATTGGCTTGATGGGCACTTCTTACGTACCATACGGTCAAGCTGCTCCCACAACAGCTCAATAGGGTTGAGATCCGGTGACTGTGCTGGCCACTCCATTATAGACAGAATACCAGCTGACTGCTTCTTCCCTAAATAGTTATTGCATAGTTTGGAGCTGTGCTTTGGGTCATTGTCCTGTTGTAGGAGGAAACTGGCTCCATTCAAAGCCGTCCACAGGGTATGGCATGGGGTTGCAAAATGGAGTGATAGCCTTCCTTCTTCAAGATCCCTTTTACCCTGTACAAATCTCCCACTTTACCACCACCAAAGCACCCCCAGACCATCACATTGCCTCCACCATGCTTGACAGATGGCATCAAGCACTCCTCCAGCATCTTTTCATTTGGTCTGCGTCTCACAAATGTTCTTCTTTGTGATCCGAACACCTCAAACTTCGATTAGTCTGTCCATAACACCTTTTTTCAATATTCCTCTGTTCTTTTGCCCACCTTAATATTTTATTTTTATTGGCCAGTCTGAGATATGGCTTTTTCTTTGCAACTATGCCTAGAACGTCAGCATCCTGGAGTCGCCTCTTCGCTGTTGACGTTGAGGCTGGTGTTTTGCGGGTACTATTTAATGAAGCTGCCAGTTGAGGACCTGTGAGGCGTTTGTTTCTCAAATTAGACACTAATGTATTTGTCCTCTTGCTCAGTTGTGCACCGGGGCCTCCCACTCCTCTTTCTATTCTGGTTAGAGCCAGTTTGTGCTGTTCTGTGAAGGGAGTAGTACACAGCGTTGTACGAGATCTTCAGTTTCTTGGCAATTTCTCACATGGAATAGCCTTCATTTCTCAGAACAAGAATAGACTGACGAGTTTCAGAAGAAAGCCATTTTGAGCCTGTAATCGAACCCACAATTGCTGATGCTCCAGATACTCAACTAGTCTCAAGAAGGCCAGTTTTATTGCTTCTTTAATCAGCACAACAGTTTTCAGCTGTGCTAACATAATTGCAAAAGGGTTGTCTGATGATCAAATAGTCTGGGTAGCCATTTGATTAGATGTTCAGGAGTCTTATGGCTTGGGGGTAGAAGCTGTTTAGAAGCCTCTTGGACCTAGACTTGGCGCTCCGGTAGCTTTTGCCGTGCGGTAGCAGAGAGAACAGTCTATGACTAGGGTGTCTGGAGTCTTTGACAATTCCTATGACATTGGGTGCTGTAGGTGTCCTGAAGGGCAGGCAGTGTGCCCCCGGTGATGCGTTGGGCAGACCGCACCACCCTCTGGAGAGCCCTGCGGTTGCGGGTGGTGCAGTTGCCGTAACAGGCTGTGATAGGTTTGTGAGGGTCGTAGGGGCCAAGCCGAATTTCTTCAGCCTGCTGAGGTTGAAGAGGCGCTGTTGCGCCTTCTTCACCACACTATCTGTGTGGGTGGACCATTTCAGATTGTCAGTGATGTGTACGCAGAGGAACTTGAAGCTTTTCACCTTCTCCATTGCAGTCGCGTCGATGTGGATAGGGGCGTGCTCCCGCTGCTGTTTACTGAAGTCCACGATCAGCTCCTTCATTTTAACGTTGAGGGAGAGGTTATTTTCCTGGCACCACTCCGCCAGGGCCCTCACCTCCTCCCTGTAGGCTGTCTCTTCATTGTTGGTATTCAAGCCTAGTACTGTTGTGTCGTCTGCAAACTTGATGATTGAGTTGGAGGCCTGCGTTGCCACGCAGTCATGGGTGAACAGGGAGTACAGGAGGGTGCTGAGTACGCATCCTTGTGGGGCCCCCATGTTGAGGATCAGTGAAGTGGAGGTGTTTCCCACCTTCACCACCTGGGGGTGGCCCGTCAGGAAGTCCAGGACCCAGTTCCACAGGGCGGGGTTCAGACCCAGGGCCCCAAGCTTAATGATGAGCTTGGAGGGTACAATAGTGTTGAAGGCTGAGCTATAGTCAATGAACAGCATTCTTACATAGTTAATCCTCTTGTCCAGATGGGATAGGGCAGTGTGATGGCAATTGCATCATCTGTGGATCTATTGGGGCAGTATGCAAATTGAAGTTGGTCTAGGGTATCAGGTAAGGTAGAGGTGATATGATCCTTAACTAGCCTCTCAAAGCACTTCATGATGACCGAAGAGAGTGCTACGGGGCGATAGTCATTGAGTTCAGTTACCTTTGCTTTCTTGGGTACAGGAACAATGGTGGACATCTTGAAGCAAGTGGGGACAGCAGACTGGGATAGGGAGAGATTGAATATGTCCGTAAACACTCCAGCCAGCTGTTCTGAGGACGCGGCTAGGGATGCCGTCTGGGCTGGCAGCCTTGCGAGGGTTAACACGCTTAAATGTCTTACTCACGTCGGCCACGGAGAATGAGACCCACAGTCCTTGGGAGCGGGCCGCGTCGGTGACACTGTGTTATCCTCAAAGCGGGCAAAGAAAGTGTTTAGCTTGACCGGGAGCAAGACGTCGGTGTCTGCGACGTGGCTGGTTTTCCCTTTGTAATCCGTGATTGTCTGTAAACCCTGCCACATACGTCTTGTGTCTGAGCCGTTGAATTGACTCCACTTTGTCTCTGTAATGACGTTTTGCCTGTTTGATGGCCTTATGGAGGGCTGTGACTTTAACTGAAGAGAATTCTCTTGGGAGGTAATACAAAATTGCTTAGGAGCTAGAAGCAGAGCTGCCATGTCTGTCGGCACCATCTTGCACCTTGAAGACTACAATGGCTGTGTCCCAAATGCCACCATATTCCCGGTATAGTGGGGGGGGGTCAAATGTAAACACTTTCATTTTCTCTTTCTCTCTCTCTCAGGGCCATGGGGAGAGGAGGAGGAGTGGACGGATAAGGCACGGCGGGTCATTATGGAGAGGATTGGCTTGGCCACGGCTGGGTGAGTCAGGGGCCAATCTCCTGCCTCATTAACACTGAATGAGATGTTCAGACCCTAGCTCTCTCTCACACACTCACACACTTTTCTCGTCCCTCCCAGAGAGCCCTACCATGATATCCGCTTCAACCTGATGGCAGTGGTTCCAGACCGCAGGGTGAAGTATGAGTCCAAACTGGAGATCCTGAAGAGGAACAGACAGATGGTACTGGAGGGGCTACAGCAGGTCAGGAGACACAGGGGCGTGTGTGTGTGCGCGTGCGCGGTGGCAGGTAGCCTAGCGGTTAAGAGCGTTGGGCCAGTAACTGAAAGGTCGCTGGTTCGAATCACTGAGTCGACTAGGTAAAACAAGTCTGTCAATGTGCCCTTGAGCAAGGCACTTAACCCTAATTTCTCTTGATAAGAGCGCCTGCAAAATGATTAAAGTGTGTGTGTGTAAAATGTAAACTATCAAACGGTTCTGGAGGGGCTACAGTAGGTCTGGACACAGACTGAGGAGCCCACTGATATGGCCCAGTGAGAATGTGCATGTCTGTATATCTGTTTATATGTGTCTGTAGGTGCATTCGTTTTAGCTTGCCTGGTGCCCAGCTGGTAACTAAGGCAAGGAGTGGTCTAAAATGTGCAAATCTCCCAGCTGGTGCCCTCGGTTAGCTAAAACAAATGCACCCATAGACACATACAAACAGATATACAGAAATGCACAACGTCTCTGTCCGATTGACTTGACATGAGTGTGACCTGTTCCCCAGCTGATCCGGGTCACCCAGCCAGAGCTTGTACAGGACAGGAAGCAGCCAGACTCCTCCCCCTCAGAGGACACGCCCCCTGCTATCAAGAAAGAAGAGGCGGACCCTCAACCTGTTACATCACAGGGTGCTGAGCAGACTCCTCCCACATGTATTAAATTCAGCTCCGAAAAAATCCCCAATGTAGATTCTCTTTATAGACATGAGAATGTGAGTCTGTGGATGCCTCCCAAATGTGACCCTATTCCCTTTATAGTGCACTACTTTTGCCCAGGGGCCCTGTCGAAAGTAGCGCGCTATATATGGAATATGGTGTCATTTGGGACGCAGCCTAACGCAGGGTATGACGTGCTTCAACTGGTACACTGACATTCATGGACATGACCTTGTGTTCCCCTGTTGTGCAAACACAGCAGCCCAGTCCCAATTGGCCCCGAGCCCCTCAGGCAAGGGGAAAGCCATGGGGAAACCAGCCGCCCCATTGGGGGGAGCGGGAACCTCCCAGCCTGTCACCAGCCCCAACCCCATTGTCCCTCGCCTGCCCGCCTTCTTGGACAACCACAACTACGCCAAGTCCCCCATGCAGGTCAGGGGGGAACGGGTTATGTGACACAACTCAACATTTCCACACAAATCTCTTATTGACATTAATGCACGATGATTTTCACAACAGTCTTGACTTACACACTCATATCTCAAGTTAAGGTTCGACTTCGAGAAGCCAATACTGTATGTTTGCCTTGGCAAGGTCGCTGATTGGTTGTTCTCTGTGATTGACAGGAGGAGGAGGACCTTGCGACAGGGGTGACAGGGGTGGGTCGTCCCCGGGTGCCCGGCGCGCCCCAGCCCCCCTACTCTGATGACGATGACTATGAGGATGAAGAGGAGGAAGACACTGGCACACCCACCAGGTCAGCTCCTCCACATCACATGGGCCCGTATTCACAAAGCGTCTCATCGTAGGAGTGCTGATCTAGGATCAAAATGTTCTCTTCCAAGCAATTGGAGTGCTTGAAATGTATTGGTTATGTTTGTGCATTTGTGTGTATGTGTGTGTGTGTGTGTGTGTGTGTGTAGGTTCAGGCGTAAAGGGGTGCTACGTTCCCGTACAGGCCGTGTCGGGGGTGGCGGCAGTGGCGTGGAGACCAAGCTGGCGCACGGTGTCCTGGCTGAGAAACTCAAGAAGGAAGTCCAGAGGAAGGACTCTCTGGCCACGCCCCTCTCCGTCCGTACCGAGGGCCGCACGGGGGGCATCGTGATCACGGCCGCCTCCCAGCCCTCGCCCACACCCAGCAACGAGAGCACCGACACCGCCTCGGAGATCGGCAGCGCCTTCAACTCGCCACTGCGCTCCCCGGCCCGGTCCCAGGCGGCCACACGGCCCTCCAGCCCCGTGGCGTCCCACCTGTCCCGGGTATTGTTCGGGGAGGATGAGGGTCTGCTGAGGCTGGATGCCAGGCACAACCGGGCCGTCAGAGAGCTGGGGCCCTCCGTCAGCACCGCCCTGCTGCACCTACAGGAGGACGGGGTTATATACACTGTACCGCCACCCGGTGAGGAAGGACGGGTGTGTGTGTGTGTGAGAGCGATTGAGGTATTGGACCTGTGGGGAAGTGAACATGGGCACTCGATTAAGATCATCATCATAAATTACATTTCAAAGAGCATCTGTTTACCTTCAGACCTAATTACATAATCCATATTAATACCTGGATTATACTAATCTAATACCAGAGTCACACAGCTCTTGAGATGCAAGAGATAAACAATGTATTAGCAAACGGAAGCGTATGGAAGACGATATCACTGAGTTGATAGCAGACCTGGGTTCAAACACTATTTGAAATATTTTAAAATACTTTCTGTGCTTAATTGAGCTTGCCTGTTGCAAAGTGCAAACCCCACCCAGGCTGGCATTCCAGGCAGGCTAAAGCAAACACTCAAAGTATTTGAAAGATGTCAAAAGAGTATTTGAACCCAGGTCTGGTTTATAGCTGCTAAATAGGTATGTTTCTTGCCTGTACAGCTGATACACCTCTTGAAGAGAAGAAGGCCGGCGCTCCAGAGAAGGTAAAAGAGCAGGGGAGAAATCCAGCAGGAAAGGGGGAAGGAGTGAAGGAGGAGGGGAAGGAGGGACCATTGGTGGAGGTGAAAGAGGAAGAGATCAAAGACGCAACAGAGGTCAAACCCAGCAAGGAAACGGTCATCTCCACGGAAACCGTTGGAAGCAGCAAGCCTTCTGTGGAGAAATACTCTCCTAAAGTAAGTCCTCTCTCTCTATCCTATCTAAATCCAGATATGTTTCTGAGAGAGATTTTATGTTATCACCAAATGTCACAGTTGGTGTTTCTCTCTTGTTTCCTGCAGGAGCTGCTTGCTCTGCTCAAGTGTGTGGAGGCTGACATCGCCAACTATGAAGTGTTTCTTAAAGAGGAGGTGGAGAAGAGGAAAAAATACAAGGTTATAATACAGAATAGTAAAGTTGCTCTAAAGCAGAGCCATTCAAAGGTTTAATCACAGACATCCAAATCTATGTGGGCAGGTTTATGTGTGTTATGTATGCTATGTGTGTTTTGTATGTTGGTGTGCTAATCAAAATGTTCACCCATGTTTTGACCAGATTGATGACCAGAGGAGGACCCATAATTATGACGAGTTCATCTGCACCTTTATATCCATGCTGGCACAAGAAGGTAAGGCCACCTCTTTCCTTTGGTACAACAACCTAGGTGGATTTTCATGCACATCCAGTCTTCTCCTCTCCCTCCCTCTCATATATGAACTAATCTCTTAGCTCTATATTTCACCTCTACTGCCTGCTGTGCAGTCAGAGGTCCATGCTGGCTGAGAGTAGTTAATAAATTATGCTTTTTCTTCTCTTGACAAGGGTTTTCATGTGATTTAATGCAGGAAATGTGATATAACATTTACCAGATCATAGGCCATTTTACAGGAACCTCTTTAAATCAATTCACTGGAGTTCATTGTCATTTCTCCTCATCGCTTTCTATCTCCTCTTGTCTGCAGGCATGTTGGCCAGTTTGGTCGAGCAGAATATATCTGTGCGTCGTCGCCAGGGAGTGAGCATCGGACGTCTACACAAACAGAGGAAACCAGACCGCAGGAAACGCTCGCGACCCTACAAGGCCAAGCGCCAGTGACCCCAGGAAGTGCTCGCTTGGAGTCACTGTGCACCAATCACAGCAGAGAAAAGGCAAAAACCCTTGTTGCACTCATGAGACTGTCCTGTGACTTCAGGGAGAAAAGGACTTATTCATATTGTTGTATTTTAATGTCCGTTTTTTACTTCATCCAATGGACCATCTGTTGATTAGTTGAACCAAATTATGTATGCTTTCCTGTAAGAGGAAGAGTAATAAATAAATAGAAAACTGATATGTACTGTATGTATGTTAGATTGCATCCCAAATGGCACCTTATTCCCTATATAGTGCACTACCCTATGGGCCCTGGTCAAAATAGTGCACCATATAGGGAATAGGGTGCCATTTGGGTAGGGTGCCATTTGGGACGAACACTTAGTCTCCATGTTGAAAGGACCTTTGTCTGTGCCATCACACTGTGTACAGGGTCGTGTTCATTAGGCCACGCGGCGGAAAATGTTTTGCAATTGAAAATGAGCGTTTGCAATTCCAGAGAATTAGTCAGTTTTCTTCCATTTGGTGCCTAATGAACACAACCCAGGGGTCCACTGACTGTGAGGGACACAGGAAGCTGCTTGGGAGTTAGTCTGATCATGTGATGTGATATATCCTCATTCCTGTCACGCAGGGCTGGTTCACCACTATTTGCTTGCTTGTATCATGCTTTGGCAGTACTGTATGGTTGCATCCCAGATGGCACCCTATTTCCTATTTAGTGCACTACTTTTAGGGCCCAAGGGCTCTGGTAAAAGTAGTGCACTATAGGGAATAAGGTGCCATTTGGGACGTAGCCTAAATCTCTTTCGAGGTCCTGTAAATGTATAGATGAGATCTACTCATTTTAATGTTTTTTTATCTGTAAATCGAGGTTCTAATCGTTGGAGAGCATCGTCAGTGTGTTGTTGTACATACAGTATGTATCTGTTTGTCTGCTCAGCATCAGTGGTAACAGAAATGGGTTTTTCTATCCTAGTCACATGAATACTACAATAAACAACACAAAAGCACTATGGACCTCACTCACTCCTTATCATGTCATAGGTGGATGTCTGGGTCATATTTGGTGAGATGAAAAATCACTGGGGCCTGGCTTTGACAGTGCATTTGTTTCATAACTTCAATAGCTTTATACATGTTGAGACCCCACTGGAGCTGGATAGGACAAGTTTCTAAGAAAGAATACAGACTCTATTCCAAGAATAGCTGTCCATTGGACATCAGAGGAACGGCGTTAGAGGGGGAGGCTCTAACGCCGGTCGAGACAGCACCAGCAACATCAGCAGAGCAGGGCCATGGTGGAGAAGAGCCTTTTGCTGCCCTATGCTATGCGCCAGCCAGCGCTATAGGGTCATGGCTAGAAAGGATACAGCTTTTGTAAAAAAAAAACGTCAAAAGTTGAAATGGAATCGTTTTCCTAAACTTAATCTAATTATCCTAACCTGCTGCATTAATTATCCTAACCTGCTACGAAAAGTCACATCTGACAAAAGCTGTCAAAACTGCGCGACGGGGCGAGTGAGTCAGTGATACTTGTTGAGACAATTGCCAAGCAGACATTTTGTGCAGTTGCTGCCGATGTCCACTAGGTGTAGCTGTGACTGCAGGATGAGTGCTGCTGAACCCATTTTTTTGTCACAGTTATATCATCAAGGCTTCTCACAACATGGGTTCCTTCCAATGCAGTGCCACGTTGGAGACTTTTAGGCACATTGTCCAATATTATCATATGTGACCAGAGATCAGAATTGTCTCTCCTTTCCCTGTGTTTATTTGCATTCAGAGCCATCTGGATGTGTTTATGTATGGTGTGTGTGTTGGTGTATTAATCAAATTGTTGACCAGAGAAGGGCCTATAATTATGAGTTCATCTGTACTTTTATATCCATACTGGCACAAGAAGGTGAGGCCACCTCCCACATATCCATTCTTCTATGAGGCTTGTGTTAAAATATAGGCTAAACCTTGGTACAACCTTACAAAGACTGCCACCTTATCCACCAACGGAGACGTTTCTTAATAAGTGCCTAATTGTCTTTTTATCCACTGTACTTTCTTTTGGTTTTGTTTATGAAAACGTGTATAGGTGATATAATGCATTATAGATGACGCCTGTACTATGTTTGACTATGATTGTTTTTAGTGTTTAAGTGGCTCAAAACTCAATTTGAGTGGTCCACAAAGTTGTATTTTTATATTTTTATCTTATTTTGTATCATTGTGGAGTGACACTTAAATACATTTGTCTAACTCTGCTTGCTTGACACCAACTGTCACAAGTCAGCAATTCTGCCTTTGGACATATTAATGAACGCCATATACTGCAGGATATATTGATCCATCATTGAGCAGTGTGAACAAACATTATATATATATGCCTATATAGCCAGTAAGCCTTAACACAACTTGTCACAATCTTATCTTTGGTTAAGTCAACACAACTCAACATTCTGAATTTGAAATGCACTCTAATATTGGGGTTTTCTAGGGCCAAAGTGCCATTGAGAATGTTGAAGGTAAGTGTTAAATAGGGTTAGTCCCGCTGTACTGGTTTGACCTTCTACTCTTCATTAACCCAATGTGTCTGTTACACCACCATGATAGAGCTGACCATGCATACTCCCGATACGCCTCAGAAGGCACCCTATGTAGTGAATAAGGTGCCATTTGGGACACTCACTCAGGGCCGACAGTGCAGTGACATGACCACGTTGGTACAGGCATTTAAAAAGGATGTTATCTTTTTCTTTCAGGCAGTGTATATTTAACTGGCAGAAAATGAATGGTGGTGAACGGCGGTATGCTAACCCAATGTTAACTTTTATGCCTTTCTCTAACCCTAACCTTAACCTCACTGACGTAATACCTAATTGTAACCTTAACCTAAACCTTGTTCCTAAACCTAACCTTAACTCAGTAATTTTGACCCCTATGACTCAATTAAAAATGTTGTTCTGCCGTTTGAATACACTTTTTTTTAAATACCCACCACAACAACAGGATCTAATATTAGATTGTGTAACAATAAACATTTTCCCTCATTATAACTCAATGTCATTGGCACAACACCAGGGAGATGAGCTGAACTGAAAGCAGTAACTTCCCTCAATGTACTCTGAACATTTAATGACTTTAGGACCAAGGAGATGTATTCAAAATAGCTTCTGATGTTTCGTAATACATGTTCGTTGATGGTAAAATGTGCCCATTTGTCAATTTCCTGAAATGTTACAGGGACGATGGGTAAGATTAAACATTCTAATTAATTATGACTCTACATGCTCATTTAACATTTCCATGGCAGTGGTACATACACACCAGCGCTAAACACACAGAAACACTAACCACTTCCTACCACAACCACATATCCATTATTGTCTTTCTGTCAGTGAACCTATTTATCTGCCAATCTCTTTCCTCCTGTTTGGTCCAAAATGAACCATTGACTGGCTTTTTCACAGAAGTATGAATTAATGCTAGTGGTGCTGAGGGGAGAGGTTATAGATAGCCCTGTCAATGATGGAGTAGCCTGGGCTCGGGAGGAAATGAGATCCATTTATTCCCTTGGGTCCTGCAGAGCACAGCGTCTGGTCAATAGTCTGATCAGGTGGCTCCTCAGTCCTCACAGACACACAGTGGCCAGAGAGGACAGACAGGGGGAGGGGACAGGGAGTGGGTCTACATCCCATATAGCATCCTATTCTCTATATGGTGCACTACTTTTGATCAGAGTCCTATGGACCCTGGTCAAAAGTAGTGCACTAAATAGGGAATAGGGTGCCATTTGAGAATGTACCCTTTTAAGAGGAAGAGAATGTACAGGCATCATTGAAGATTTAGTTTCTGCTATTTAGTGGTTACTTATTTTCACTCTCAGAGATTTGGAATATAAGAGGTTGCACAACCTGGAGAGCACCACTGACACTGGTCCACCAATCCAAGAGAGAGACAACCCTCTCCACGGAGCATACTTGTCTTTAACAAACACTATGTCTACATAACATGCCTTAGAAAATGGAGATGAATGACAGTTCACATGGATCAAATTGCCTCTATATTGGAAAAAGTTTTTTTTCGTAGCGGTTAGGTGGGTTCAAGTGTCTCGCCCCCTCCTCGGGCGCCGCGTGACCCTTACACCTCCTACTAGGACCTGTTTAGGCAGGCTAGACAAATTAGGATTTAGGGCACGCGCCTGTACGCGCTCTCTCCCGGTTGCGTCAGCACGCGTTCTACCCTTTCTGCCAGTGCGCGTGCTCCGTGCAGGAAGCTGAATTGTAGGCGATGATGGCGGAAGGAGAGCAGCGTTGAGTTGTCTCTGAGTTTTTATTCTAACTGTAGAAACCTCTACTACATCGTTTCTCTCCTAATCATCTCCCGAGACGATGGGGAATGAAGGCAGCATCGAGGGAGAGGGCCAGCCGGGACAGCCCGGCTCCACTGTTCCTTCTGCGGGTGCTCCGACTTCCATTTCAGCACCAGCGGGCTCTGGACAGCTCATCAAGCCCAGCAATGGTGCGCCAACGGGAGGTACAGGGGCCGGACCCGGCCCGGGGATTAACAGGTAGGCTACAATCTAGGACAGTTCTCTGCAGAACCGTGACAATAAAACGACAGTGTTTCCGTTTCCAGGATATTTATTTATCGTGACGAATGTCATGTAGCCTAGCCTATAGCGGGAGGATCAGCTATAGCCTATAGTGGCCGTTTTTCAGAGTGTGGAGAAAATACAGCTGGTGTTTTAATTATTAATTTACAATATCGTTGGAACACATATTGTCCATATAGATGATTCCTAGTTTTAATATTTTTGTTACAATGTATTGTATGTTTGGTATATAGGCTACTTTTACAAATTTGATGCATGCATAAATGTCTAAAACATCACCTTAACAGGCGGGTAATATAAAGGCTATTGTATAAGCTATAAAGGGATGGTAGACATTTTAAATCGTGAATGGCCACAGCTCTAAACTGTGCAATTTACAGCGTGCGTATTGTAGCCACCAAACTGAACATTTTCATTGATGAAGATTCCACGCCCGCCCTTGCACGGTGCGCGCGAGAGTGGGCCATCAGATTGTACCTAGACCAGAGGGGCCATCTCTTTGTAAGAATGGACCGAAACACCTTGTTCATATACTTTACATTCTCTTTAAGAGCGATACTATTTAAAACTTAGTCCTGTATTTAGCTGATAAGCAATTCCATTCATTTCTATGCTTTGATTCCACGATGGGCGTGACTTGTGAAGATAAGCAACTGCTGTGACTGTAGTGGCCTTCTCACGTAGATTCAGAGAATATCAATAATGGGGTATCCATGAG